TTTTGTAATAGACAACTAAAGTTAACATCTTAATTTGTACCAGCAAAGTCTCAGATAATAACTCCTCAACTTACACACTCGAGATGCCAGCATTAAAGCTATCTTGCTGAGCACTTAACGGCAATATGTAAATGATGATGCACATGCAAGGTTTTAAATTTCAATATGAATTTTCTTAAATTTCAGTCCTTGGCTGCCGAAAGTGGTTAAACCCATCAATTTATTATATAGACTACGTTTAAGCTGGCCAATTTAATACTAGACCAGAGGCAGTAGCCTGTTTTTGTTGTGCTGTCTCTGTAGTGTTTTTTTTTTGTTGCAAATAACTGGCTCTTGGGCGATACTGTTGCATGAATTTCTAGACTGGCTATTTATTATTGATATCGTTACCCTTTAAGCGCACACTTTATGGTATTTTGCTGTGTTATCTGTAGGGTCCAAGCACCTGGATGGAGGTTTGGCTTGAAGCATCGAGCTTGGCAAATTCAATTGCATATTGCTGAGGCGCTCAGCGCTCGAGCGCACAAAAGCCGATGGGTTTTTGGGGGTTTAGGAGTGGGTGAAATATTGGGGATTGGGGGGTTACGAATGGCCAGTAACTTTTCGACTGGCGCTGCAGTTAGGTGCAGTGAGGGGCGGCCCCACTAACATGCAAAGCGGCAGAAAAATAGTCTGGCAAAGTTACCAGTCAGAGAGAATCGCAGATAGACAGCTAGTCAGCTAGTCAGACGCAAAAGCCAGCAGAAGCTGTCTGCTTTTTATTTTTACTATCTTTAAGATTTTTAACCACCCGCACACTCGCACACTTACGACGCAAACTTGTCGAAAATATATACGAAAATTGTTTAACAAGTTGAAGGCTGACTGGCAAACTTTTTCACCTGCTCAGCTCAGCTCCCTTTTCCCGTTAAAGGTTGGGTGGCAAGAAAGAAAAAAAAAAAGGAAAGCATCCAAGAGGAAAGTTTGCAATGATCCATAAGTTTTCCGTTGCGCTTACAGCTGAGGAACATTTTCCGGGCAACTTCAGTTTCGGCTTTTAATTAAATAATTTCTGCCAACAATGCTGGACAGCTGGCTGCATTTATTGTGTGTGCTTCGACTACTACTACTATACTACTACTTACCATCTATAGTTATGTACTAAATATTGTACCTATATACACCTATAACCTTTTCAGATGTGCAATTATTTCGGCTTGCAAAATATTTAACTGCATTTCCTATTGATTTTTGTGCTTTGTAATCAAGTTGCCTGCGAGGCAAGCAGGAAATTGCCGATCTCCTGCAATTGTTGTGCCCCACCTAGCGATAGTTCTATGAAAGACGACGACATACTCCGGGCAAAACCAGGAAGTTGTCTTCCTCTATTCAGTTTCCATTCCATTCCTTTACCTCTGCCCCCATTTCCCCCCTTCCCCTGCACAAACACATGCCCCTGTGAGAAGGCGAGGGAAAAGTTGGTCGGTCCATCGTTTATAGCAATTTCATTTGACTTCTCGTTTGTGTTTGCCAACGGTCAATAAATGAGCGTAATATTTGGACTTTGATTCCTGCGGCTAAACTGACGACGATGAGACAGTTGCAAGTTGCAAGCGGCAAGCTGCAACTTCCAGGTGGCCGATTGTCAGTCGAAAGCTTAACAATGGTCTTCTAATGCATGGCTAGAAAAGTTTTGCCTTCTCACACTGGAAAAGTTAAACTAAACGCTTTGAGTTGGAATTAATGTCGTCTTTTGATTGAATATATTAGGAATAATATTGAGAAATAATATAACTGGGGTTTTCTAAATTTCTTTTTTAATTGGAAAATATAAGGTATTTAGTAAGATCTTAAAACTATTTTGATGAATCCTTGTAGTGCTAGGGATCTAGGAGGCATTTCTTCCTAAATATTTAGTTAGGGCTAAACGAAATCAGGTATATTTATTGGATCTATTATTTATAGAGAGAGATAAATAACTATCTTCCTTAATTTTATGTTTAAATAATGTTAATTTCCTTTCTAATTACCTTAACCATAATACCCAAATCAGCAAAACTAACCAAAGTAGTTTGATAGCTGTCAAGGGAGATTTTACCTGTGGAAAATGTAAATTCCAAAGAAGCTACTCGAATGAAATATTAATGAATGTCCAATAGCTGACCATGGATTTACAGGCTATTAAGGCCAAAGCCATTTCATAATGCCCATAAACGTAAACCCAAAAAGCCAACCAGCAGTACTGTCGAAATCAATGTTTTTGCTGTATTTTCAGATGAAAAATGACATTTTCTTGATGCTTAGCTTAAGTGACAGGCCAAGTGTCGGGCAAAGGTGCTTGGAAAATGCCTGGGAAAGCCACTTGTCCGAACTTACTTAACACATGGCGACACAACTCAGCACAGATATTTATATATATGTATATGTATAGCCACAAATACTGTGACACACGAAGGTGTGCTAGTGCGAAAAGTATGCAACACTTTTCTACGAAAAACGTGGTCGCCAAGATGTTGAAAATAGTCAGGAAAAACTGAGGGAAACCATCGGTGTATAGGGGTAAGGTTAATTCCGCAGCCCACAACAATGCAACAGCAACAGCAGCAACAACAACAATAACAACTACAACTGTGGCAATTGTAGCGCCAGCTTTTCTATTGTATTATGACAGCAGCTGCACCTGCAAGTATGCAGTGATTGTGATTCTTTGCTTTTTTTTTTTACTCGTTCACTCGCCTGCGAAACCCCTCGAAAAACTGTAAACAAAGAGCAGGACAATAGTCGAGGTGGGGTGGACGACTGAGTGGGTGGAAATGCCCTGCCATGGCATGTGTTCATTGTCCAAGAGCAGTTCATGCTTGGCTACGCATCTGTGTGTACGGCGAGTGTGCAAGTGTAGTAGGGACAGGACAGGTCGGGGCAGTTGGCATATCAACTGGTCGGACATGGTGTAAACACGTTTAATGTTGTTGCCGTTGCCGTTGCCCATTGCCGTTGCCTTTGCCCCATTGCATGGCTGCAGTTGCTCCTCCTGGCCATGGCTGCCATGGCCCTTGGAGCCATCGTGCCACGAAGCTCCTCCTCTGGCGCCGTCTCCTTTGCCACGTTTAATTTAATCTACTGGCCAAAGCTGCAGCCGCTACCTTGACATGGTCTGCACTTCAATCTGCATGCACGGCGTACAGTGGTCACTGCCAAAGCTAAGCCACCACGTGCCCACAAAACGAAATTCGAATTGTGGTTACTTTGAGTGAAAGTTGTTATTTACAACCTTACTTTCCTTTACTTTACTTTCCTTACTTTCGAAAAGAATGTCAATGCTTCCTCTAGAATCTGAAGACTTTTTTAGTACAAAAATATTTGGTAAAAATAACTGACAAAATAATTGAGTTTTAGCTTAATTCTAATATTGATAAACTGATTATATAGTCAATATTCCAAAACTAAAACAACAAACTCTGTTTGAAGATTTTCCTTGAGAAAGTATTCAAAAAACGTTCACATAGAGTATCCACTGTAGTTTATGTCCTGGCTGCTCGAGTGCACCGCAGGTCCATTTAACTTAGCTTTGGCAGTGGCAGTACTAGCTGTAGTACTAGAACTAGTACTGTCCCAGGCAGCTCCTCCTTTTGCTGGGCGATTCTACTCTTCCTCGACTCGGTGCATCACTCAAACGCCGGGGAACCCCCGATAACCCCCAAACGAGGCGACAGGAATGCATGCGTGTGTGACTATGTGTGTATCCCCGTTCGGCCAAGTGCAAGTATGAGTGTGGGCAACGTAATTTGCATGGTCAGCTTGCAGTTTTGGGACACACAGAGTGGCAAGTTGTGCCTCGTCCCTGGCTTAATTGCATGCAGGAATAGCAACTGCAACTACAGGAGCAGCCTCATCAGCATCGGCAACTTCATCCAATTGCCTCTGGACTGTCCGCCCCCAACCCCCCTTTTCAGATCCATACAATTTCCTGAATGTAAGCGATGCTGCCCTTTAAAGTTCGTACGTTTTTAAGTCCCAAGAATAACAGAAAAAGCTGGAAAGTGGGCAAGTTGTTGGAAGATATCAAGAATCTGCCAACGATACTCACCTCCGTTCTGGCAGGTGATTATGCTGCACGTGGTCCGACACATGGACCGTGCTCGTTATACGGAACATTACAAAAAATTATAATATGCCAGTATGTCGGGGGAGCACGCAAAAAATTGAAGGGGGTTTCCCCGCTCCTATTTTTTTACCACCCACTAGACAGACATCCGAGTTGGAGTCAAAATCAGACAATGTTCTGTCCATATGCTTCCACATTGGTTGAAAAAAAGGGGCAAGTTTACAAATGGCACAGCCTCTGGCTGCATAAACGATGGCATTTTTCTGAATCCTCCAATTTTTTTTGTATTATTTTTTAAGTTGGCATGCGAATAATTTGCAAGCGATTTAATTTCAATTGCATGGGCGTTAATCAAAGGCAACAAAAGGCAACACCTAAAAAAAGCAAAGGAAATGCTCTCCTGTCATTCATTGATATAAAAGGAACAATAGGGATAATTTTAATAACAGCAAAAAGTGGAAAGAACATTTTCAAATAAAATCTTTTCAATAATTTGCGATTCACATGATGAAAATAAGTCAATGAGTGGCATAAAATTAAGTTTCGTAAAAAAAATGTATTGTCCGTATTTTTCGGTAAACTCTTGTAAGGTGCATAATTATCATAGAATTTTAAATTTTATAAAAGTTTTTTTTTAAACTAAAAGGTGTTAAATCAAAGAAAAACAGTTTCATGAATACCATAAAAATTCAATAAATCATGTGTCTAATACATTTTAATACATTTTTAATAAAGTAAAACAGCTTAAATAAGGCAGTGACAAAAAAATATCTCTAACTTGTAATATTTTAAATTTCAAGATCAAGTTACGCGCGCTTTTTATCATGACAAAACAGTGGAAGCATGGTATTTGTAAGTCCACAATTTTACCATCCAAACGTATTTGGCATGTATTTACTTTCACCGTCTGGTCACACTACAAAAGTGCAAAACAAACTGCTGCAATTTTTTAATATAATTTCTCTTGCTTGGCGCGAATTTTGCTGAAAAGAAATGAATGGAACGCGAAAAATAAAGTCGCTTAAGACAATACGAATGGGCGACGTATTGTACGATGAGCAAAAACGCCTTATGATACTTTGCCGCGGCTGCGAACGAAATTTTATGACGTTCCAATCGTTCCAAAATCATCTTAAGGATTGCTCGGCACTAAAATATATATTAAAGCCGGCCGATAAGTTAACATACGACGAGTCTAAGCGGGAAAAGAGGCTGGTAAATAGTCGACAAGAGGTGAGGATAATTAAAAGCAATTACGGTATTAACTTGACCCCATACCTTACCTGAAAATTTCCTTAGAATCCCAATAAAAACCTCCACTCTTGGCAGCTCCACATCTACGACCTTGAGGCGGTGAGGAATTCTAATAATGCTAGCAGTGCAATTGACTGGGAGGCGGAGCTGGAGGATCCACGCTGGTACACTGACCCTAAACCCACAGTACAAGCCATCCCGAAAGCCAAATCCAAAGAAAATATCGTAAAGGAGTTTTTGGTTCAGCTGAGCGATGAATCACCTGAAACTGAAGGAGTGCCTGCAAAACGGCTGCGTAGTCACAACACCACCCGCCGTCCCATCCTGACTACCCAGCAGCAACGAAGGACACGTAGCAGCCTTTCTTTGCCTCAGAATCCCACGGCTAAGACGAAAAAGGACACTATTTTAGTTCCTAATGTGCTGGATGAGCTAAAGCGCCTGGAGGCGTCAACCAAAAAGGAGAAGAATCCACTTATAGAACCAGAAAAATCATCTCGTTTGCCACCTTCTTGGACATCGCAACTACCTCCTCAACCGCCATATCAGAAACCTTCACCCAGGCTATCTGAGATGCAAGCTCCACGAAGAACATCTGAGCAACAAGCTCCATCTAGAACATCAGAAAAGCCAGAACCTCCTATAGAAACCAAAGTGACTCCTCTGTTTGAGGACTCATCCATAGATGGCACCCAGAAAATCCTCAATAAATTGAGAGCTTGCGGTGTCGAGGTTAAACGGGGAAATACACGCATGAATCCCACTCCCCCAAACGAACTAAGTCCAGTCAAAAACCAACAGACCCTGGATATTATGCGAAAACTGCAATCCAAGGGTATTAGATGCACCAAAGTTAAAAAATCGTAGTGCTGATAGATGTAATTGCTTAGCTTAAATAATGGTTTTACAATTAAAATTGCACAAGAGGCAAAACTAATATTATTTAATATAAATTTATTTTACGATAGCTATTAAACGTGAAATTCTTATATTATAATTGTATCTTATCAGTTTTAAAATATGAATGAGCCGTTTCATGTATTTCCCCATCTGTAGCAATGTGGCCGTTTCCATTGGTAGGCAATTATCGATTTAATATATCGAATATATATCAGTGTTGGGCAACTAGATAATTTAAATCTTCTCTTGAAAACCACAAATTATATTATTTAGTTTTATGTATAATATTTGAAACTTTAAAGTTATTAAAAATAATTGTCCATTAATTTTTTACGCACAAAACATTTTAAAAACTTACCCTTTTTCTCATTGCTGATTTGGCTATTTTCTAAGTTCAATAGTCGGCAGCACTGTGGAAGAAGAAGCAGCTTGTTGATTTTCGGTGCCGCACGCGTTTCGGTCGCAAGTATTTGAGAATATTTGTGCTCGTACCCGGTTATATATATTTTATAGTTATTGAAACACTAGTAAAACAAAATCCAAAATTCGCGTGTGTTCACCCATCTGCTGAGGCGGTACCAATATAAAGGTAGGTCAGCTGATTGCCACTGGAGACAATAACGGGGCTTACATAATTTGGGAACAGAACATTTGTTTTGTCCCCAAAGATTTGGCTTTCAATGCAGCAAATATGACATCACTCCGAAATTTTTAGAACCTCCTGTTTTCTTGTTTATGCTTAAATAACCTTTTTGATAGTTTTGCTGCAGTTGCATCATTTTAAGTATTCCTAACGTTTCGGGCGCATGATTTAAATGATGTCCGCAAATAAACTCCAAAATTCCAGATTGATATTTCAAGAAAAAAGTAAACAAATCAGAGCTTGCTATATTCATCTTTAAGTGGAAATTCCTAAGCCATTCATTCTTAAATTTTCCTCCAAATTTTAACCATCCAGTAAAAACACAATTTTATATTTGAATTAGAATGCAATTTTTATTATAATTATATTTCCACTTTTCACTATTATTTATTCATGTTTCAAATACTTTTATTCTCTTAACTTACTTTAGGGCACCGACCAAATCTGTAGACCATATTTCATTTAATCCACTACATTCTGCTTTGTGAGTTTCAAACACTTAATTATCTAATTGAATTCGTTACATTTCGACACTTGTATTTATTCAGAGTTTCATTTTCGTGGTATTTTTAGGCTAAACTATTTAGTGCATGTGCCCATTTGATTTAAATTAGTGAGTCTACCTGGTTTTATTAGTTTAAGGTTTAAACATTAACTTAAAGCTGCTTATTGTTTGCATATCAATCAATCGTTTTCATTTCGCTTTCTCAAATCACAAAACATTTACATAGTTAAAGTAGTTAACAGTGAGAAACAAATACGGAGACAATAGATTAGAATGTAATCAACATTTATACGAAAATAGATGGTGTATATATCATGTAAGTGTAGACTTATTTGAGAGTGGTGCACATTTAAATGCGGCGTTTAACGTTTTACAATTATTTCATTATTCATTTAATATAAACAAATCTGATATGGGGCTGGCTGGGAACGGCTCCTCTGGCCCCCCAGATGCTCACTATTCTAGAGAGCGCCGGCGCAGCGTCTTGCGCACTCCTCCGAAGGCAGCACTGCTGCGATCCAGGAGCTCGTTGGATAACCTTGCCAACAAGGGCAACTCCCGCATTGAGACATTAACCGAGGGCAAGGGAGCCAGCTGCTGTTGCAGCTTCTTGATAGGCGTGGGCGGTGCAAGGTGATTCAGCTGGTGGTGGGGTGTGACTGGCAAGCTGGCTGTAGTGGCGCAGGTAGTGACCTTCACCTCAACCACATCACAGTGGCGTTTCATAGCCTCCGCACCTAGAGAATCGGGTCGCTGTTCGGTGGACTTCAAACGGTTTGTTTGCTGCCTCTTGGCCGTTTCTTTGAGCATCATCAAATGATCCAGTTTGTCAACCGTGTCCTTGAGTTCATGCTCCCACACATCATTCTGCTGCTGACCATCTCCACCCTCAATGGGACGCACTGCTAGGATCTTAACCTTCTGACGTAGGGCTTCCAAATCACGTTCATCTACCACGCCTCTGAGTTCACCAGCTCCCGTCTCATCATAGTCGCATGCATCCTCCTCATCTTCAGTTTCGGCAGCTGCTAGAGGAGTTTTAGCACCCAGGGACATCTGACTGCCAGCTATGGAGGGATAATCGCATTTCTCCAGCTCCATTTGGAAATCTGGTAGCGATGGCAAGGCACTGGAAGTCGGCGAATTCAACTCCGCCCCCACACCCGGCTCGCGGGGTCCCGGCGGAGTTGGAAAATCACCTCTCTGCCTATGTATATCCTCGCTGATTCTCTCCAGATTACGCAAGGCCGTGGAATAAGTGCTCTTCGCACCGGCCACCTGCTGTTGCAATTCCTGAATGCGATTCTTTTGTGTCTGCAGCTGGTCCTGGCACACTTGTTTCTCCTCGAAGTACGGTCTCGACTTGTTGATGCTCCGCCGGAAGCGATCCTCCAGCTGCTGAAGTTTTTGCTCGGCGGTGTTAAATAACTTGGTGAGCCTCTGATGCTCGGCATGACAGTCGGCTTTCTGGGTCTCTGCATCCATCACCTTTTGGGTAGCATGGTTGAGCATCTCCTGCCAGGCATTGTCGAACTGCCATTCGTGCGAATTGGACATAAATCGTTGCTCGGCAAGCGCTACCGTTTCCTTTGCCGCGGCATGGATTTCTAAAGGGGAGATTATTGATTTATTACCTTTTCAAAGAATAGATTTGTTTATATACATACCATTAGCACGTTGGAATTTAACTGCCGCCTTCTGGCATTCGATTTGTGCTTCGCGTGCCTTATCCAAAGCCTCGTAGTAAGGTCGAGCTTTCTCTATGCAGTTGCCCAACTTCTTGGAGGAGAGCTTAAGGCGACGCGTTGATTCATTTAATAGGATGCGAAAAGTGGAATTTGCCTCCTATTAATAATATTAATATGTTATTGAAGTACTCGATATATGTTAGAGTTTTAGACTTGCCTCTAGCTCAATTTCTAACTTATTAATCTCATCGGTTGCACTATTGAGATTCTCCAATTCAATCTGCAAGAAAAAGAAAATTTATTAGTTTCATTTTAAATAACAACCATTTAATTCATTATTTAATTAATCTCAAAATAATAATTTCTTTCAGTATTTACTTAACGCCTGCCCACCGAAATCAGCAAGATGCCTCAGTCGGGTCGCAAAGGGCCCTCGCCCAAGGACTCCAAATACGACCTGAGCAAGATCTCAGCTCGGGTTGATCGCGTCAATGTCAGCGGTCTGCTTCGTACCCATAACGACTATGTGATGAGGGCGGCGGATGCACTGTTTAAGGCTACCAACTTCCAGGACCTAATGCTGGAGGCCATGTCAACTAAATCGTATTTACACGAACTAGGCATCTTCAAGGATGTGAGCGTACATATCGACATTAGCCGTGGAGCGGATGCCAGTCCCCAGGGATACGAGGTGACCTTTAAGGGCAACGAAATGTCACGCTTGGCGGGATCGGCGGGCACTGAGATTGGTCAGAACGAGGGCTCCCTGCGAACCGAGCTAACTTTTCCTAATATTTTCGGCCGTGGCGAGAGCATTTCACTGCAGGGCAGTTACAGCAACACCAGAGCGAACGATCTACAGCTTAAGTTCTGGAAGCCCTTCTTCCATACACGCTTTAGGGAAAATCGACCTGAGTAATGAAATTTTTTTAAGTTTTATCTTGACTTAATTACATTGAATCCCCTTTTCCACAGATTTTCCTTCAGCATTTTTAGGCAAACGGATAGATTCAACATTAGCTCATTTGAAACTACCAACATTGGTTATTTGATAGATTTCTCAGCACATACTATGGTGGGAGTTGATGTAAGTTTATGACACATCCATAAAAAGCATGTTGAAATCAAAGATTTGCTTTTCATTTATAGTTGACGCACTCACTGCAGTATGAAAACTCTATTAGAGATTTGGGATTGTTGAACAAATCAGTTCCCTTCGCCATACGGGATCATTGTGGACCAAAATTGGCCTCATTGCTGCGCTATTCAGTGGTCTTTGACAATCGGGATAACAACGTATTCCCCACTCGCGGCATTTTACTGAAATCAGTAAATGAATACTGCGGATTGGGCGGTAATGTCGCCTACACCAGCAGCACTGGCCACGGTGAAGTAAATGTTCCACTGTTTGCCGGCTTAGTGGCACAGTTTTGCGGTCGTGTTGGTGTTGTTAAGGAGACGAAAAATACCACCCAGTTGCCTATTAGCTCGCTGTTCTACTGCGGCGGTCCTTTGACACTGAGAGGATTTCAGTTTGGAGGAGCTGGACCCGTCATTGACGGCACACCCATAGGAGCTCAGACTTTCTGGTGCACCGGCGCTCATCTCTGGGCACCACTTCCTTTCGCTGGAGTCTTCAAGAACTTGGCCAGTCACTTTAGAATGCATTTCTTCTACAACCTTGGCAACAGCAATAGTTTCAGCACAGGTTTGTGATAAATCCTAAATAATATCTAACATGATTATAATTATAATTTTTTTTTTGTAGAAAACATGCGCAGTTCCTTTGGCATGGGTCTGGCGCTCAAACTAGCTGAAAGAGCCCGAATTGAACTAAACTATTGTATACCAGTGAGACGCCAGACCACGGATAAGACATCAAATGGTTTCCAGCTTGGCATTGGCTATGAATTCGTCTAAATGAAGTTCCCTAGCATCCATTGACTGGATGGATCATTAGCAAAAGCCATGAGAGTCACAAACAGCTTAGTAACAAACGAAAATCCAATTCAAAACATATGGCTGCCCTGTCCTTTAACAGATTATGTTTCGTATTTCTTTTTGTCAATGCATTTTATTTTCCTCTGAAAATGTATTCGTAGTCCAGCGATCATTTAAGTAGTTCCTAAGGCGTGTACATACGTAAAACGAAAGGTTAAAAAAATACAAAAATGTTGAACGAATCGAAATGTGATTTTTTAAACCAATGGTCAGGGGAAAGGGATTCCTTGTTAATCAATGAATATGTTAACTTAAAGCACAAATTCTTGATAGTCTTGTACAAATTCATAAATAATTCTTCTAACATCCACAAATTAAATTTGTTTGTTTATTTTATTCAAAAACGATTTATGGCTCCATTAACGTCGACAATAAAATCAACCTCATAATGAGCTTTATTTAATAATATTTTTAATTAACTCTTTTGAAAGCTATAAATAATAAAGATTAAATTTAAAAGCTTAAAAAATATTTCAAAGCCACTGCAGTTGCCCGATGATTTATCCTTCATTAATTACCTACATATTTTAGCACTAGCTAAAATTTAAGTACAGTTTAAAAACTGCGGCACCTATATATTTTTATACCCGTTACTCGTAGAGTAAAAGGGTATACTAGATTCGTTGAAAAGTATGTAACAGATAGAAGGAAGCTTTTGCGACCCTATAAAGTATATATATTCTTGATCAGGATCATTAGCGAAGTCGATTGAGCCATGTCCGTCTGTCCGTCCGTCCGTCCGTCCGTCCGTCCGTCCGACCGTCCGTCCGTCCGTCCGTCCGTATGAACGCTGAGATCTCAGGAACTATAGCAGATACAAAGTTGAGATTATGCATGAAGATTCTTGAGGTCCCGGGACAGCGCAAGTTTATTACAGCATCCTGCCACGCCCACTCTAACGCCCACAAATCGCAAAAAACTAAAATTGCTGAAATCTCAGGAACTATTGCAGATAGAAAGTTGAAATTCAGAGAGTATAATCTTCAGATGACAGCGCATATTATAGTGCTGCTACTATCCGGCCACACCCACCCATACGCCCACAAGGCTCAAAAGACGGTTTTCGGATTTTCTAGAAAAGCTGATATCTCGGTAACTATAAGAGATAGAAAGTTCGGATCAAGCATGTATGTTTCTATGATGCTCCCAATGGGAATTGTTTTTTTCCGATCACGCCACGTCCACTCTAACGCCCACAAAACCCGAAAAACCAAAAATGCAAAAATCTCAAAAACTATAAAAGCTACACAATTTTGCTTAAGAACACCTATTTAGGAGATGCCTCTGCAACTTGCCACGAAGTTGCATCCGGCCACGCCCACTCTAACGCCCACAAACCGCGGAAAACTGTGGAGTCTATAATATTATTATGAATGCCTTCGTTTGACCTTGTGTAACTTATTTCTGTTAATATCTATCGATTTACAAAAGATTTTTCAAATCGGAACATTATTTCGCTATTTATAAAGAAATTAAGTTATAAGGCCTCACATGGGTAGTGACGTCACTGTAAGCATACTCAACATACTTCCTCTGACAATAGGTGGAGCATTGTGAATTTCCACTAGCAAAATAATATTTTAAAATTTTGTAAAACAGTAACGGGTATCTTATAGTCGCGGCACTCAACTAAAGCGTTTCCTCTTGTTTAAAATGAAATCCATGCAGTATTCGTAAATGTCAGGTTTTTATTTTGTGGATTTACCATTTACATGGTGGACAGCCGGCGGGATTGTGTTCATGGATCGGTGAACTGCATGTGGTTACAGTTTTTTGTTTGGGTTTTTTAGGTTTTCCTTCTTTTTTTGTTTTGGAATTTCAGTTCGGGGGACCCAAGGCATATTGTGGTCGAAAAAAAACTGGTTTTAATTATAATTTTTTGTTGTTCATTTTGTCTGCCCCTTTTTTTACGGCAGCTTTTTATTAAGTCTGTCCCAGTTTGATTTTAATCGCGGTGTCCGTTGAACATTTCTCCACATCCCGGACATGCATAAAACAACTGAAGATAAAGGCGGGGGCTTTTTGGTAAGGGCATGCTCGAGTTGCCTCTGTAATCGAGATTGATTTAAGAGCCAAGACCAAGCCAAGTGCGAGCGAACCTCTAAAATTCCGAAACTGGTTTTTCGTGTGTAAACAAACAAAACAAACCGGTTGTAGGCATCCGGCGGCGCAGATGAACATTTCAACACTTGAACTTTCCAGGAATTCTGCAGCCCAAAGGAACTTGTTTCTGTGCATTTCCCTGCATTTGCCTAACTATTGGCTGGTCTAAATGAAAAGTTTACAGGCTCCGCGCCCTTCACTTTTCTGCAACTAAATAAGTTGAGGAGTAAAAACTCAGGTATATAAAACTCCGGTAATTAAGGGCCCAAGACCTCATAAAGCTGTATATTATAATCCTCTCTACCTCTACATTACGCCCTTCTTCGCCAATGACGCACAATCAAATGAGTAAATACCATAAAAACATTTTATTGCAATGCGATTCAATTGTAAATACTGAAAAAAGGTTAACATATTTACCCGCCAAGGCAGCTGTGTGTTTGGCTGCCTGGCAGCTAAAATATTTGATTATCATCAAATAAACAAAAATATTGTGCATAAATTAAATGTTGAAATGACGACGCAAATTGTATAAATATTTTCGCAACTTTACGTACCAAGCATACAAAATGCAATTGGTTCAACAAGATTGTATAAATATAAGGAATATTTATCACAAAACCAAATCGAAAAAATATTCTTGGAAAATTTTAACAAAATGATTCATTGCTCGCCAAAATAAATTTCAACTCTAAGAAACATAATTTCATCAGCGCAACTCCCCCTTTAATTATTGATTTTATACGTTAAGTTTAAAGCTTCCAACAGGGTCAAAACCAAATGGAACGAGGCCTGGCCTAAAACGTTACCAAATCACGCGATGTGCTGATGGGTTTGCGTCGCGTTCATTTTGCATTCGTCAGAATCGCGAATTGCCAAAGGGCGGCTGACTGGCTAAAGCTCAACTTGAGTCACAGACTATGAATAAAGCCAATCAAATGCTAAAGGTTATAGCCAGGAGGAGCGTCCCTTGACTAGAGGATTGGATATACCAAGAAGAAGATGACGTGAGTGTGGCTCGTTAGGGTCCAAAATCCAATTCAGACAGACATGAGGGCGCCACCCACGCTTTGCTTGTGGATGGATGAAATTGGGGATGACGACTGGACTGTGTTTGGCTAGTAACACGTAAGTCTCTCAGGTGATATTTGGAAATAGATAGTTGCCACAAATAGATATAATTGAATTATATTAAGTTATGGAATGATATTCAGATTTAAGGAGTGCTATAATATAAAAAATGTACAAAATTAGGATAAATCCATGGTAAATAAAATAAACAAACTGAAAAACAACTGATTGTGAAAGAATTCCTTGTAAAATAACATATTATTAACACTTCTTTTCCACCCTTCAAAGGAACCACCCCAACTCATTATCGTACCATATCATATGATTAGGTTATTAGTTTATCCCAGCCACTCTCTCTCAACTTCGTACACCCCTTTGTTCCCGGCACTCCCTTCTGTTCCGGTCGTGTTGAGGCAGTTCCGCAATGACGCCAGCTGCCCTTTTGTGCCGGTGGCGTGATGCCGCCTAAGTTGACCTGACCTACATCTGATGGTGACAGCTTTCGCCCTTCCTGAAAGAACCAACCGCCCCTAATTTCTCTGCAGACTTTTAGCAAAATGGCAAGGAAGAAACTGTAATGGAAACCTACATCGATTTGACTTGCGCAACAAAAAAGGAAAAAAGGAAGCCACAGGGACTCGTAGGACGTTCAACTCAGGCGGAAGCGGACGTCATTGAACGAAAATAATGCGACAATTGTATGGAAAAAACCATCAACTTATGCGGGAAAATAAAACAAAAAGTGCCACTACTCTGCTGAGAAAGTCTTTTGCTTGGCAGGTCAAAAAGATATGGTTATATAAAGGAAAACCTCAACAGCGATGCGTGAGTGAATCTCTGGCGACCCGAAAATTAAGTCAACGTAGCTTGACAATTGCAATTGACCGCATAAAGTTTTTATTTTTAGTTCAAGTTATGTCAACTTGGTAAAAAAAAATAAATGAGACCCAGCCAAAAAAAAATATACCGCGAAATTTTTTTTTCAGAATTCGTGTGTCTGACCCACATTGGACAAATTATTTTCAATTGCTATGCTAAGTTATATTCTTAACTTTCTCTTTATGACCAAGCAATTCAGAGCAAAGGTCAACCGAACTCAATTTAAGTTCAAAGAAACTTTATGAAGCTCTTGAAAATATTACCTATATTTGTACAATTGCATACTACAAGTTCATGACTGATAAGATTGCCTCTAATAATGCTATCTCTATTGATTTGATAAAGCAGGAAATGACTGCCTAAGGTTCAACTATATACGACGAGTATAGTATGTACATAATCTCAATGATTGAATGTCATTAACAATTCCGACGACCGAACACAAAGCCAAGCCAAACTTAATTCATTAAAGCTGAAAATATGTATGTGGAAAATTGAGTGCGGTAACCGCTCGTCGAAAGTCGCAACTGTGTTATGCATCATTGACTATAATGATAATGATGATGGTGGTGGTTGAGGAACCCCTGGGGGATTGCACCCGTCGAAAGGTTACAAAACGTTCATTTAATTGAGTAAAACAAACCTTCTGATAGAGAAGAGACGTTTTATTTATGCAAGTGCAATTCCCAGCTGCTTTGTATATATCTTATTATTTCTCACATAAACTGAAATGCTTTTTAACGAGCTTCCTACAATTGTTTTGCCTTTTTTTTCACTATAAATAAATGTTAATAATTGGGACTTGCGATGAGAAGCGCTTCTGACAGGTAGTAATTGTGGGTAGCGTGGCCGAGCGGTCTAAGGCGCTGGTTTAAGGCACCAGTCTCCTCGGAGGCGTGGGTTCGAATCCCACCGCTGCCACTTCTGAACAATTTTTTTTATATTTTTTTTACAAAGTGAAAGCTGTTTTTATCCGGCACTACAACAATAGATAATATATCAAAAATAAATTGAAAATAAAAAACAATAATTTAAAAGCCTATTCATCGTAGTACAAGCAATCTAAAAGCAGTTATAAAATCCAAGTAAAAATAAATGCTTTCTTTATCTCTGGTTTTGTATAACCTTTGGGTTAAACAAATATATATATATATTGCGATATAAGCACAAGTTCGTATTCGTAATATAAGATAAGCATAAAGAATATGATAAAGACTTTGGGGGGACACCTGATATATATAATATAAAAGCTGACTCACATATCGGACACGATTTTCTGATTCATAGCCGGCTAGGTCGAGTTCTCTAATTCGCGATACTCGTAGTCTCACCTTGCTTACGTAACTTAACTCCCCGATAGACAAATGTCATTAGTCATTTTAAATTTTTATCAATTTGACATGCACCTAAAGTTTCGCCTGATAATCTAATTATCAATATTAAATGGAGGGCAAGCCAAAAAATATTTTTGAATTGCTTCAGAGCTACTTCCACTTATTTCTGTCAATAAAAAAGCCCCCTTTGTTTCTTTATAAAAGCAATTATCGTCTAATCGATAAGTGAAGCTAAATTATTCATTTGTTTTGGATTAGAAAGTTGGAAGACAAAAAAAACGCGGAGCACGCAAATAACTATATTCTTCAGCTAACTGACGCGTGTGGGATTTTATATACAAAAAATTAAAATAAACAAATAAGTGGAAACAAAAAGAAAACATCTGTAGACACACGATTGTAGTTAAATAGACTTTGCTATATCAACACTGTGTCTATTCTTTGTCGTCATCAACTTGAAAAAACTCTTTAGATAACGATTTTAGCACGCGCAAAAAATAAAGAAAAGAAAACCAAAAACTCATTGATAAATCATTGGCAAATTAAAGGCAACAAAGTCGGCTTGTCTAAAGAGGAAGTCGAGCATAAAAAACATTGGGAAACAAGGCAAAATATCCAATGCGAAATATTTTGCGTTTTTGGTAATATAGCAGATGTATTTGTTTTTGTTGTCTTTCTGAGAATTCTCAAAACCGGTTTCGGTACAGTTCGGCATTTTGATTATAAAAGGTACTCTAATGATTGTTTATGAAAAACGTTCGTTCTATCAAGAGTAGCTCCTATGTATGTTCATTTTCCCATACATATACTTTCGGACATTATCGACGGCTTCAATCTAGTCACATGCCGTCTTGTGGGGCTAGAAATCAAAATGTTGTTAATGACTTTGCGCCGCGTGTGACGTATCTCCCACTACGATTTTTGTTTAAAAAGTAAAAATAGATATTATATATAGTAGGAGGTCTACAGCGGGATTTTCATTTGTCTATCATAGGGGATTCACAATAGTGCTATGCCTTTTAGGTTATTATTATTATATTATTCAGAAAATTATTATTTCAATAAGAAATATTTAGAATATTTAGGAATAAAACAAAATAAAACATATGTAGTTGTTATACTTATATAAGAAAATGTTTTCAGGAGCTTCTTTTATTCTAATTTTACTCATAAAATGTGAATACATTTTTCCAGTTTTTAGTATGAATCGCTTTTATTCACAGATTTATTATTTTTCCTGCCCATTTAAGGCCATTAAGCAAGTGTGCGATTATTTTGCGTAGTTGAATGAGCAGCATATAAATCTTGATTTATGCAAACTGCGACTTGCGCATCAAGACATTTTTGTATTGTCTGCCTTACACAATAATAAAACAAAATAAAACTAAAATCAAAATAACAACAAAAGGCAATTGTTTTTGTTGCTGCTTTTCGCTTGCGTGTGCGCTTTGGTATTTCCACTTATTAAATTTGTATGCATACCTCTCCCGAAAATGCGAAGAGCCGAGCAAAAAAGAAGAAGGGGCGAAAGATAAAGAGCAATAACCAAGCTGCACTTGAATCTCATTTAGGTACGGAGTTCAAATTCGTTTGAGCAAAAACGACAACAACAAAAAGTACCCAATTTACTGGGAAGTGCGTGGGATTATTTGACACTTTGTGTGCTCCCTTTTTCCTGCCATCTCTATTGTTTTGTGTTTCACAATGCATATTGAACAGTTTCGTCGGAAAAAGGAAACTTGCAATTTGCTTAAATGCTGTGTAAATTGATTTTCTGTGTTGGTTTTTCGTTTTTGGAAACCAACAAAGCGTAAAAAAGGTTCACGCAATAAATGAGTAACAAAATGGAATGTGAAAACGCCTGTTTCCTATTCCCAAAAATACAGTAATCACTCTCCCTGCTGATAAAAGTACTTGTGATGTTTCTAATGAAAATTGTAAGAAATTTCTTCTATATGGTTTTAAAAATATCTCAATTTCAATTTTGTTCCTTTAAAGGACTAATACAGTAAAACCGGATTAGTAAAACAAAATATCACGCTTTCGAGTAGGGCACTGTACTAACAAAAACTGCAATGCAAAAGAGAACAAGTGATAGATAAAGAGAATTAGCAAACAAAGCAGCCTGATTTTTGTTATTGTCATTAAAATACCGTTCAATTCAGTGCCAGGTACGAAAGAGTGAGAGAGCGGTAGGGAAAAATATGGGAAGGACAGCGGGCAAATTGCCAAATAAAAATCACCTGAATTTGCGGATCCAGTTCGCCGTCTTCTGCATTCGACATTTTCACTTGTTTTCACTGAATCTGTGTTCCAAATGCAATGCAAATATGTAAGTCGCCAATTGCTTTAATTTTCACTTTTCTGTCGTCCGCTTTTCAATTGAAAAACACTTTTGCATTTCACTATTTGATCTCGCTGTTTACACACACGTACACATCCTCCGTCTATCAATTTGCCAGCCCGTGTGTGTGTGTTTTGTTATTTTTTTCCGTGTTTTTCCAATATTATGTAAATTGGTGTTGGTTTGTTTTAACTGGCAATTTGTTATCCGAGTACAGTAATATTTAAAACCAAATTGTTCAATGTGCGTTTTAAGTTTTACAATGAAGTTAATAGCGAAAGAGTGAGAGAGGACGCGCGGGGATTACGATAAATGTGAACAAAACAAATAGTACAATAGACAGGGCACGCTGCTTTTCTTTCTTTTCACTTTATTCACTGCCCTGTGCAGTTGAGATATTCAATTATTTCGCTTACAAATGCTAAACTATCCTAAAAATTAAAGACGCGTCCAGCCGCGACGAAGTGAGAAGCAGAATACAATGTGACCGCAAAGTAGTATTACCAGTCGGTGTATTAATGCTGAAAAGTACTTTTAGTATATTATGTCGATGTTTTCGATAATTCTTTTAGGTGGCGTCTTTGGCATATTTTGAAAAATTGGTAACTATACTTTAATATTGAATAATAGTTATTTACTGCTATCACAAACAATTAACAACAAGAATATTATATATACATATTCCAACCCAAAATACCTTCGATTATTAGCTACAAAATAGCTAGTCAGCCTAACCGTGGTGGATAACTTGGATAGATATAGCTATGGCTCGAAGACACGGTGGGCAACGTTGATAAGGTTATCTCAGATTCAAACCCGCCTATGTTAACAGAAGAATATTCGAAAATTCTCAATATTTTACTATGAAAGTTTATTTTATTTGTTGTTTTTTTTTTATCATTTTTGTTTTGCCCATTATGTGCTTTACATGTTTGTGATTTTATTTGTATTTAATTCTTTTACTTTTTTCCTTATATGCGTTTTTAATCGAATACTCCAATTTCCTCTAATGATATGCGCACCAAACAAATTTTGAAATGAGCGCAATTAACAAGAAACTCAAAAATGCTCTCAAAATCAAAATTTTTACTAATTAATTTTTTATTTGTGTAAATTATAAAGAAGAAGGCAATTCAAGAGTATACCACGGAATTCAGCATTAATGCCCGATTAAACATAATTTATAAAGATGGATTCGTTTTCCACTTTCTTTTCTTGCTTTCTTAATTAACCGCTAATATAAGATTTATATTTTATATAATGCATCTTTTTTTACTTTGTATGGAATAACACTTAATTATACATTCATTCATATATAGTTTGATTTCAGTTGTAATCGTAACAAACAGAAATATGTCTGTGCAGGCTGATTCAAAAAATTTTTAAATGAAATAAAAAGTACAAATTATAGATAAATGCAATTTGAAATTGTCTGAAGGGGATTTCTAGTAGTTCTTTTCTGATTTGTAGTGTGTGTTTAAGAGGGTGCCGCGTGGTTCATTTCTTGCTTTTCTCTGTCGTATAGTATCAAACCACTAAATACTTGTCCATATAAATGATTTCGTTTAAATATTTATTTATATATAGAATTATATATATTTTATGCTATATAATAACTATGCAAGTTCTGCATATATGCATGTTGCGCTTCATTTACCATTCTTCTCCTTCGTTTACTTGGATATTTTCATTTTGTATTGTTAACACTCATATTTTCTTATGGGAATGGGACGAGAGAGTTTGGGAAAAGTACAAAAGTATACATGGTTCGTCGAAAGCTTTTCAGTTTTAGTTTACGTTTTTTTTTTACTACACAATGTGTAAATCGAAATGATAGAAAAGACAACTAAACGCGAATGCTTCCTCCTACGCAATTGGAATAAAAAATACAAAAACAAGTTGAACTTAATTAAGTTGAAGTACATAAAAAACATTACAAGATACACCACTCAACTTCTACCGGAAAATTCAGCTACACTACGATTTGTTGTTTGATTGGAGATTTATTCACTGTCTATGTTGAGGCCCACTCGCTTCTCCTCCTCAAGCATGGCGTCCAGCTCGTCCGTGAGATTGGCCAGCATATTGCCAATGTCGTTTAGAACGTTCACCGAAACTTTTGGCGGAACGCCTGTGTTCATGGGCACTGCTGGAGCTGCCGATTCCGGTGAATTTATTGGCTCAACCACGGCTGATCCTCCAGGATTGGACATATCCAAAGTGGGTGAACGCAGGTGCAGGGCACTTCCACCGCTGGCCGTGCTGCCCATGCTTTCACTCCGCGCCAACGTAGCATCGTGCAGCGAACTGGAAGATTTCAGCGAATGGAACGAATGCGCTATGTTTGCAATGGTGTTCGTGGAGGAGGAGCTGGAACTCGAACTGGAGGAGTGTAAATGGGCGGGATGGCCGCCGGGAGCATTGTTTGTGCCCACTGCCCCGCCCTGCAGCTCCTGGCGGTTGAGCAGACGCTGCTTGATCGTCCCTGTGTTCTCGTTGGCAAAGGGTATCGTGTCAATAGAATCGATGCTGGAAGTCGACTTATTGTCGTGATATTTCTCGCAGTGTATCTCCGCCGTGGTCTGCTGAATGGTGGCATAGTTTGCATAGATGGGCTGCTGACTACTTCCCGCCCCTGCCTGCTGTTGCTGCCAATGCTGCGCCGTGTGGCCGTAGAACATGTGCGGCGCTTGTGGCTGCTGTTGAGCTCCCTGTTGATGCGCCTGCGCAACCGATCCCGATGGCACTCCTTCTCCGCTCAGCGTTCGGGAGTTGCGTATGCTGCAGTGGCGTCTAGGTGGCTCTGGAGCTATCTTCTTGCCCGTCAAAGGACTTCCGCTCATATAAGTCTGTAAAAAGATAGAAGGATTAGCCTTAGATCCAATATGACCCATAACACCCAATCTTACCGCTCCTCCTTCCACACCGCTAGCCGCTCCATACTCCGCTGCTGCTGCCGCATTCATATAGTGATGGTGCTCCAATGGTGGCATCGTATTCAGCACCGCTCGTTGCAGAATTCCTCTCTGCTGGCGTGGCAGGGTGCCACCGCCTTCCTGCTCGTAGAGTAGCTCCCTTGTAGCATCGTTGGTGGGTGTGATGTCGCCGTCGTCATAGGACCGTCGCCATCCAATGCCTGGCGGATTGCTGCCCAGCAGTCGGGCGGCAGCAGCGGCCTGCTGTTGTTGCTGATGGAGCAGCTGCTGTTGGTGGTGATGTTGCTGCTGCTGTTGAAGTGTGGCCGCGGCCATTGCAGCCGCAGCTGCTGCCGTTGTGGGCGGACCAAAGTGGCCGTAGTCCGTGGTCGTGTAATGGCTGAAGGTCAGATGGCTGCGCGTGCTGTTGTCGTGGATGTCCTCCAACGATTCCAGGCTCTTACCGCGCGGCTGGCGCACCTGTGGAAAACGATGAGAGGCTCGTTATAAGGTGTAACTTTTTGAAATTAATGAGATGACTTTTATGAAAGTTTTGCAGATTAATCTTATGTTTTAAAACGGAAATCAAATTTCTAATAAATAAAATATCTTTACAACATTTAAATCAGTATTAAAAGGCTCACAGAAAAAATTAAAGAAATCTAAATAAATCAACGATGTTCCATGACATATGCTGGCGTTGCAAAACTTTATCCTTAACCTAGGATGTTTATGAGGTACTCAAAAGTTCAAGGCCAACGAGCTGTTGAGCTTTTTAACTTTCGAGGACCAAGTGCCCACCTTAATGAGCACCACATCGTTGCCCGAGCAACACTCATGATTGCTGCCCGTGCAGTAGTAGGCATCTCCATTGGTTAGGCTGCTGTTCAGGCAGCTGCTCCCAGGCGGGGCAGTGGCATTCAACACACTGCTGGTGGCGTAGATTTTCGTGTCGTCCCACGAGACGCGAGTGGTTGGCACATAGGATGGCGTACTTGGTATGGGCACATTGAATTGCCATGGCTTCCGTTGGTACTCCTTAAGTTGGTCATCATTTGGTTAAGGGAAATCATAAAAAACAAGGAGAGCAAAACAGAAACGAAAACAAATTAGTGAAGAAATTAAAAACAAATTAACTTAAATGGCAATAATTTATGGTATTTTATTACATAAAAGAGGGGAAATACCAAAAATATTAGATAAGGTTAATTAAACCAAAATCTTAATAAGTAATTTGTGTAAAAATCTTTGAAATTATAAAGTGGAAAAAGTAATACTTTCTTTCTTAAATTTCGAACAGCAAAGACCATTTTTTGAGGTCATTTGGTTTATAAATAGCTTGGATTATAAAGACAACTCTTTCTTGCCTTTCCTTTTGTTTCATAAACATTCCCTTTTTATAAAACCCCTTTCTTACCTGCTGTTGGTAGGCATTGGTGCCACCTGGATTCCACTTTCCGCTAATGATGTCCTTCACCCGCTTAATAGCCAGCAGGATCTTCTTCTGATGACCCAACTTGACAATGCCAATGTCCTCGAGATCCTCCCAAGTTACTTGGGTTACGTCGCGCACCGTCTTATAGTTCTGCTCCAATAATGGCTGAATATACTCCTCCAGACGCAACAGCTGCAGCCATTCCTCAATAGATCCCTGGAAATACGAGAAAAAAGAGGGAGATTTGAAATTGAGACGTCATCCATTATCGTTAGATTTTATGGTAGCCAAGCTAATCGCTTTTGATTCATGTCTGAGTAGAAGGGAACACAGATCAGCTACAGACTACAAATTGTCCATGAACTAGTTCAGACCCCGCTGATAAGGGGGGGAATTGGATGGGTTGGGTTAACATATATGGCTGGTTGGTGTCTCTCATGATGAGCCTACACGTCCGTCGCTCGTCGTCGTTGCAGCTCTAATCAGTTGTAATTGATAAGATATGACATAAATCGCGTCAAAGCACAGGCATAAAGAAACGAATAAAAGCCAAAACTCGTTGCTGTCGTCATTAAACGGTAGCAGGCCAACACAGCTCATAACCAAAAGTCGCTATATACCCCGTAGATAAACACACATACACGCATAAGATGCAGTCGAAAATCGTTAACTTCAATGCGTGTAAAGCTTTTTTTTTTTTGATACTTTATGTACACGATGTGTTAATCAGTTTTTTTTCTGGTTTTTCTTTTTTTGGGAAGCCTTATGGGTGTCTGCTATTTCGGCAACTAAATTGCTGTTGATTTCAATTTAATTAAACGTCTTGTCTTCTGCGAAAATATGATGTGATTGCTGGGAGCGTCGCGCGATTGGAAAATTTTCATTGAAAACTTGTGATTGGGAGAATGTTTTATGAGTTATGGAAAAGTTTAAAAGCTATATTTGTACGTTACAGGCTTTTTTCTTATATTTTTACACATATTTCAATATATTTCCTTATTCTACAAAGTTTTCAGAAAATTTATAGGTCATTTCCCTCCCTTAAACCAATAATCCAATTAGTTCTCTTTTTGTTTTCTTCGAAATTCATGGACAACTGTTGGATTAGATTTGTTCCCTATACTTTTCAGTAATAGAATTCCTTTTTCAATGTCAAATTGATATGATCACGAAAAACCAAATTATTCCTCTCTGTTGTAAAGTAAACATGAGAATATTTTACAACGCTCGTTACTTGTTGTTTCAGGGAACTCTCTACTGGGGAATGCCACTTCAACGAGTATTAAAATAATGTCTGTGTTTGCCTTACAAACTCCAAAGTGAATGTCACACCAAGGCATTATAATAATAAGCCTGCATACACTATAACTTCATATGCTAATCGAAATCCTCCATCCTCCAGCGATGATCTCCAGCAGGCACGACACATATACATTTGACTAAGACTTTAACAAAATATTTATCTAAATAACAATTTTGTTTTTGGTGCTTTGGTGGCTTCACTTTGAGTTCGCTTCTCCGAAATCCATTAGCAGGTAGCATATGGTATGACACTAAACAGCAGCGCGGCGGCAGCCATCATTAGAGCAGGCGAAACAAAAAACTAAAACTGGTTTTTCAAAAGCAAATCGTTGACCAAAAGACAAAAAAACAACTGTACGTACTATGTACAAAAAAATAAAAAAAATAGAAAAAGTTTGAAGCGAATGCGTCAGTTTGAAAACCAAAAAGCATTTTGGAGTCTACTAACGGAGCCCGAGAATAATATTAAGAAAAAAAATACGGCAACATCAGCGCCTTATGACCCTCAAGGTCGTTCGTTGATTGCGGGCTCGAAAACGGAGATTGGCGACCGTTTAATAACCTTTTCCTTTTCCTTCGCCATCTCGCTTTTAAGGTATTTCGCTTTATTTCCTTTTTCGCTGAGATAAAGACGAAATGCGAAAAAAGAAAGCGTCGAGAGACTGTAGAATGTTGGCTAATGAGCGACGAAGCCAGCTCTGTTTTTCTTCAAGCCTCTCGTTATGGGTGATGTAAGTAAAAGTGCACGGTAAAAAATATTTTTTTAAAAAAATCTATATTATATCGAAGAAGTTTTATGATCAATAGGGATTTAAAAAAAACAACAATTTGTCTCTAGGAGAGTGAGAAAATCAAGTAAGAAAAAGTGAAAATGTGGTATCAAGGCTATATCATACAGAAATACGTTTCTGATTGTTAGAAAATTTGGTATGCTGGTGGGAATTGGAAAAATAAATAGTTTGTCTTTAGTTGAGAGATGTCTATCACTAAAAATGTGGCTGTTAAAGAGGCTTAAAGCTTATGTGGATATATCATATAATCCAAGACATTTTGTTATATTTGTGTATTTTTATAAGACTTTTGCTTTAAAGATTTCTTTATAACATATTTAAGGATTTGTTTTTCAAAATATATATAAAAATATCTTATGACTGATCTTATAATCCCACATCCCGAGATCTATCATGATCATCAGTAAGTTTCTTTTATATAAGTTGTTAATTATACGACTCTATATATTATTCTTGTTATATTTAAAGATAAAATCGTTTTAAAAACATATTTCCGCAGTGCTTAATATCTCTCCAACCGCACCCCAAAAGACAAAGAGTGTCTCGCCCAAGATCAACAAATAAGAAATATCGAATGGAGCGATAAAGAACGACAACAATACCGGTAACTCGACCACAAAACTTGGTTAACTTGCGAAAACAGTCACGGCGCGTTATATAAACAGAAAACACAACCAAAAAAAATGGAATGCTAAATAACAAAAAGCGCAAAAATTCTACAAAGCTATGAAAAAATATTATGGCGCATTTTTCAACTGAAATACAAAACCGTCTGTGAAAAAAAACAACAGCCGAGAAAAACAAAAGTTGAGGTCATTTCTAATTTGAAAAATTGCAGTTAAAAGGCATAGCTAAAGATTTTGAGGCGGTGCGATAATGAAACACTAAAACGTAGGTTATTAGTTGGAGAAAAACCAGCAATTAACCGAAATCGAATGGAAGGAATGTGGCACAAATTTGAAGTCCGTTGAATGATCAATAAAAGCGATAAATGATACTTTTCTGTATTCGCTGCGCTGGCAGGTGGGCGCGCTGCAATATGGCCAAGTGGGCGGGGAATGCAGTTAACCAGCTATATAGTTAAATATGTACGAGTATGTACATACATATTGACGAAATGAATCAGTTGAAGCTGCAGTTGAAGTTGAAGATTATGGCCAATGGGTGTTAATCGGCTCTGGAATGCCCGGTGTAAATGTGGAACTCATGCCAAGAGATGGTATACATATACACCTTATATATAGCCAAACAATTAATGTTAATTTATGTAGGTATTTTTGGAGCATTTGTTGTTCAAAGACACCACAACATTGACTTGGTTTCTTTTTCAAGTTAGAGCTTAAAATTCGGAATAATTATGTTGGTCAAGCTTGTGAACTCTGAACCGATGTTTCACTTCTTATTTTGTATGCATTTCCAGATGTTGATTTTATTCGGGGTTAGTCATTCGATTCGAAAGCATTGTTTAGGGCTAAAACGTGAAATGCATATTGATAAGACCTCAGGTGGTTGCATTTTGTAAGTCACGTACTAAATTTAGTGCAGTTATATGGGGTAGGGTAAAATTTGCTACAAGTACGGAAGTTTAAGGGGTGATATAGACACAAAGGCATGACAAATAAGCATTTTTTTAAGAAATTGATTAATAATAACGATAAATAATATAAAGTTTTACTATTTTTTAGTTTAAACTAAAACAAAGTTTCTTTTTTTCGTTTTCAAACGGATATTAATAAAAATCTAGATCTAAAACCAATTTAAAAACGGAAATAATGCAAATTCAAAGCGAATTATATCAGATTTTGTACTTCTCAAACAGTTTGTTAACCCCCACATAAATCCATTCAAATCTATTATTTCCGCAGCTAAAAACTCAACTTTGAATGGAATTTCACTGAATGTAGCATTGTTGGCCATCATCTTAGTCATTCAGCTGGAACCTTGATCTGTCAGATCGATTGGCTAATGATCAGCTTCGAACCGGAGAGCAATTATCTGCGATGGAGCAGGTTGCTGCTGCTGCTGCTGGTGCTATTCCAAGTTCAACTTAATGTCACCGAACAGAAATCCACACGAACGGACTTTTAATTTTTCGATATTTATTCACTTTGCTCTCGTCGTGTTTTTAATGAATTGTTGATGGGAATTAATGTGTGCATACTAAATGAAATTCTTTCATTAACAATTAATAAATTAAAAAAAAAAAAGAAACAATTTTCGCTGACGGCGCTGTTTTAAGTTCTCTTTATCTCTTTCGCATGTGGGAAACAAGTTTATTTCCTTAGCTCTTTCCTCTCGTTTTTTGCTTTTTGTTTTTTGCAAATGCTTATTTAATGAAATATAAAAGATAAGCCGGTAACTAAACAAGCAAGCAGGGTAAGAGAGATAGAGAGAGAGAGAGAGAGAAAAGGGTGTTGCCGGCCACAATTAATGCCAATATGGCAATTTGCCAAGCTTGCAGCTAGGTGTGTATGTGTGTGAGAGTCTATCTATGTTAACAATGACTAAATAAGTTGCTCTACGTGATTGCAGGCCAACGTTCACAGTAGTTGATCGCTGACCCAGGCAATAGTTGGCTTTTAATCTTTATTGTTTTCCAACTTTAGATCGTTAATAACTTATTTCCTTTCAAATGGCAGCAAGGTATACTTTTTCTTTCATTGTTGCTTTTTTATATAGCTTTTTAAGCTTTAAAATTGTATTACTTTTGACCTTTTAAAACTTTAGTATTAAATTATTGATATTTAATGTATCAATCGCATACAAAAATTTTCGAATTTTGAAGGTAATCCATGAACTACTTTATAAGTTTGAGCAATCTGAAACTTTATTTCTAGTAAAACGTTAGATAATGCCTTTTTAAAGAAGTTTCTCTCTTTTTCTTAATAACCTTTCAAATTGTACTTTACTAACTTCTCACATAGCAAAATCTTCTTTAGATTTCCGCCTAAAAGTCTCTACTGTACCATATAGTGCATCACGAGCTGAACTGGTTCTGTACTGATTAGATAGGCAAATATTTACGGGCGTGCTAACAAATAGAGATATTTCTCCGGAACTCCAGACTTTATTGCACAGAGATAAAGTTAGTTTATGATTCCAGAAAATTCTTCTACTTAACAACCAGGAAATACTATATAGTTTTACTGATTTATATGGTTCCTTCAATTCAACATTATTTTCTTTAACTCTAATTGAAATTTTACTTACCGGCACAAAATGCGGCAAATTGTCGAGCACCTGTAGCTTGTCGATCCGCTGCTTGATCCTCTCCCGATGATGCGGATTTTTAATGCCAATGGCGGTGAGATCCTCGGGCGTCATGCGCGCAATGGTGGGCAGATCGTAGCCCGCGGCGATGAACAGCTGAGCGTACTCCTCGTGCTTCATCTCCAGCAGCCAGTCGATGATCAGTTCATCGTTCCGCTGCCGATCCACACTGCCAATGGAGCACGAGCTCACGGAACTGCAGCGCGGCGAAGAAAGCGGTGCCCGAATCGAAGCGCCCGACGAGGAAACACCTGTCAGGTATGAGGAAGCTCGACCCGAATCCAAACTGGCGGTACTATGACGAGATCCAGAGCCCGCCGAGCCCGAAGAAGAGCCTGGGGAATCGCGACCAGGCGATTGGGTCAAATCGATGCCCTGATCCTCCTGCAGGGCCAGCTGCTGATGATAGTAAACGGCCGCTTTGTGGGTTAGCGGTTCGCGCAGTGTGGCACAGAAAACGGGTGGTGGCGGTACCATGGCAACTCCTGGTTTTCCAGCTCCTGGTGGTGGTACTCCACCAACCACCGAGGCTCCACCACCACTTCCTCCTCCGCCAGGTGATGAAGTTACCGCTGGGCCACCCACTTCATCCTTCAAACGAAGAGCCACACTCGTCTCCCGGGGCAAGTTGAAGCCACCCTCCTCCAGCGAGGGCGACGAAACGATACTGCTGCCGCTCATGCTGATCCCATCGTCCGCCTGGTGATTCTGGTGATGTCGCAGTGGTCCGCTTAGCCGATAGAGCGGTATCAGCGGCTGGTGACTGGGATGGTGATGATGGTGTTGCTGGTGAAGCTGCGGCTGCTGATAATGATGCAAGTCCTGCGGCGTATCCCCTGGTATCGTTGGCGGTTGCACCTTCTTAGCCTGTGCGGTAGATGCATGCGGCTTCAGCGAACGATGCATGATTATTATGGGCCTCTACTGGCCGCCTGGGCCGTATCTTCGCCGACTCCTGTTGAAAAAAACACACACGAAAAGAAAAAACATGGGAAAATCAGTACTGCAGTTAGGCAAATGTGTCCGCCAGATGTGTGTGCCAGAAAACAAGAAATCTGCATAATTGGTCATAGACAATTTTGATGTTCTACTCTAAAAATAGGGCTCATAACACTCTGTTTACTCGGCGATGCGGCAGCGAGTCAATAAACTGCGCCACGGGTTCTCCGATGCTCTCCCAGCCTCCGGTTTTTAGGCCTTATTCCCCCTTCCATTCCTTCACCCATTTATCTACTCCACTGCATCGTGTTACACTTTTCATTCACAAAAAAAGCTGTCAACTCTAAAGGTGGCGACAGGGGGTGTACCCTTTGATTCAAAATTATAAATTAATCAAATACCTTCTTTAATATAAATCTTTAGTAGACATTTTTGGTCTGTATTTAATCAGAAACAGAAACATTTTCTAATAAATTTGCCTAGATGCAGACATGCCCGCCTGATACGCCCTTGATGCCCCCAAAAACAAACACCAATGGACGTGTTCTAAGCAGCTGAGAAAGAGAGAGAGAGAGAGAAGCAGGGCGAGTCCCTGTTAAAGGGCGAGGACTGTGAGGCTTTGGCTGCGGCACGAGCTGTGTCAAAGTTCGTTGACTGCATTTTGTGGTTCGAAAATGGGGGGCAGGGCAGCTGCTGCCGCTACTGCTGTTGCTGCTGTCTAGTCGGCAGCGTCATAATACACTCGAAAAATGCACGGGCAGGCCTCGGACGAGCGAAATCTGGCAGAAAGTCACGAACGAAGCCCTCAACATGTCATTAGCAGCAGGGCGCAATAATAAAGCCGCCCGATTTACGGGGAAACAATAAAAAGCAGCCAAAGCTGCAGCAGCTATTTCCTGGCAATTCGCTTACAAAGTAAGTCTTAGCTACGAAAAAAAAAACTCGAGTAATTTGGATCTCAAAAGGCTGCAGTTGCAAATGCCGCTTGGACTATCGATAACTTGGTGGGGCCACCTGTTCGATTGGAAACTCGCTGCCCGGCCGGCGAGCAAAAAACCAAAGCGCCAGGTGTCATAATCCGAATGAGGTTTACCCTCTCCCCCTCCATCCAAAAAAATGTGTGTGTGTTTATGTGTGGGTTGCGGCAGGAAAATGCAGGAAAAACGTAGCAAAAACTAAAAAACGCATAACGGTGGCAGTAGTAAATCTCATTTACAAGCTGCCTTTTAATGAATTTTTATGTATGCGACGTGCCGGAAAAAAAAGGAAAAACTGCAACCGTTGCGAAAAACCCCAAAGAGAGAATATTCTCTCCCACTAGCTCTCTCAAAAAGAGAGAGATTTAGAGAGCAACTGTGGAGTTTTCGCGTAGTAGGGTAGTATATCAACTGCAGCAGCAAATGTGGGTTGCGGTTTCTCTGTCGTGTATTGTGTTGTTTTGCGGCCCACACGAGCTGCACCCACCCAACCACCGCTTACCCTGCCACAACCCTCTACTCCCCTCCCTTCATATACCAAAAAACCACCCACCCACCAGATGTTGTTGAACCGTTTCATGCGGCCGGCATTGCAGTTTTTTTTCATTTTTCCTTTTTTTAATTTTTGTCTTTATTTTTTACCCTGTTTTTGTTATCCCATTTTATGAGCTACCATTGTTGTTAGGAGCTGTAAGTTTAATTGCAAACATGAAACAGGCAAGCCTCCCTCCCCACCCACACTCTCTTTTATTAAGCGGGAGGGAGTTGGGGCGATGCAATAATGTGCAGAGAAAAAACATCAAACAAATGGGTTAGCAAAACCGCTGGGAATTATAATAATTTTTACAAATGTTTAAAATCTTTAAGATGATGATTGAAACTTGTTAAAAATAAAAAGAGTATTTATCTAATTAAGAAATTATGATCAGAAAGATTCGAACTTCAATGAATCCAAAATCCACCAACTTTGATTTAACTCTCACAGATAAAAATGTTTTAAATTAGATCAAAACCTATACAAATTACCCTTATTTCTAACATCAAAAACTTAATATTTTCTAAAAATAACTAACAAATAACAACTGTTCATGTTTTTCTTTCAGTGCCTTGCCATTATAGTGGGTGGTGAGTAATCGTAATGAGCATAACACTTGCCCTGTCTTGCATGCTCGGCGAATGCTTTGGCTTTGGCTCAAAAGTGTGGATATAAAATCGAAATCAATTTGGAATCTATTGAGAGGGGTTCTCCCCTGGCGAGTGTTCACTGTGTGCAGCATAAAAACTGATTGGAAATGCAGTTGGAGGCTTGGGACCTTTTGGGTGTTGGCAAATACATAAATACAAAAGGGAAATAGCCGATGGGCGGGGAGGGTTGCTGGGTGGCTGGGAGGCCAACAGGCTGAAAGATTTATTGATTGTCACACACACACACACACACAATCACATATCCACACAACACACACACACATACATACTTAACGATAGATGTACAATGAAGCGGAGTTGCGGTTTTGAAGTCGGCAGCAAAAACGCTGAGCAACTAAAAATAATTATGGTTACACCAGTGCTCTCAACACATTGAAGCCCACAGATACAAAAGAGAGGGTGGAAGGGAAAAACTGATAAATCTGATACAAAATGACCGCAATCTTTATACTCTTTTAGAGAAAAAGTTGTAATGAAAAGTATATTCAATTGGTAACTACTCTTGGATCAGTACAATATTATGAAAACGAACTAAATAACATTTACAAACGTAAAATTAAATTCAAATAAGTCTTTATTTTTCATGTTACTCATTTTTAAAGTGTTAAATAGTATCTATACCACTTAGATAATAGTTTTTAATAAGTTAATTACTTACACTTTGAAACCTTTCATCTTATATACAAATTTAGATAGGAATTGCAATGGTTAACCCATGGAAGCTAGTTATTTGATATTATACAAATATATTCTTTAGCCTGCAACCCAAAAGTCAACTCAGAAATAGCGTATTTAATCTTCGCTAGATTCGCCCCATTTAGTGGCTCGTTTTCTTCTCTTTCATAGCGTTTTTGTCGCTGTCGAGAGCCGTTAAAGTTTACTGGCATGAGTAATCAGCCAAATGGAGCGCAATAAAATGGCAAACGGTAACACGGCCAATCTATCACCAGAACGGCCAGCTCAGTCAGTAGTACACTCACCCACCCATCCACCCACTGAATAACTCACCAACCCATCCCCTACCAGATGGCATATAGTGCGATATCTAGAGACCCATAGGAGGTTGGCATCAAATGAGGCGCATCTCAATCTCATGTTTATTAACGCTGCTGCTAGTGAGAGTGTGTGTGTGTGCTGGTGTCATTAAGCCAGATAGATAAAGGTCTCCCCCCTTATTTCCACTCCATCTGAAAATAATAACACCACCCTCACACTACCCGTAGTTCAGTCGGCCAACACTTCATTATTGACAACAAAAGGTTGGCCGACTCTGCTTCTTATTTATCAGCTGCGGGTACTTTGCATATGACAACTTTTTTTTACTCTTTCACTAGCATTTTCCCTTCTTTTTTTTTTGTATACTGCCTTTTATTTTCCTTTATTTTGCCCGAAATGCAATGGACAAAGTTCGGACGTACTTTATTCGTGTTTACCACGCCCGGGTCTCAAGTTAAAAAAAAAGGTTTTGTACTTAGTAGAATATTTTGTCAAGGCAAACAAAAAGAAAGAAAGCTACAAGCACAGAGAGAAAAAAGGTCATCGAATAGTTCGATTCTGAGGTAAATTGGGAAAATATTTTAAAGTATTACCAAATATCATACACTATTGGCTTACTTAAATATTAAATATAGAAATATGATTCTTCGAAAATGTGTTCATTTCATTCAATCGAAAACTGCGTGTTTAACTGTTGCACATAGAAAGGCAGTGTGACCTTGCAATAGAAAATCCGTCGAAAATTAGAATCATTTTAGTAAAGAAAAGCCTGTCTTTTAAGCTCTACAATAATCTTAACTTTAGATTCTTTTGATTTTCTTCAAGAAATAAAAGTCGTAAAAAGTTTACAATGTGGTTTCCGTTTAGTTAATTTTTTTCCGCTGTGCAACAACCACAATAAACGTGGAGCGACAACAACCAACAACCGCACAAAAGATGGTGTCGATGATGCTGCTTGCTTGCTGCCTGCTCTGTGATTCCCTGCCGCCTAAAAACTTTACCATCTCTTTGCCACAAAGCCTGTCGATAGCTCGAGATGTTGATCTTGCAAAGCGCAGAGACAAGCAGCAGTAACCACAAGCTCCGACTCCGACTCCAACTCGAAACTCCAGCAACAATAAATGGCCAGAGGCAGCCAAAACTTGTTTTGCCTGTAAAAGGGAGTTGTCGCTGCTGTTGCTGGTGTTGTTGTTGTTGCTGCTGCTGCTGCTGCTTGTGCATTGTCTCTGCGTTTTGTTTCAGGTTTCAGGCAAACGCCAAGAACAGGCAAAAACAGCGCCATAACAGCTATATGAAGTAAAATGCAATAAGGAGCATTGAGGGAGCTGTACTGCTACCCTATAAATAAACGATATTTAAGGACAGTTAAAAATCAATATTGTAATGAAAACCCAACAAAGAGGCAAATGAAATATTCACTATGCAATTACTTTTTTCAATTATCGCCAAGTCAACTTCAAAGTCTTCGTGGAGCTTGATATTTAACTTGCTTGATTGCTCTAATTAAATGCCATTTTCAATATATCCTTTTGCAATTATCTGCCATTTTCAAAGTTCATCTTCTTTGAAAGAGGCCCATGAATAATTGATGGCCTAATGGCGAACTCCACCCCATCTCCATTCTCATTTTCTATTGCCCAAAATCAATAACGCACATGTTCCAATAGTAATGGCCAAATTAGGCGGACATATTCCATTAGAATTGGTAGTATCCCCCCAAACCCAATCCGTAAATCACGCTACGAATTCCACACATATAGTATAACCCGATATACCTCGTAGTACCCTTTTATGGTCGATGTTTTTGAAGGAGCGGGAATAAAGCTCGTAGGAGGAAAATGCAGCACTGAAGATGTGTCAAAAGTGTGGGCGGGCGGGTGGTAAAGCGGACAAACAGACAGACGGACGGATAACTTACGTGCAGTTTAACGGTTAATGCAAACGAAGACGACATTGCGTTGCGCATATGGCATATAGTACAGTACAGGAAAAATAAAGACACAGAAAACAGAGACGGACCAAATACGGCGGACAGGCACGTAGAGAAATATACTCGAAGTCGTACCAAAAGCGGCCATCAATTCCTTCTTTTTGTAGATATTTTTTTCTTTTCTTTTTTTTTTTTGGTCAAGAAGAAAGGGGCAAACAAGTTGTAAGGCGAGCAATGAGTGCAGACAAAAGCAGTTACAAGACATGACGAAGAAAGGCGAGAGCGGGGTACAAAGGGGGGCGGAGGGAGACAAGTAGGTGGTACACAGAAAAAATGTGGATATATTTCAAGTTTTATTAGACACTTATAATGTCAAAGAAGACAATACAAGACAAGACATGACCTTACAGTGAACTAGTGGACACATATTTTACAAGGATAAAGAGGTTGGCGATTTTCGTACATTGGTCCTTTTAGTAGCTAGATAATATGTGAAGATCTATCTGGAACACAATGATATTTTCATCTTTAACAAACAGTAAGGACAATATATGTAAGACATATAGGAAAATATGTAATAAGATAGAAAGTTATCCAGAAACCATGATATTAAAAAATACAAGTTAACCAAAGTAAGATAAAAAGATACATATTTAGTGCTCTTGATATCCTTACTATTATAAATCCCATCTCATTGACCGTCTTTCCCCTATTAATTTCCCTAAAATGCTCTTTTTCTCGGTGTAGCCATGAATAATGGAGGGCAGTGCCAGGCGTTTTACAGCTACATTGAACTTTTTGAGACGTTTTTGAGCCACTTGCCTTTTTGCCCCGCCCACCGCCTACAAATTTTTTTTTTATTCGCCGAAAAATCGTATGCGGCTTACTACTACGCACACACACACTACAAAACGTAGTCACACACACACACGCACACATAGGCACATGCGTAGGATTTTGCAGAACAACTGTGCAAAAAATATGTAAATTACCATGGTAAAACGATGAATTTCTTCGAGATTTCTATGAAAACCCAATGATGACACTTGAAATTCACATTAACTGGGGATTTCACCGGGTTAGCAATTGATTTTTCATATGAAAAATGCTGTGCAAAAATTTCTTTTTACGTTAACACCAACACACGCACACACACACACACATACGCGCGCGAGCGTATACCGAGCAGAAAAGTAGCTGTATGTTGAGAATTGGAGAATCGGAGACTTCGAACGAGAGGAGCCCGAAAAAAAAGAGAAGCGCCGACGACCGCAAGCCAAAGCGTATTGAAACGCGGCTCCAGCATTCGAGCATTAAAGCCAGGTCCGTAAAAATCCGATTGGAGTCCGGAGTCCTCGAAGTTGTCAGTGAGAGAGAGAGCTCCAGCCGAGAGAGTCAATGCTCCAAAAGAGAGCAAGTGCGCAACTTGTACTTGTTTTTCCCGCTCTCTCTCTCTCTCTCTTTCAAGGAGAGAAAACCATTTTTCTCAGCGGCCAATTTGTTGCAATTGAAACAATAACAATTCCACTGGGCAATTTGTTTCGGGCCTGGCAAATTAGTTAGTTAATAAATGAATGAAAGAGGACTGGGGGGAAAGATGTCAAAGAAAGAGAAATGGGAAAACAAAGCGTAGCTTCAATAAGCAGGCACAGGCTTTATTCCCTAAAGTGGTTGCCATTGGCAACGATGGAAATGCACTCGGTACAGTGGAAGTGGGTCCTATAAGCAAAATTATTAAGATAACCCATGTATTCATATTAGGTTTGGTTTGTCAAGGAAGTTAAGGGCACCTTAAGTTAGAAACAAATTTACAGAAAAGCAGATGAAATTTAATGACGTACGTATCTTGTATATTAATAGCTTCCTGATCTGACCTATATTTCAAGATAAAACCTCTAGTTTAAGAAGTTTTTCTCACAGATAACATTGTATAAGATATTATTTCTATACTTTGCTAGCCATAGGCTTTTATAGATCATTCAACTTGGATTGCTTATATTTCTAAAGTAAGAAGTTCAATGTGATGGGAAGAGCATAATAATTGATAATCTGCTTATCTGTTCCACTGTACGTTGAATGCCACAGAAAAGACAAACAAACCGAGTCGCAAGCACACACACATGCACAAAAACCAAGCACAACCACTTTTCATGCCGCACAAGCCAATAAGAGAAATAGAGAGAGATATGGAGCCACTTTGGGGAGAGAGAACGAGCGAGTGAGAGAAGGCTCCAGCGGTAACTCTATTTGAGAAACGCGCAGCTGCCGCTCTCTCGCTCTTTCTAATCTCTTGGTGGAGCTATTACAGACCAACTCCCCTTCCCCATCGTTATTCTAACACTTCATTGGAGACAACGACATCAAGTCATTTGATTCCCACACAAATCTCTGCATATTGAGCGCGGTCTCTCGTCCTCTCTCTCTTTCGCTCTTACCCGTTTTATTATGGCAAGTGAGTTATGGTTTTTGTTAATGTATGTGTGAGTGTGTGTGTGTGGGTACTGCGCTTTCTATTGATTTATATGGGTTTTATGGCGCAATCTGAGCCATAACAACCGAAATGCAAGAGGAAAAAATTACTCGGAGCTCTTGATTTTAATTAATAAATGGGGGGAAATTATGCAAAAAAAAAAGAGGAATAATATTAAGAAAAGCTATAAAATTGAGGCCGTTATTGTTATTACACCCCCACTTCTCACGACCAGAGTTGTCACGTGTCATTAAAAATGCCAGACACGTGTTGGATTATTAATTACATAAGCCTAAGCAACTGCAGCTGCGGTCGTGACTGCCCCTTCCCCACATTTCCTTTTGTTTCCTATTTTTTTCATGAAACCCAATTTCCTGCAGATGCTTGAAGATGCCGCATTTAACAAAAAGGCGCAGCGAAACAGCTGGCAACCCTCAAAAGTGACAGATGGCGAAGCCGACGTCGACGCTGGCAGCAAAGGACGAAGGCGGCATCAAAATAAAAACAGAAGAAAAGAGTTGTCGCCCGTGCAAAAAGCCGTAAAAATACAATAGATGTCAGCCGCTTTGAAAAACTAATTTAAATCTTATGTTAATTAAAAAAACTCGTAATAAGAACTTACTTAACTAGTTAAAAGTAACTATTTTTCAGGCTTTTGGCTAAGGTCTCTCCGCCCCTTCTCCTTTTTCACTAGACAAATCACATAAATCACAAGCGTAACGAAAGCTGGCACACAAAATGTAAACAATGTAAAATGCTCGTAATTGTTGCTTTTGTAGCTTAATGAATTTCACGTTTTTTATTACTTTTTCCACAAAAACAGGAGACAAACAAACGGCATAAAACGCACACACTCACTGTTTGTTGTTGTCTTTATTTTATGTCTGCGACGCGCGAGTAAAACATAAAAACCAGATTAATTTCAGGCAGACGAAATATGTTGACGCTATTTTTTTTTCGTTGGTTTCTTTTAAGCTGAATTTCTTGCTCAGTTGTTGTTGGCGCGACTGCTCTTTATTGTTTGCTGAGCCGCCATTTTCTTTCGTGGTAATTTCAAGAGTTTTATTTTAAAACTTCTTTAATATATTTAGCACTGTTTATTTTCAAGCAAAGTAAGCACTTTTTTTTAATTGTATTAATTGTGTATTATTTCGTTTTTATAAAGTAACGACAATTTAACGGGTTTCCGCGACAGACGTCCGAACAGCGGAAAAACGAAAACAAAACTTAGTGTTACTGCGGGCTGAATCTTGAAATATACCACTCAAAATTATCGATTGCTTGTTTACAGTTTTTATCGATGTTTTAGTATATTTCGTTTTTTTTGTAAAATCATTAAGACCGTTCATAAATGTTAAAGCCACAAGGCAAAATCATATCAATCTTTAAAGTACATTTTAATTTTAAATAATTTGATTTTCGTATCTCAAATAATCATTTTTAGTATTCAACAGTTGCCTATTTCTCCACCCCTTGAAAAATACTAAAATTGCTTAGCTCAAGTATTTAAATACCAAACCTAAACCGTGTTGGCAAACTTCAAACTATTTTCTGTGCTGTCACTTCGCGTTCTCCGCTTTGTGCTCTCCTTCCAAAACGAAATAAACGGAGAAATAGCAATGTTAGTTTTAATTCGTTTAGGCCATAACAATTAATTAAAAGTGAGCAAGTGCCAGTGCCTTAATTAAAATGTATGTGTCGCACTGATTGGCTTTAATTTAAATGTTTCGTATTGTTTGATTTGTCTCTCGGTCTTTGTTGTGCGGCGTTTTGTGCGTAGTTTTTTTGTGGTTAAACAAACTTAAGAAACTAGTGTGAGTCAAAGATTATGCTTAAGTTTAAAAAAGTGTTAAAGTTTAATAAAGCGGCATCTTAATTGAAAAATGTTAATGAGCTAAAACAGGTTGTAGGCTCTCCCGCTCACTCTTTCGGACCCGCTCTCTCTCTCTTTCTCTACCATTTGTTGCACTGTTATTGTTGTTGTTGCCAACTGGGTACTTTTAACAGTTACCTTGGTCAATGCACGGCATTAATTACGCTCAAATACTTAAGTAAGATGCCAAGTAAATAGGGGAAAAAGAAAGAGAGGACAAGAGTAAAAATAAACTAATTTGCACACTCGCTTTGTCGTGCTAATTCCACTTACTTTCCTTCGTCTTTTATTGTTTTGTGGGCGTTTCGCATGATTCATTCGTATTTGTTTTGTCTTATTCGTTTTGTGTTTGTCTCCGCATTTGGTGCAGCAAACCAAAAACAACTACCTGTGGCATGCAGTTAGCTTTGTGTGCTTGTGATTGTATGTGTGCCTCAAATGTCAAAGTTGACATTTCGTTTTGGGCGGGATTTCAAATCGGATTTTAAAAAGAGACACCGATAACGAGAAAACTTTTAATTACTTGACCATGGAAGATCTATAAGATCAAACAATTTTGATTTAATTTTCATAAGTATTTTTTTTGTTATAATTTTTTTCCATTTTAAGTTAGCTCTAAACTTAGAAGTAAGGCAAAAATCTCGCTCTTTTAATCCTAATCTTATATTTCTTATTAATTTTGCAGTTTTCTTTTATCAATTTGTGTGTGCCTGGGTGTTACGTGTTATCAAATCATTTTAGCCAGCTAGCCAATGCAGAAAATGCCATCGCAAATTCTAAACGACGGCAGCAGCGTCAGCTTGAATAGCGCCAGTATGAATATGGCCAATACGCCCAATAGCATTACGGTGAAGACCGCCTATAATGGACAAATTATTATTACTACCGTCAACAAGAATATCTCATACGAGGAACTTTGCTACGAGATACGCAACATCTGCCGGTTTCCTATCGATCAGGTATTATTGCTTGAAAATAATGTAGATATTAAAAATCTTTAACAATTACGATCTTTTATAGCCCTTTACCATTAAATGGGTAGATGAGGAGAATGATCCCTGTACCATATCAACGAAAATGGAATTAGACGAGGCCATACGACTTTATGAAATGAACTACGATTCCCAATTAGTCATTCATGGTGAGTGCGTTAAAATTTTTATGCGTTTGTGATTTTAAAATATATAGATAACGAACCATCATAATTAATGAATAATTTAAACATATTGATTTAAACTGCCGTTCAAAAAGTTAAACGTGGACGAAAAAAAAACTTATCTAATAAGGTCAGATAACTTATCAAAGTGGATTAAGCCAGGAGCTCAATTAATATAAGTAATAGTTATCTAATTAAAGATACATTATCTGCTTTTATAGTAGTACACACATGTCTGTCTATTTCTCTAACTTTTATCTACAATTCTCAAAGATTTTAAATGGTTTTCTGCTGCTGCCGGAAAGTATGCAGCAGGCAATTAATTAGCCAATAAGAAAATCATTCCGTCGTAGTCTCCAATATTTGAGCAAGCATATAAACATTTAAGCCTGATTAAACAATGTGAAAGCGCAACGCGTCTTATTAGCTCAATAAACTTGAGTTTTCCTCGTGAGTTTTTCTGCTCCCTTTCTGTAGAATTGCCGGCATCCAACGGCAGCATCATCCACTCGAGTTAATAACATAAAATATTAATTAACCCCGTACACATATACACACACTCATTCGCATGCTCGAGAAGCCAAAGTCTTATGGCAATTGCCTTAGGCAGACAGTGTTCTTCTACATATTTTTATTTGTTTTGTTTTCTCTTCCCCACCGCCGGCTTATTTGCATATAAATGCTGCTTGGATCTCGGCTCGCCGGCCTCATTTATAATTCATTATAATTAAATTGTTTGCTTCGTGTGGGTTTAAGTTTTCACCAGCTTTTTTGGAATTTTAATTTTCCTGTTCTGCGGTTTTCGGCGATCTCACCCATACTCAAACTCATCCGAGTTTTGTGCTTAATTATGCTTGCCACAACAACAAAAAAGGTTTCACTTACCACATTCGGCAAATGACAAACACAAAATCCTTTTGCACACTAAATTACTAAAAAAGGTTGAGTCGGGAATTTCAGTATAAACATAATGAATGTGGAATGCACTCTACATTAGTTGGAAACTTTGAGTTGATAATTGTATATATTAGTTTTAAGATATATTAAAGCACTAGTTATGAAGTATATCTATTCAACGTATTTCACAAATTTCCAACGTGAAAAGATTTGATTTATCCATTGCCCTTTAACGTTGACTTCCCAAAAATCTAGAGCCCTCTCACATATTCCAAGTTATCCGCATTATCCTTGGTCATTCCATACCTGTGGTCATTCTGTTTTTCCGAACACGGCTCTGGGAAAAACAAAAAAAAAAAAAGGGCAACTAACGGCCCAGCAGATATGATAACTGCCAGTCGCACTAAACAAAGTTGGTAGAGGGGTTCGAATGGGGGTTTTTTGATGGAGAGGGTGTTACAGTTTCCGCTTCCCTTTTTATGCGACTTTGTTTTTGTGCTGGGGACCAGGCTTCCTGATATTTTGTGGCCATTCCACACTCTCATATCTCCCTATGAGAAAAAATAACAGTGTGTAGGGACAACATGTTAGTTGTTGTTATACCCGGTATTTGAAAGTGGGCATATCTTATTACTGCAGTTCAAGCTTTCTATGTAAATTTTCATATGTATAAATTTCTATTGTAAGATTGTTATTTATATCATGAGGACAAACACTAACTAATTCAGTTCATATCAATCATAACAAAATATTTAATAGATCAGCCCAAAAGTATGCTGGAAGTTTTACAAACTAAAAACCAGGTATTTTCTTGTCGGGACACTTGACTACAGGATTCATTCTTGTTTTTTTCCCCATCTTGTTGTTATGTGGCCACGTGTGAAAAAATGCGGCTTAAAATGTATTAAAAGCATTCTGTGTGCGTATGTCCCTATGCCTATGTATGTGTGCGTAAGAGAGAGAGGGGCATTGTCAAGGTATTACGTTACCGTTACACGCACTCCTGCATATGTACATATGTTAGGATGTCCCGTCTGTGTGTTTGTATGCCGAACATGTTTTCTGTTTGTGTGCTTATTGTTGTTTTGTTGATTAGTAAATGGCTGTGTTGGTATATGTGTTTTGCATTTTTACAAGCCCTTGTTTTGACTTCTCTGTTGTTGTTTCTCTGTATTTGTTTTTTTTTTTTTTTTTTTTTTCGAATTTTTCTCTTTTTTACATTTTGTAAACTTTTTTCTTGTTCTGTTACAAGTGTGTGTGAGTGTTGCTATGGGGTTTTGGTTTACCTTCCGGCTTCATCTCCGGCCAACAAAAACTCTACCTCTCTCCAAAAACCAAAACAAAACAAAAAGCTAGAATCTGTAAGCTAGCGGTATAATTTATGCGCCTGCAATATGGCAACGCTGTCCGGCACACATACCTACATACATATATGTAGATGAAAAACTTTTGTCCAGGTCCGAAGAACTTTTTTTGAAGCCCAAAAGGTCGATACACAAGATGCCATTACTCGAGAGCGAGATAGCAATGGCGAGGAGAAGAGAGGCAGAGAGAGAGAGCATTTCCCCAGTTGCCACAAAAAACAGCTGAGCCGAATATAGGAATGGTATTACCATTCATTCAATCCAAGCTGGCAATGCTTAAAGCGCCGGTCTGCGGCTTTCATTTAAGCTCTCCCACTCTCTATTTCTGCTTTATTTTTAAAGTATATTCCCTAAGTGCTAGAAGAGCAGTGTGCGTCACCTGACATTGAAGAATCCTGCTCTAGCATTCTCTCTATTTTCTATAACCTACGCTCTCCATTGCTCTCTCTCTCTCAGCTCTCAGCGACTTTCTCCCTGGACAAATTTCCCTAGCATACTTCTTTGCATCGGCATTTCACTCGCGCGTTGGCCGCTCGCCTGTGTGGAAGTGCCGTGCGGATTTCGATTTAAAAGATACAACTTTTCGGGCTCCACAAACAAATACATAATTATATATATATATGTTAGTACATATACATATATATATATATATATACGAATTTTTGCACAGCTAAACGGCATAACGAGTTTCTGCGGTGTGAATTAACAAAAGAAAACAGCAAAAAAGCAATCAAAGTTGGAAGTCGCAAATAAAAAAGTACAAATCAGTGAACAACATAATTCTATATAATTATTTTCTTAAACACATTTCTGTTCGTTCTTCGGCAAAGTCCCGAAAATCTTACGGAAAAAAAATCAATTGCCCCTGGGCAATATTTTTTGACTGTTCTGTGCCGAAGTTGTCGTACATTTCTGATTAGTTGCCATACAATTCTCCTTGGAGAGAAGGGGGTGAAAAAAAGAAAGAATGGGGGAGGCCAAAAAAGGCTAAGGACGTGAATGATTAACATAAATTTGTGAATGTTTCTTGAATGAAAGTTTTAGGGCTGCTAATGAAGTACGAACTTTATAAGTGTGTAACCTTTAAGATGTAAAGTATTTTGTAGGCTTTTTCAATGACTTGATTTTATGGTCGTATTTTGTTGAATTTATATTTTTCTAAAGGTGAAATTTTGTTTTTATATGGAATATTAATAAGTAAACTATTACATATAATAAACATAAACCTCTACTTTTTAATTTGAATGGTATAATATTGAAGAATTTTTTATTCAATTTACACGACTTTTAAGTCATAAGTAAATAATACTTTAAATATTCATTTGACTATTCAAGGAAGTCTCCAAATTACGTATTAAAATGTAATAATTTCACCTTGTTCTCGAATGTATTGCATATTTTAGGGCGACAACAAATTGTAAAAGAGGTAAAACATATCATTCCGCCCTTTCAAATAAAGAAATCAAACGAGATGAAATAAAATCGAAACATTGATTTCCATTTCTCGTGGATTCCCTTACATTTTTTCCTGCATCATGCTGTTCTTTTTTCACGAATTTTTTCGGCTGCTGTGTGCCAGACACTGGCAAACAAAACCACACGTCCTCACATATACATAGGCGGCAAAATGAGGTGGTGTGTGTATGTGTGTGTGAGTGTTTGATGGTGTGCGAGAATCCCCACCCTAAACTTGACCCCAGGCATTTGCACTTCATCAAGAGCTGCTTGCACTTCTGCGACCGTCTGGTTTGTCCAAAACTTGGCCCAAAACCCAACTATACTATATACTAGAGAGATGGATCCATTCCGTATGCATATATGTTCATATATAGTATATATATATATATATATATATATATGTATAAGTATAATATGAGTCAGTGGGCTAGGAAGAAGCTGCAGGGCGAAACAATTTCCTTTTATTCTTTGTGGAAAGCGTTTTGCTGGCCGAACTGTCGCCCTGCCATTTAAACTTGTTCGTTTCTTTTTAGCCCGAAGGCTTTCACTCGTACCCAGGTGTGTAAGCCTCCTCCTTCGCCTCATCCAAAGTTAAATCAGCAAATTTCCACTTTTTTCCTCACTGTTTTTTCGGGTACCCTGGGGTTCTGTTTCTGTTCGGTGTTACTCTTAACTTTTTTTTAGGTTCCTTCTACAGCCTCTGCTGGGAGATTTGGTTCTCAGTTCGCTAGCTGGGCTGGCCCCATTATGATTGTTGGGCAAATTTTAATGATGCCATTGGGCTTAATGAAATTATTGTTAGTTCAGCAAACAAGAAAGCCCATTTTCGGTTGGTCGGGGGGGATCAGTGCGGTGTTAGGGATAGGGATGTGGGCGGTATCGCATGGATGTGATGGCATGGTTGGTAGAGGGCCTGAATTGGATATGCACATGACGTCCGTTTGGCTGCCTCATTTTGCCTGCTTATTCCATATCGCTTTTACACAGAGAAAATTTGGAATGAAGGGTTTTGGATTTAAGGTTTATCTTTTCTATTTGATCATAGGATTATTTTTGTTACACAAAAGGAAAAGATTTTCTCATTAAACTTGAAGGTCTTCAAATGCATAAGTTCTTAAATAAGATAATGTAGATGTAAAATACCTTCAGAAAATAAGTTTTCAGTGATTGATTGTAAATCTCTAGAGATTTCATGATAAACCTTGATTACAGAGGATAATTTTCCATAAAATATTGATCCATCGATAAAAATATGTAAATGGAGAGTAAACTTTGTAATATCCGAAGATTTAAATTCCTTTTGGAATATAAAAAGAGTTCTTCTTTATGGAACACTTTGCATGCGTGCATTCTTTCTCCGAGTGCCAACTTTATGGCATTCCGCATCTTGCCGTCATTCCCTTTGTTATGCTGTGTGAAATTTTATAACTGTCGGTGGCAGTGGTGGGTGGTGGTGGCAGGTGGAAAACTGGCCCCGCTTGACGTCACTCCGAAAGCCAAATTGGTGTTTAACTATTGATGCTTCTTGTCCCGTGTAGCTCTGTGGTATCTGGTGGTCTAAAGATGGTTTCTCAGACCTCCTGGCGAACATCGCCTGCTTATGTTTATCGTTATTGTATCGCAGGAAACACGACTCCTCGACGCTTGTTTGCCAAAGATAAAGGGGAGGACGGATGATTGGGCGCGCCTGAATGGTCAATAATTTGGGGCGTGTCGGGCTAAATATCAAAATTTGATGGGTTTCTGATGTAAGAAGCTGTGCTTATCCGAGCTATTGGAATATCTAAATAGGGTAGTAAATAATAAACAATAGCTTCTGGGAGTATTTAATCAATAACATTTTTTGTTTGGTTCTTAGAAGGTTGGTTTATTGAGATTGAAAATTTATGAAGATACTTTGTTAGGTCTATTTATTTAGGATTTTGTATTGCCAGTAAACAAATTATGTACTTAAATCCATTAGTTTGGCTTCCTTTTTATAATACTTAAAAGGAAATTAAGTTTCATTTTAAGCCTTCATAATATTTATGGTTTTTCTTAAAGGCTGATTGTTTATAGAACTTTTGAAAATCTTACAGAGTTTATAGTCATCTCCTGGGCGTAGTTTACTTATCCAGCTTCCAACTAATCACTTTTAATTCCCTTAAGCAAGCTTGTATTTAAAGCTTGTTAAATGTTTTTCTTGATTGTAAATCAGCTTTAATCTAGCTTAGTGCACTGGGATTTCAGGACTTTGGTTTCGCCAACAAAGGGGGCTTTAGTTGGGCAGGACCTGGACTGTGGTTCTGTTTGGGGATGCTCTGTACCCATCCTGGGACAAACAAGCAGGCAACCAATATTCATGCTCCAATTGCAGGGAAAACAATGCCGGCGGAGTGTTTATATTTAGCAAACGCTGAAGGATAGAACCAGCGAAAGAGGGGCAAACAGGGGTATAGGTTGAGGTGCATGAGTGGGGAGGGGGAGGAGGGTTGGCTAAATTTAATTCGAAAATGCATCAGATCCTGTTTTTTGTTGTAGTATTTTTTGCAGCCACCCCCCAACCAGTCACTAGAGACTGCATCATCAGCAGATAGCGTTGAAAATAAAGGAAAAACCCGAGAAAATGAGTGCCAAACAAAGGGATCTGCTTGCCTTGTCACGACAAGGCTCTTGTGTCAAGTGGAAGCTGTCCACCTAAGGACCTCGCCACCCCCTGTTCGACCCACTTCGACCCTCGTTAATCATGCGAATTATGCATGAAAGTGGAGTACTTAATTTCAATTGTCTAAACAACAAGCGATTGCTATGTGACCTACCAATACACTTGAAGAAAATTTTCTATTTACACTTGACTGCATCGGTGGGTGGATGTGGGTTGCTAAGTAAGTTGGTTGGTTGGCTTGGCTTGGGTTTTCGTCTTTAAGTGGAAAACAGTGTACACTCAAAAGGTTGGAACTATTTGTAATTATGTTAGAGGAAAATACAAAATAATAGAGAATTTCATAAAATTAATGATGAGGAATTTATTTATTTATTATATAACAGTTTTTAAAGTTAACAGTAAAGTTAGAAAATGGTCAACAGAAAAGTAGAAATGGTTTACTAACATTTAACTTAATACAAAATAAAAACCAATACTAATACTTACTTATAGAAATTTCATATAATGGACGTCTACTGTATCAGCAGAAATGTAGGAATGGCAACAGAAGATTGCATACTTAAAAGGGCGATTGTGAGCGAATTTCCCTGCGCGCGTCGAGCGAATTTCTCTCACAATTTCTCACGCTTTCCTTCTCTCACATTTATTCTCACTAATTTTTGGTCGCTCTTTGCTGCCTTTCACGCCTTTGTCAATTTGCAGCAACTTGTGCGCTCGTTTGACTTGGGTTAAATTGTTTGTGATTGTCGCAGCCATGTCTCTGTGTGGGTTACCAATTTCTCCAAGTGAATGTGTGTGTGTGTGTCTCCTGACAGAGTTGTCAGCTGTTCGGCCTGCATTTCTCTCGGTTACCCCGCTCGTTTCTCTCTTGCCTTTCCCATTATTACACAATTTATATATTTTTTTTTTAGGTGTGGTTTCTGCGGCGTCTGCAATCGGCCACGCCCATAGCCAAACGCAAAACGCCCACCGCCCAACGCCCATCTCACGGCCACATCCTTGTGTGCCGTCTCAGTTGTGTGTTTTTTTTTCTTCGTTCTTCTGGTTTTAATCAATCATTATAAACTGCGAGATCAGCAAAGTGGGCGGGAATAGAGGAGGGTTACAGCGCCTGTCGTTTGGCTTTGAAACTTTGCATTGCATAGTTTGCTGCGCCATGTAACTGTAATTGCAACTGGGACCTTGTTCCGCTTTCCTTCGCGATTTACTTTCTCCACTCCTCTGTTGTCTCGCCCTCTCCACCTATCCGCCATTTTATACAATTTTTTATACGCTCCATTTAGGTTGTGGGGTTTATGCTAAGTAGAAATATTGGAAGCACTTACTCAAGAAAACGCTGGCATAAAAAGCAAATTAATCAAGTATTTTGAAGTGAAATTAATTGGTTTTCCTAGAAAAGGATATTTGATTAAGCTGTGTGCTCTTTGAAAGCATTAATTAAATCAATACTAGGAGTGTTTACTTAACAAGTCAAATGGAAATTTAGAGTATTGCTGAATAGGTTTGTAATGACCTTGATTACAACCCAAGCTGATTTATAAATCATAACCAAAAACTTGATTTAATCAAGATCTTTGAAGTGCAACTTTCAATTTAAACTTACTAGTTACCCCACACTTAAGTCGTTTAGTTTCTTAGCTAATGCAATTTTATGTTAATTTATCCCAGAATCAAGACAAGTGCAAATAAACTTTAAAAAAAGGAAAATTAAAACTCGAATTAAATCAAAAACGAATCGAAGCTACAGCTTGGAGTGAGACTTAAACGAATTAACGCGACGTGAAGTGCAAAATTTTGTATAAATAAAAAACCAACATGGCCTGGGGCTATTGGTCCGCCACGACTGTGGATCGTGGGCGATCGCCGCGTCGCTTGACTCAATGTGCACCACTTCCGGTCAATATAGTGCAGCAGGAGGAGGAAGAGGAACAGCCCTGCTTGCCACAGCAACAACAGCAGCAACAACAGCAGTCCCAGCAGCAACAACAATCGCAGACATGTCCTAGCACACCATCGGCCAATCAGCAGGGCAGTGGCAATCTCTGCTACAGCCCCACCTGTCGATCCCGTTGCTCTAGTCCTTGTCCAGGATCTCCGTGCGGTTCTATTACACCGCCACCACCGCCGCTGCTTACATCCTCGCAGCAGCACCTGCACTCCAATAAGAATTGCCCAGCAGCCCAACAGCTGATGTCACATTTGGATTATGCGGCAAGGAGACAATCGTTGGATCAGCTGGACAGTCCACAGGTATTCGGATCATTGAGGTTTACATTTTCATCCAAGAACTCAGCTTGATGGGGTAAAGAGAGGTCAAGGGGTATGAGTAACTGATTTTTTGCCTGATTCATGGGTATTCAAGTTCATACTGGTTTTTTATTACTAGGTAGTGGGAAAACTAGACATTGAAATTCTTAATAATTACACCTTGCCTTTACATTCCAATCCGAACTACACTTCTGTATGGGCTTTTAAATTTGTTAAAGAGATTACATACTCGTATTTGGCACTTAAACTCGAACTTTATATTGTCAATTGATAAATACTTCTTAGTTCGATTTTTAATTATAGGAATAATTATTTCAATATATGACTCAGTAACTTTAGCTGATAACTTCAAGACAATGACGAAATGTATTCTCCCTTTGATAACTTAGTATTGGAAATTTATAAGTTCTTATATTACGTGGGTTTATTTATAAATAATAAAGAGCATGATTTATATAGATAATGACCAGAAGTAATAACTTTACTGACTGACTCAGTTTTCTTGACCTATTATAAACATTTTCTATAGCTATGTAGGCCTTAAAACTTAATTAAACTGATTAATCATAAAAAATCTCCTATACCTTTTCTTAACAACAACTTCAAGCTCAGTTCGATCCTAAATTCTGGCTTAAAACCCTTATCACTGACCTGGTTATCCATTCTATTCTCATCCCATTCCCATTTCAAACATAATCCAGTCCAAGTACTTTGACATTCAGGCCAACCAGCTGTCGGACATCATGTGCCGCGGTGCGGTGGTCAGTTCCATACAATCGGCGAATAACACATTGACCCGAGGCGTATCGATGCACAGCCGGAGTGGCAGTGCCCATGGGAGTCACCATGGCAGTCACCATAGTCACAGTCATCATGGCAGTGCCCATGGATCGCTGGGCTGTTTGCAGGGCGGCGTGGGAGTAGGAGTGGGTACTGGAAGTACAGGAAGCATTGGCATGATGTCGGCTGGTCACATTGATACGGGGGACTATGATGTCCCACATCCGCATCCGTATACCCATCACTATATGCAGACAACGGCATCGGTGACCCCGCCACATACGTCCCTCAGTCGACCAGGATCGGCGGGTGCCGTGTGCCAGGGTCATGACTCTGGATCGGATTCTAGTCAAGGTTGCGGTGGATCGATTATGGGCGGCATGCTGGTCATGGGACATCCGGGGCACATGGGTAGCTTGGGGCACCACAGTGCCGGCAGTGGATCGCTGGGCAGGTGCTCAAGTAGATGCCACAATACGAACACAACAACGACGGATGATTCGGGCGGTGGCAGCAGTGGTGGTGGAGCACCTGGCACCATGGGCAGTGGCTCCATGGCCGTGGGAATGCCGGGAATGCTGATGGACTATCATCACAGTCACCACAGTGGCAGTGCCGGCAGTGGTCTAAATGGTTGCGGAGGAGGTAGCATCGCTGGTGGGAGCATCGGTGGTAGGAGCAGCGTCTTGGGCACCATTCACAACGGGCATGGACACCATCATCAGCAGTATCACCACGAGTGCATCCACTATGAACGGCTGCCTATACCCGTGCCCATACCCACTGTGCCCATGGGCGTGGCACAGCCCTCGCAGCAGATGTCGCAGCATCAGCTACAATCGGAGGAGGAAATAGAGCCGGCCTATGCGACAGGTAAATCGGAATCGATATTTCTTTGGAGGATTTTACTTATGTAGTGGAAAGGTTTTATGTTGGTTTAAAAAAGTTGTATTTACTATTATTTAATTTAGTTAAGTAATGTTAAGATATAAATGCATTATTTTTAGTTGTTTTGTTAATAAATATGGTAAATTATATGTGTTGATTAATAAAGTTTGGCTTTGTTTTTAAACTCTGACTTTATTTTTCCTAGATTTTAGTTTAGTAATGTTATATGATTTAATGTTCTAAAAGATTGTTGTTTGTTTCCATTTATTTCAGAGTGTTTTTGATAATGTTTTAACAGAAATATTTCTTTGAATTATACTTTGTAATTCCAGAGTTTGATAACATACGAAAATTCTTATGATTATTAAACTTCGAAAACAATAATCTTGAAAGTTCCATATTTACGATTAGTTGGACATGATTACATTCACCAGAATGTCACATTGCCATTGAAGGCAAAGTAAAAACCAATTACTTTTATTTCAAAGCACTATTATTGTAATTATAATGTTGCTTTAAGCTTTTGTTATTACTGCCAAAAAACCTTTTAGTTTTAATGCTACGTCCAGCCATTAGATTTATGGCTTTTGAATCTCACGAGGTCTTTCAGAAGCGAACACAACGAATTAAGTGCAATAAATTAGTGCTTATCCAAATTTATTATTTCCAATAAATTATTGATTTTCCACGATGCATGCGTTGTACTTAATTTTATGGAATTGCCAGCCCCGATCTTATCGGCGAAGCCATTCGTCGCGCTCTCACTTGCTCCCAATAGGAGGACGCCGGTGACAATTCAATCGGCCACTTGAGCAGGCACTTGGTTTTATTGTTCTTTTGTTGTGTTTTTTTCTTGTTGGTTTCAGTTTTGGTTCTGGTTCTCTGTTACTTGCTTTTCTCTGTATTTTATTTCTCTGTTTTTTATTTTTGCCTATTCTTCTTGGGCAGAAAAGACTTGGGCTCAGTTCGTAGCTGAAAGTCGCGCGGTGACGACGCTTCGCGCGTTTTCAAGAGCGTTTGTTTGTTTGTTTGTTCAAGTGTTTGAACTCGGCCTTAGTGACCTCTGAACTTATCATATACTCAATACCATATAAACCCCCTTACCACCATTCAATCAAAATGATCATCTGGAGCGGCTTCTGCGAGGCGGCTCAAATATACAGCACACAAACGGCCACTTTTATGACCGGCGGAGCATCGTGTTAGTGAAGACTCTCATTTAAATTGCCAATTAGTCAATGTGGATTCCATGTAGATCAACTACAGTTGCACTTGCCTAAGTTAAACTTTAATTGAAACTTTGTTTTGTCTTAAAAGTTTAAACTTTAGGAACTGTGTGGTTACCAAAACTCAAACTTAAGTTTAACTTGACAAAGACATTGCTCTAAAAAGTTATAATTTCTAGAAACTTTTTCTGTGTTTGTTGGGTATTATTAATCTTGAACTGAATTTGCTTAGCTGTAGTTTAAGAGCTCAATTCTTGCATTTCTAAATATCTGTTTTCTTATCAACTTAAAAGTTGTTAATCTTCATTAATCCCAATCCAAGATAAAACATTGCTAATTATTTGTTATGAAAATCAAGCGTTAAATCTGATACCGAAAGATAAACGTTACCTTCCGCTGCGACCTTCAAATTGCTTAGCCTCACACCTCTTGCTTTATGACTAATAATGCATATCGCCTCTATTGTTGTTAACTATATACATATATATACTCCGATTCTAACTGTATTTCCCCACTCTCCTAGTCACTTTATAAATTCTGGCTGCCTTATCTCAAACAGTCAAGGCATTTACGAGGCACAAAATAAGAACCGGCTAAACAAAAATAGCAAAAACAAAAGCGAAAAGTTCAAACAAATCTTGTAGGTTCCTTATCAAAATTGATAAGCTAAAATAGTAGTAAGGGGAAAATATACATGCATAGAAAATATCAAATTCTAGGTCAATGCGAGGCATGAGGCAATATGCATACATGTAGAATCTATCAGAAATATTAACCTTGCAGACGGACAGGCGAATTTATTGAACCCTCGACTCCCTGGGGCGACACTTTAATTGAATTATGAATGAGCGATGAAGAATATATCTCTCAGATAGCTGAACAATTGGTCTCAATTGATGGCTGGTGGTCTCGGTCGGACTCCCGGAAAAGCTTAATTAACATTACTCGGAAAAGAGCAAAAAGTCTCCTTCTATCTGTATCTCCTCTCCGTTTAACTTCACTAACTCTCCCGCTCTTTATTTTGTGTATATGGTGCGTGGCACTGAGATAAGGAACTACCAGTGTTTGGAAATCGGATTGGTTCAGTCGAGGAGTGGGTGCTGACATGTTAACAACAGGCCTTAGCTCTCAGGTCTCAGCAAAGTACATAGAACACGTTCATGTGGCTCGGCAAAAATCCGTTTATAAGTAAAAATCAGCAAAAAAAAAGCAAAAAAAAATCTAATTAAATTGATAAGCGAAGCGAGGCAGGAAAAGTGATTTACCCAATGGGCAAACTAGCCTGTCGTAAGAATACATTAATTGGCTGACATTAACTATCTTCAATGTTTATTGTATAAATATAAATCACAATTGGTTTTAAGTTTTTAACGAAGATTGTTTCTTTTGTATTTTCAGTATTCCCAAATGTTCCTCAAGCGCCGGGATTGTCTTGCGATGGAGAAGATCGTAAGTACATATTTCTCTTTAAATTAACACATAATCCACCATGTGAAAGAACTTTGTTTATAATTTTTTAGAAAATAATATTGTTTTAAACAAAAAGTAAAGTACTTCGCATTATAAACAACATGGCTAAAGATAACTACTATATTTGTTATTGATTCATCGCGTTTTCTGATTCATAATAGCCATTCGACTTGGTTCTTGTTTTTGTTTTCGATTGAATATAGCCATTAAGGACTGAAACTGTTGCAGTTTGAAAATAAAATTTTCTCAAACAATTATCAATAAAACATAAAACAGTTTTCTTAATATTTAAAGTTAAAATGAGTTTGAAATTCAACAGAATGTTATATTCATTCTGTTTTAGTTTTTTTAACAAATTAAAAATTTCAAATGAGTAATCAAAGTTCTCCAAGCAAGAAGTGTCAAAGTCAAAAGAAAGCTTAATATTTCAGTTTTATCATAACTAATTGTTAAGTAGTTATTCCTGAACTAAAATTTATTTATTTTCCAGGCAGCATCTATCGACGTGGTGCTAGACGTTGGCGCAAGTTGTATCGCGTTAACGGACACATCTTCCAGGCCAAGCGTTTCAACCGGGTGAGTGCTTCTATATACCAATCCCAAAGAACCTTTACTAATCCCATCTCATTATTCCTTACAGCGTGCTTTCTGTGCCTATTGCCAGGATCGTATCTGGGGCCTGGGCCGACAGGGTTTCAAGTGCATCCAGTGCAAGCTGTTGGTGCACAAGAAGTGCCATAAGCTAGTGCAGAAGCACTGCACCGACCAGCCGGAGCCGCTGGTCAAGGAGCGGGCAGAGGAGTCTAGTGACCCAATGCCAGTACCGCTGCCACCACTTCCTTACGAAGCCATGAGTAGTGGAGCCGATGCCTGCGAGTCGCACGATCATGCGCACATAGTGGCGCCACCGCCGCCAGAAGATCCCTTGGAGCCGGGCACTCAGCGTCAATATTCGCTGAATGACTTCGAGCTGATACGGGTCATTGGACGCGGAAGTTATGCCAAGGTGCTGATGGTGGAGCTGCGACGCACACGGCGCATTTACGCCATGAAGGTGATCAAGAAGGCACTGGTCACCGACGACGAGGACATCGACTGGGTGCAGACGGAGAAGCATGTATTCGAGACGGCCTCGAATCATCCGTTTTTGGTGGGACTGCACTCGTGCTTCCAGACGCCCTCACGGCTCTTCTTCGTGATCGAGTTTGTGCGCGGTGGTGATTTGATGTACCACATGCAACGGCAGCGTCGTCTGCCTGAGGAGCATGCCCGCTTCTATGCGGCCGAGATTAGTTTGGCGCTGAACTTCCTTCACGAGAAGGGCATCATCTATCGTGATCTGAAGCTGGACAACGTTTTGCTGGATCACGAGGGTCACATCAAGCTGACGGATTACGGCATGTGCAAGGAAGGCATACGATCTGGGGACACCACTTCCACGTTCTGCGGCACACCCAACTACATAGCCCCAGAGATCCTGAGGGGCGAGGACTACGGTTTCTCGGTGGACTGGTGGGCACTTGGTGTCTTGCTCTACGAAATGCTGGCCGGGCGTAGTCCGTTTGATCTGGCTGGCGCTTCTGAAAATCCCGATCAGGTGGGTTACATTATATTCTTAACCAGACGTACCTAACTTTTCTATATCCTTAGAACACTGAGGACTATCTGTTCCAAGTGATCCTGGAGAAGACCATTCGTATTCCCCGCTCGCTGAGTGTTCGTGCGGCCTCCGTCTTGAAAGGTTTCCTCAACAAGAATCCCGCTGACCGTTTGGGCTGCCACCGGGAGTCCGCTTTCATGGATATCGTCAGCCATCCGTTCTTCAAGAATATGGATTGGGAATTGGTGAGTCCAAGGAAGATTGTCTTCATATTAGCTCTGTGTGTCCTGGTGCACTTGTTTGTGATGATGATGATAGGTCAGGGTAACAAGAAGGATAAGTTGTAGATAATACAAAAAGATGTAGGTAAAGAAATCGTAAAAGGTGAAGCACATTTATTGCAAAAAAGTTATAAGATTAGATTAATCGTAACTTACATAAAGTCTAATAGTTTCCACATAGGTCAGGTCTAAAGATACGTTCAAGTTGGCCGATATAGGCAATCATTATTGAGAACTTTGCTTTGCTATCATGGATATTAATGGTATCTATTATTACGTATACGATTGCGCGTTTAAGATAGCACAAAAGGAGGTGCAACCGCCTTATATACCAAACCTAGACACTGGCGATCCCTATGTGACAAGCAACTTTGATGTGCAGTTTACCCAAGAACCGGCTGTACTAACGCCAGACGATCCGTAAGTCCTAAAGAGTTACCCCCAGAAACCGAAAGATGGCAAGTTGTGTTAGTTATTTTAATTCGTAATCCTTGCATGAGATAAATCCCCTAAAAGATCTTAGTTTAGTGTCCAGACTAACGCAGCAGGTAAATGCTCCTATCGATCAGCCGCATTTAGACCATCTATCCCCCCCCAAACATTGTACCTCTCTCTATCTGTCTTACAAAAATACAAACTGAATTTTATCATCGTCATAATCATGCTCAAGCCGCACCAAAACATGAATGAGAAAAACTGTTTTATGTTTGCCCATTGGCTGGGAGTTTTTCCTAATCGATTATGATTTCTACTATCCTCATGCACAAACCAAAAATCACGCAGCTTGAGCGCAAACAGGTCACGCCACCATTCAAGCCACGCTTAGACTCAGATCGCGATCTGGCCAATTTCCCGCCCGAGTTCACCGGCGAGGCCGTGCAGTTGACCCCGGATGATGAGTAAGTTAACCTCTAAAGCTCTCACTTTGATATCTTTTTAAGACCCTCTATACTTATCAACTAACCTAATTTGATTTTCTTTAAATCTCAGTCATGTCATTGATAATATCGATCAATCCGAGTTCGAGGGCTTTGAGTATGTGAACCCCTTGCTGATGTCTCTGGAGGATTGCGTCTGACACCACGAAATGTGCGACTTACATCCGTATAATATGCGGGTAAGTAAATCAAATTCCAAATATAAAATGTATATTATAGTAATATGAGTGCTTTGTTGTAGGTCTATGGCGAGGATTCCAGTGATTACGATTCCGTGGCTGATGATTTGAGTCTCCTGCATTTGAACAGCGCAGCGGGAGCTGGTGGATCAGTCAGTAGCAATAACAATCTCAGCCAGCAGCAGCAACATTATCGCCAGCAACAGCAGCAGCAATATCATCCCCATTCAGCATACTCACAACAGCAACAGCAGCAGCAACATCAGCAGCAACAACAACATCAGCAGCTGCAGCAACTGCAGCAACATCAGCAGCAGCAGCAGCAGCAGCAACAGCAACAACAACTTCATCATAATGGTAACAATAACATTCATAATAATCAAATGCAAGCAAATAATAATAAAAGTCTACTGCAGCACATGTTTTGCCTTCCATTGAACTAATTAAAATAACGAATTAGATAAAAAACAACAAGCAACAACAATGAGCCACACAGAGCAACAACAAGTAGCAGAGCAACAAAAAGAATTCAAAAATTCAAATATGATTCCAAAAAGATAAAAAAAAGAAGCAAAATTTCATAAATATACAACTTATATAATCCTCTCTCAGCAACAAACAAACAGACACAGCAACTTTCATAAGCAAAGTATATTTATTATATATATGAAGAAGAAAAGCAAAAAAAAGGAAAGCGATAGCGAAAGCGAAAGAAAAACTGTCACAAGTTGCAAGTATTACACACTAAAAGGACATAAAGCAAAACGATTACTTTACTATTTAAGCACTTAGGCAGCCAGGCAAACTTTATGCAAGCAAAGGAAAAAACAAAACCATTTCATAACTCAATGCAAGACTTTTCACCCAAGAAACTTAGGGAGACTTTTCCCGCAAGAATGCAACAAGAACTTTTTAAGCTAACTTAATACGTGCATCAAATATGAATATAAATATATATATATATAAAATATAATTTTTAAAGGTTTAACACTAACAAAGGACATTTCAAATTTAATTTTACTAGCCAGAAGAATGATGATGATAATGAGTAGGAGGATGAGGATGAGGATGAGGAAGTATATATTTCAAATGAATCAATCTATAATATCTAAGCATATATAAACTCTAATGTAAAATGTGTGTGTGTTAGTATTAGAGAGCAGAGCATGGTTTTTAAAAAGGCGACAGCAAAAGATCGACATATATACATACGTGTACTGTGAACAGCAATAGTTAATGAAAAAGAGAGGAAAACAAAATAAAATATACCACAAATTGTAATTTCGTAATTCTAATTTTTACACAGAGAACAGTTAACCAACAATTTGGGAAGAAAATTCTCTTAAAATGCGAACAAAAAAAAAACATATTTATTTATTGTATTCATTTTGTATTATTTATTTATATAAAAAACCAAACAAAACTAAAACAAAAAACACAAGCAAACACAATCCGTCTACTGGCAATATATTATACCTTTGTTAAGTATTAAAGAAACTTTTGTTTTTTAATGCATTCCACTGTACTTACAACAACAAAAATATATATTTTTTTGTTTGTTTTTGTAGGCATATATCATTTTATAATGCCATTGCAAAAATAAAATATATTTACAAATTTTTAGTGATGAGAACTTTTGTCGAAAAGAAAATCAAAATTTGCAAATTCGTTTTTGATTTTCTCATTTTGCGTATTCTGCGTAAGTTTTTAGCCTAATATTTAAATATCTAAATATATACAAATGAAACTTAAATACAAAATTGTATATTATGTTTTTGTAACCCAACATACAAATATTGTGAAATTAATTAAAAATTAGTATATATCAAAAATATCATTGTGTTGCGAAGGTAAATAAAAAAGATATTGTGTTTTTAATTGAAACTTAAAATAAATTTCAACAAAAATGTTACTTGTTAATGTATGAAAAGCAAATAAAAAACGACAACAAATTAAGAGCATATTGTTAAATTTCCAAATACAACGCAATCTAAGACAAAAAGTAATATTGATCAAACCGAGTTTTTGATTCAACAAAACAAATAGTAAGCAATCAATTTAAATGCAAAAAAAAAAAAAAACAAACAAACAAGACAAGAAAAAACACTAAAACAATTTCAAATTGCACTTAAAGGGTTAACGAGTTAAATTGAAAGACCACATCTATTCTTTAGCCTATCCCATTAATTATGTTGTTGTTGTGTTTGATAACCAAGTTCTATGAGTAAGTTTAATTAGTATATAATGATTTTAATTGAGCGTACGACGACGAGTATACATAAATTTGTATTTTCTTTAAACTGATGTTTCTGACTAATTTTATAAACTGGATGCACTTTTGGCATACATTACCAGAAGCTAGCAAAATGTCAAAATGAAATTGAAAACGTAAACGAGATGGTTGCGTTACAATTATCCATATAAACAAAAACGAATAAAGTAATGTGTAAGAAAAAGTTAGCTTTTTTAATTCGTTTCTCATAAAAACAACTTTCGTAAAACATTTTGTTTATTAACAACTGGGAAAAAATTCAACAAATGCAAAATATTATCCTATCGTAGGGCGGGGGTATTTCTTTAGTTGCTCTGCAAAATGGAGACCGGCTCTTGCATAATCTCCTGAATCTTTGCCTCCGGAACTGGCACCCCATTCGCAAGCAGAGTGTGAACGATGCCATCATGTTTATTGCCACTTGAGCGTGCCTGTAGCACGAATTCCGTGTTCTGCAGCAGGAACTTGGTGTCTGTGCCGCCGTGAACGAAAACCGACTGTGAAATGGGCGGTAATAAAATCTATGGTTAGTATGGTATGGAAACGGATCCCTTTCCTTACCTCCTCTGTGCGCAGCTCATCGTTTACGTAGAGACTCAGCGTGTCCAGCTTGAGCATTATCCTGTATTCCTGCGACGACGCCTCCGCAGATATAGCCTCCTGTGTGTATAGCCAGAGTCGGTATTGCCGCGTCATATCCTCGGTGTACTGTTCGTGGGACTTGCCGTCGATGTAGAGGGAGTACTCGTACTTGAAACCAGGCGCTGGATCCACTCGTATGATGCAGCGTGTCTGATCGATGTGAAAGGTGTCCTCGCCAACCAGCTTGAACATCCAATCACGCCGCAGGACCTCCTTTGAGCGGCAAAAAGAGGTAAATAATCAATAGCATTATAAAATATTATTTATAATTTGAGGTCTAGGGATTCGTTTTCGTCTAAAGAGTCTGCACTTTGGTTTCTTAAGTTCATTACTCATACGCACTGTTGCCTTTAATAAAATACTATTTCTTGCAGTTTGCAAACTATATATTGTAATTTTAGTTAACAGCCAATTTGTCTTAATTGGGGTTACCCAACGTGTCAATGTTGCTCCTTTAACCTGAATTTATAACCATTCCATTCCATTCCATGGACTTAAACTGCATTTAATTTCGTTCGAGTTTAGTGTGCATTTAATGAGCTCTAAATTCAAGCTTGGTAATAAACCTCAATTAACGAAGTCTCAAACACGAGTATAAGGAACCGGAACTGTGGAATATTGCTAAAGGGCATTCCTTTACCATTTCATTTGCAATGGTTTATTTCTCAGGAAATAAAAATGACTTTTCTTGCTTCTTTATGGTTCTTTGTTTAAAAGAAACTTATGATCTAAGAAGGTTATAATTCTGAAAATTGTTTTAATACACTGAAAATATGCCTGGATTTAACAACTTTGCGAATATATTAAGCAATCATGGTCCCAACCATTATTTCTTAAACTTTTTAATATTTTTAATCAAACGATAAATGCAAAATTCTCCATTATTGTCCCAAAGCTGTTAATAAAGCATTAAGCTCACGGGGGACTCTAAAGTAATTCACTTAAAAAAGTACACGTACGTACACGACCCGTAATTAAGTTCACCTTCACAATGCAAATACTTCAACAGCTCTGGAGCCACCCATTTAACCCAACGAAGAGGTGGAAAACTTACCCGTCCATTGACCCAAATCATGCGCCGCCCACTGGTTGTGCCATGTTCCAGCTCGATGCGGTACATCTGCGCAAAAAAAAAAGAATGGGAGTGGGGTAGCAATTATCGCGAAATTTCATCAATTTAAGTTGTGGTTTTCCAAAAGAAAACACACTCGTATATACCTTGCCATTGATGGGCACACACCATTGAGCCACAATATTCTGTTTGTTATAACGCTGGTCCTCGGGTACATGATCCTGCGTCATTGTGGGCTGCGTTGAAAGATTCTCCAACCGCAATGTGGGCGAAAGAAAGGACATGGGTATACTATATAGCCTGTCGTCGATCTGGCTTTTGGCCCACAACGACAACCAATCAATAAATCCTATTAATATTTATAGAAATCGCTTTTTAAAGTGCAAGCCAACTAAATGGGTTACACAACCCCAAACCTCAAGAATATATTTAGGGAGTTCAAGGAACTCTAGTTTTGGGGTTAACTTGTTTAATCTGTGGATCTGCTTTGAATGCACTTTCCAACCTTTGTGTTTAGACTCAAAACGGGCTAGATTTTATTCCGTTTTTCTTGGTTTCACCGGGCGGCGAGAAAACCGCAAGAACCGAACCGCACGTTGTTAGCGCCAATGGCACACTAAACAACAAACCTCGTGTACAATAAGAGCCAAAAGGAACTGAACTGAAGAAAAACTAGTTGGCTGCCCGGCTGCCTTTTGGCTCTCCGGCTCAGCTCTGTGCTGTGCTGTACTGTTCCGTTATGGCCTTAGCTTTAGCCGTGCTTCTGGCCGAGAGTCGCGGTCGCGTTTGTCGGTCTGCCAAAGTGCAGAGCAAGTATACGCCGCATGGCGCCAAAACAGAGTTGATTTGTTTCCACTAGCCGTGCGTGTGGATATAAGTTTGAGTGTGTGTACAGGGAATGCCCCATTAAGAGGTACATCTATTAGTGCCACAATGAGGAATGCTAGCTGCTTGTAAAGGATGGCTATGATAAAAATATTATTGAAACAGTTTTAAGCCGCTTCCTTCTTCAAATTTCTTGAAATAAACTTTAAATTTTTTTTTTATTCTTTGGGTCACTTACTCATTACCCGTACACATATGTACAAAGCTTGTTGCAAAATTTCATTTTATAAACACTGCATACAGATTTTTTCATGTAGAAGCTATATGCTCAAGAAATGTGAATATTATTAAGAATAATATGCAATTTTTTCGAAAATTACAACTCAAAACATATTTTTAGGAAATAATTTCCAAAAATCCCTTTTATAATTATCAGTTCTTGTTCAGTCCTCACTGTATCCACTTCTCAATACCCCGCCGAGTGTCGCTCGCATAAAAATAAACTTTTGCCCCGTCAAGTATGCAATTGTTTCTGCATTGCAATTGGCCCGCCTTTCGAGTATGAGACCGAGTTTTTCGCCAATGCCTCCGGCCTCCAATTGAGCGTAAGCCAAAACAAAATAATCGTGCATACATATTTTATTCTGGATGACAATTATTTGGCCCTGGGGGATTGGACTCCACTGTGTATATGTGTGTCTTCTCTGTGTACCGCCTGCCACATGGCCAATCGTCGCAAATTTGTCGCATTTTGTTTTGTTGTCATGTTTATGGCGCAACATTTTCTGGCCATAAATACACGCCGAAAATGCTAATGACCGATTGGGTGGGTTATGTGCTGTGGGTGGCAAATGGGCGATTCTTTACCCATGCCAACAACGAACAAACGTCAAGACTTACCGCCTCCGGGTGGTATTTCAATCGACCAGAAGCGATATTGATAAATGTATTTGGGCCAGATTGGATAAGGAGTCGACACCGAAACGGGCACATCATATGTCAAATCAAGTTTCCCGGGTATCCTCGGCTCCAACCCATTCCCTCCATCTCTTCTTTGCCAAGAGTGGGTGGGTGGTAAGAAAAACATATGCCATCGCACCAACACGCGAAGGTCACTGACAAAGCGCCGTTTGAAGTCGCTTACAGTTTTAGTTGATGTTGACGCTATCAAAGGGGCAGAGTGTGGGTGGCATTTGGTTGGTAGGATGAGAATTCGACTTTCTATATATGTATGTGCTGGTGTGTAAAGTAAAAAAAAAGAATAAGCGGGGGCTTGACAACAACAAAAGCAACAACAGCACCAGATAACGAAACATTTGACAAGGACAAGGCTGCCCGCTACCCATCAACTCCCCTTTTCAGCACGAAGCCCAAGCTCCCCAAAGGCAGTGTGTTAGTGTAATTATTAGTGCCGTACAAAATAAATATGTACGTATATTCATTCATTTTTTTTGACGCTTTCCCGCGAATCCGCAGGCTTTAGAACCATGGGAGTTTTGTGATGAAAGTTGCTTACTTTAATATTACAAAATCATATTATGTCAAGTTGTTAAATACAGATAAAATCATCACTTAAAAATCTCTTTTAAATTATATATTTTTATGTATTCTTCGATTTGAAACCATAAAAAAATCAGACCTTAAAGTGACCAGAAAAGGTGGATAAAAGCATCTACCTATGACTTTCAAAAACTTTCAAAATCTCAGAGCATTGTAACGAATTTGCGTTATAATCATAATATCAATATACATACCTGCATTCTTAAACAAAAACCACTTTTTAATCTATTTTAGCCCATAGTCCTCGGTTGCGCTTTTTACGTTGACTACTTTCCAGTTGAATTTATGGACCATTCCGCTGGTTGTACACTTTTTATGCAAATATATATGGCCAAAAGTGCCGCAACAGACAACATTTGCTGGCGCTGTCGCTGATGATGTTGTAGCCAGGGGACAGGGACCAGGCATGCAGAGAATGGGTTCGTCCTGGAGGATTGGATTGCGTGCTACGATGGTGTCAGCCGACTGGCACACTACAAATGTCGCCGACAATTAATTTCCATAGATAATTGCCTGTCGATAACGACAGCAGCAAAGGCAACGGCAGCCATGGGGACATTAATCAAAGGCCCGGCTGTTGACTAGATGGTTTCTTTTTTGTTCTTGGCCCTTTTTGGCGGCTGGATAAGATTTAATCAAAAACTATGGCGAAATGACAAAGTGAAAGTTGTATTTCAGTGATTTGTGGTAACGCTCTTAAATCAAATTGAATTGGCAAAATGTGTGTGCGCTTGCTTAAGTTAGCTAGATTCGTATGTATGTGTGTGTGTGTGTGTGAGTTGTGGGGCGTGTGTTCTTCAATAATGCACATATGTATGTATGACTATATATATATATATAAACGCTATGAATATAAAAAGTGCTTAACTTTCGGATTGATTTCATGTGATTAACCAGATAAATAATAATACTGATCACAACGCCAATAGTGTGAGAATTCAGTTTGTGTTAACAGCTTGCCATTGAAAATAATGTTTGACACTTCGATTGATTGGACAATAAATATAGAGTATACGTATATGTAAATATATATATATATATGTATATAGAATTTATATATTGCTGCACCATAACAACTAACATAAACAGCAAATATCTTTTGTAATCAAGTAATTGATCTATACATATAATTTTGGGAACAAATTTGAACAACGCTGGGCGTAAAATAGGCGCTAGTTGAAGGTAATTTGTCTGATTATCGCGAGTATATATATGTAAGTGCGTATATATACCTATAATCGACGCTAATTGCACTATTTATGTTTATTATGCTGTTACATCCCACTGGCGGTCATAATAATTGTCGCACATACTGAGATATAAATGCCATTTAAATGTAATCTAAGCATCATCGTGATTATGGAGTACAGATTATTTATATATATATGTCTAGAACTCATAATTGACACAACGTATTATTGCTCGACCTAATGTTAAACTTAACTATTTACATAAGTTTCCGATTAAATACTGTTTAATTAAATCAAACTTTGACAAAATATAATTTTGATTAGATTATAAAACGACTGCTGTACAGTCAAATCATAAATGCATTTCACTTTTGAATTCAAATTTTGAGAATACTTTCTTCAGTGTTTTAACTACTAATTTTGGCCGTATTGTGGTAATATTCATCTATTGAGTAGGGAAATACTTCATCTAGGTGTAGAGAAAATGGCAGTTGGATTCATCTATCTATCTAATATGTATATGAAAAGCATGGGATCCTCTAGCTGGCGATTGTGCTCTATGACTGATCGTTTGACCGCCAGTACGGAAGGGTATTATGAACTAACTTTATGATAGGTCCAAGTGGTATTCATCCGATAGCGGCGATTTTGCTTATTGGAAAAATGCGTTAGAAAAATGCACAAAAAGTCTTCGGTCTCGGGATGGGAATCGACTTAGGTCGGTAAGCAAATGGTCCATCATTTTCTCGACAACATTATGTTCATGACCGTACCACAGTTAAGCAGCACTCTTTTGGCGTCGCTCAGGTTGGCATTGGTCAGATCGTAGCCGTCTATTTCTAGCAGTTTATCGTTAAGGTTCAGCAGGCGGGCAGCATTCGTATTCGGCGTTACGGAACTTACAAAGATGCCAACCTATAAGATAAGAAAAATGTATTGACTGCTTTCCAGTTTGACGGATTAAAAACTCACCTGATTAAGCAGCTCTGATATGTCGAAGCCAATGCTGTGCTCCCACTTCAGTGTAACCTGTTTGACTGTTGGATTTTTGTGGACGCCAAAGATCCAGGTGGACTTCTTATGACTCGCTTTGGAAGTATTGTTAGTGGCCGTGGAATTAAGCGAGTGCTGTGACATGGTGTCGTCCAGCTCTTGATCATCCTCCTCAGGATTTGGTTCTAAATTGTTGCTAATATTGTTTTGGTAGTCCAACTGATCAACTGACTCTTCGACTTCCTGAGCTCCTATCGCTGTTGTTTTGAAATTACTATTGCTGTTTAAAGCATCTTGATAGATACTTTGATCCTGCAATTGCTGCTGCTGCTTCCTCTGCCGCATGGACTCGTAGAGATTGAGGTCCTCGGGAGTTTTCTTTGTATAAACACGAGCTATGTGATAAGGTGGTGGTTCCAATCGAGGAGGTGGTACCGCCTGTTGCTGCATGGGTTGTTGCTGAAGCGGTTGCAACTCGTAGTCCTGATCCCCGTTTAAATGCGTTGTAGGAAGTGGTGTGCTGGCCTCTACATACAGCTGTTGGTAATGTGCATCATAGTTGACCAATGGCAAACCATAGTACTCCTGCGTCGGCAATGGATGCGCCATCTGCTGCGGCTGCTGATAGACTCCGTAGATGTGTGTCGTTTCGGGCGCTATGCCGTATATTGCACTTGCTGTGGCTTGGTCCACAACATCTTGGTTGGCATTGCTGCTATCACAGTGAACTTGGCCGTTGGCCACCACACGTGCCTCCCTTACCTCGCTGGCATTAGCCGATGTGGTTGCCGCTTGAGCCTGCCTCACATATTTGGCCATCTGGCGCAGCTCCTTTGGATACGGCGTGGGTGAACGCATCAGCCGCACGGATCCGGCCATCTGGTCGGGCGTTGGAGTCGGAGGAGCGGCAACAAAGTTGGGATAACTAGGCGCTGGCTGTGGTTTGGCATTACTCAAAATGGTAGCCTCCTCGGCGAAGCAGATCCTTCTGGAAGGACTTACATGGGGCTGCTGCTGGTTGGCGTATACGAACTCGTACTGCTCCTGGGCTTGCTGTTGGGCCTGTATACTGTTCATCTTGAATGTGACTTGCGGTAGCATAAAGCACGTCAACTGGGTCTTTGTACTTGCATCCAGATACTGCAGGGGCACCAACGGTTGAGATTGGTTGTCGCTTAGCCACATCGAAGTGAGATTCACCAGGTTTAACATCGAAACGGGCAGAGCGTTAATATAGTTATTGACCACATTAAGTACCTTCATCTTGCCCAGGTTACCAATATTCTGTGGCAGGGCAGACAACTGATTATTTGCCACGCTAAGCACACTTAGCTGTTGACAGCTGCACAGTTCATCCGGCAATTGGCGCAGTTGATTATCATCGGCAAATAGAAAACGCAGGCTACGCAGCATCCCAATAGTGCTTGGAAGGCGTATTAGCTTGTTGTGGCTCAGGACCAGTTCCTCAAGCTGTTCCAAATAGCTTATGCTGTCGGGCAGCTCCGTCAAGCCGTTTGACTCGCACTTGAATGTCACCAGGGATTTGAGCATTCCCACGCTGAAGGGAAAGGCCTCCAAACTGTTGGAACATATTGACAGAACTTCCACGTTTCGCCAGTTGCTCACTTCGCTTGGAAGAGTGTCCAAAAGGTTGCCATTGGCCTCGAAGTGCTGCAGTTCTCGTAGTTTGCCAATGTTGGCCGAAACACGGCGTATCTGATTAAAATCAATCCACAGTTCTCGCAGGGACTTAAGCTCGCCAACAACTTCGGGCTGGTGAAAATTAAAAAAGTTAATAGGGTTCTTAAAGGATTAAAGCGTTATACAAGATGTGATTGCGTTGTATTGGTTACTTGATAACATTTAGGGGTTTAGCTTTAGCTTTAAGCTTTTTTTTTTACATCCCTTTATCAGATCTTGTAAATAGGCTTTGTTTTTCTCACCAGCTCTGTAAACTCATTGCCACCAATATCCAGTCTCTGTAGATTGACCAAACGCACCATAGACTTGGGAAGCGTGATAAGATTGTTCAGTCGCAGCTCTAGAATTCTCAGATTTACTAATCTGCCAAAGTTCGCCGGCAAAAATTCCAGATAGGTCTCGTTTAGTAGCAGCTCTTGCAGTGAAATTAGCGAGGTAATGGCATCGGGAAGACGTTGTAGACTGTTGCAGCTTAGATCGAGGTGGGTTAAGTGCTTGCAGGCCTTAATCTCCTCGGGCACATTGACAATTACTAATGGGAAAAGTTGAATTATAATAAAGGTCGATGAAATAAGAACGAGTTCTCACGATTTCGGTTGAGATCCAGATGCTGCAGCTGTCGTAGACTGCCAATGGCCTGCGGAATGCTTTCCAGATTGTTGCTATTCACATGAAGCACCCTTAATCCCTGGCAATAAAACAATTGCGGTGGCAGAGCTTGCAACTGGAAGATAATAAAATGTAAATAAAGTGATCAAGATAAGCCCAATAAGAACTAACTCTTGTTGTGCTCAAATAAAGCTCTTCCAGGGTTCGTTCGTGCTGCCAAACTTCTGGGAAATCGGTCAAAGGGGTATTACTATAGTCCAGCTTGTCGATCACCTCCTCGCGCTTAAATTTGAAGCAGGGGAAGCATTTGCTCAGCAGCGGCATCTTTGGATTATGTTTATTGCTTTTCGTTTGTTAATTAAGGCACAATTGTGGCTGCTGTAATGTATGTATAAATGTACATTTTATCCGGATTTGGTTTGGGGTTGGGCCGCTCCACTCACCTGTGATTCATCGCCTCCGATGGAAGGCTATTGTTGGTCCTGCTTCATTACATTCCATGTCCATTGGCATTTTTGGGCTTGTTATTGTTCTGCCCACCAACACTAACACGCACAGGCACACTCACCCACACTCGCATACACACACAAACGCGAGACTTGACAAGTCTCTCTTTTCGCTTTATCAGGCATTTACTATCAATATGATGATTATTTCATTATTTATTTAACCACTTCACACCAATGCCTATTGAGTGATGTTTACTTTGGCCATTTAATTGCGTTTTATTTAATGTTTTTTGCTTTGAAAACGACAAGTTGCTTGCAGGTGTTAGTGTTGGTAAATGCCGAACGCGCTAGTGATGGCAGAAATGAGAGCATCGAGTAGCTATCGATTGTTTGCTTATACTTTATAAATCATATAGGAACATTTAAAACAATGAAATATAATTATTTTATTATTTTGGAACATTTCTGATATTGATAAACGAATGCTTTATTTATGTTGTTTATTTAAACACAACATGCATCTATCGATTAATGAACCTTATCGATAATATTTTGAACTGAAATTCAAACTTGATAATTGAAAATTTGAGAGATAGGTGGCGCTAATGAGCAACCGTTTCTTTTCAAAAAGGGCAAAATAAACGTTAGAAAAACATGGCTGACACGATTCCACATTTGTGTGAAAAACGCTTTACCCTTCGCTAATGAATATTTACTCTACACTTCCTGGCTGCGATTGCGCTTGGGTAAACTTTGCGCCTGTCGTGCTGTCGCAACTGTTGATAACGGCATATTGCTAACTTGGCAATAAAACAAATACTCAATAAGGGAAATCAACCGTTTTTGAAGTTTCAAAGTTCAAATGGGTTAATGCGAATTCCGGTCAAAAACAACCAATTAAAGCTTAGCTCACACTGTCTCCAGACTTTGACTTTAAGTGTCGTCAGGTTTCGTGTGTTTCGATGGTGTGAAAATTATTCAAATAACGGCCTTTTTAAGTTTTTTTCCCCTCCTTGATTTTTGTTGAGTTTTTTTGTTGTATTACCGCGACGTCGTCGGTGGAGCATTGACGAATTTACACTTCAAACAATTGTTAAACTGTACAGCATAGTGCAAATAAGTACGTAATAAACAATGTGCTTGTTGCCGCTGCCATTTGCAAGAGAAAAGTTGTGCGGCTGCGGATAGACTCAGTTTCGGTTTCAAAGTTGTCCGCTGCAGTTGGATCGGTAGTATCGGTTGATGTGAGTGTATCAATATTCAAATCTTGCTGCATTATCTGTGCAAATCGGGTTAAGTCAATAGAGGAATGCGTATTCGCAGTGATATTCAAATATTAAACATGCAGTGTCGGAAATAAAGTTGCATCATCACCAATTAAAATTAAGTTTGTTTTTTGAAGAATTCTCGAAAACGGTTTTGAGGTACTAGTGTGATCCTTTTGGTTCGTAAAAAAATGGTTTTAAAATTAATAAGACAAACAAAAACACTTTCTAATTTTAAGGATTCTTAAGAGCTTTAGTTAACAAAGCTCAAAGAATAGAAAATTCATTTGTCAAAACGTATTTCCTCAATCCAAAGTCATTTTTCCGGTTAAAGAAAGCTCAAGGAATGGTTTACCTACAAATTGCAGTTTAATTTGAATTAATTGAAGGTTGTATTTAAAGTCTTGTCTGAATTGCTTCTATTGAATAATGGTGTTTGTTTCGCACTTTTAATTGTAAATTTAGAAATGCCTATTCTGAAGGTTCTAAAAGGAAATCCCATCTTAGATTTGCTTTAAAAATTAACAAACATCTGTTAGGCTTTCACGGCTAATTAAGGGTGTTTGAGTTAATTTGTTTAAAGAGCCTATTGCCTGATAATAGTAAAAGTTATTTACAGGTCAGTGGGGTGCATTGCTCAAATGATATCCTTTTACAATCGTTATTTCCCCATTACCAATATTTATGACACAATTCTCATAGGACGATTACGATTTAAAACACCTGCCGACAGAGGCGTAGGGTGGATTTTATTAAAGGGGGTCCTTAAGTTAACCGAACTAAAGAAATTCTTAATCTTAATTCGGTCTTTTAACCACAACATGAATAAAAATGAGGGCAACTTGAATGTCCTGTACCCCTTAGTACCGCTGTGATTTGTCATTTTGATGCGGCTCATCATTAAAAAATCGTGTATGACTCACACTATCGCACGCACCAAAATACACAGATAAGCGAGAGAGTCGGAAAAAGGGGAAGGGTGAGGGAAAATACCACCCCTTAAAAAGCCAACCGCCACCCCCTACACTGTACTCTCTTCCTCGTGGGAGTATTTTCACCCCCTGAGCGAAACGGTTATGGTGAGACGGTTTTATTCAATCATTTTTTATTTGTCGGCAACTTCTGTACTTCATTCTACTGATGGACGTCCTTAAAATCGAGGTGGAAATGTTACTTCTTCTTGCCTTTGCCCTTCTTGGCAGCCTTAGCTTCCTTGGCAGCTGGTTCTACATTTCCAGTCGATCCGGAATTCGCAGGATCAGCGTTGGGTTTTGCCGCAGCAGGAGCCGCAGCTCCCTTCTTGGAACCCTTGGTCGAATCCTTCTTTGCAGGCATTCTAAAGAGAAGAATAATTTAGATCATTTTAAATTTAGATACCGAAAACTAATAACAAAAGTTGTTCACTAACCTAACAAGAATTTTGAACAAACCACAAAGATTTTAACTCGAATCGAACACGAAGTTAATTCCTTGAATTTCCGGTACAAAGTAATTTTATAGAAGAATCTCAACTTTCATTTCCAAAGCAAAAGTCAAGGCCTACTTTTGGATTTGATAAAAAACTAAAATTTAAATTTTAACCGTTTCGCGAATCGGTTAATAAATCGCGCCTGTTTGGGGGCGGACTCTTTTTGTTACTCTCAGTAGTTCTTCTGCTCTCTGTATCTCACTCGCTCTCCGTCCGTGGTCTCATTATTCCGATTCCCGTGCAGTTGAGGAAACGAAAGCCAAGTGCGCGCACGACAGGCCGCATAATTTTCTAGTGCAATTTCTATTTAAGTAATTTTAGTTTTTTAGCACAACGTGATTTCTTACTAGCTTAAGGAATTCCCATTCATAAGTAGCTAAAACGAATACCAAAGAAAAAAGCAGTCCTAACCATTCAGCAGGCCAAGCTTTTTCCGACACCACCAACAAAAAAAGGAATCCCAACAATTATCGATTTTGTGCCCATGTGAAAGCGTTTAAAAAGTGTCTGCAATTTCCTAGGAAAAGTCCTTTTTTTATACTCAACTAAACCAAGTGCAAGGTAATTGGCGATATAATGGCAGCCAAGCGGAATGCAGTGACCACGGAAGCTCCGGAATCGTCGGCGCCCGGCGAAGGTACCGCCCTTGCCCTGGACTCCCGCCTCTCAAAAAGAGTGGAGAGCGTCATCCCCAAGAAGCGGTGAGTGAGTCTAAGAGTAAATGAAATGTGCAAATTATGCGGTGTTCACACTGGCAACATTCAAGTTCAAAAGGAAAATATAGAAGTTAATAATTACATCCTTTTTTAAAATAGTTAAAGAAAACGTTGACAAACTTTATTATCTCATATAAGTTATTATTTCAAAATAATTATACATTTTTGCTTCAACTACTTTCAAAAGTAGTAAAAACGAAATTAATAGGTAAAGGGTTATATTTTGACTTAATTTATTGAGCAGTTATAATAAAAGTTGAACTTTTTGAACTCATAATTATTTGTGCGCTATCATAATTTTGACAATTCAGTTTGTTACCCCCATTTACCATAAGTTCGATAATGCAGTTCGTTACCCCCCTTTAGTGCATATCCTAAAGTCAACTTACTAATTGTTTGCCAATTTATATTCCCAAACACAGTCATGAAGCTCTCAAGTGGTTCGGATGGGGCTATAACGATTCGCAGTTTTATGGCCAAGATGGTGTCATCTGTTTTCGTGGTGAAAGGTGAGTGTTTCTTATAAATTTTTGAGTATTAAAACAATATATAAATAATATCCTCCATAGGTATCCCCTTGGTGGCTGCGAGCTGCCCAGCTTCACCAAGTGGGTGGAGAAAAAGTTTGACTTGCGAGTGGATCCCACCAAGCCGTATCCTCAGTTGCCGCGATCGTATCCTCGACCAGTGGAGAATGCCCCATTCCTACACGAACTAAAGGGTACTACAAAAGTGGATTTCTCACTGGAGGGGATTGATCGGCTGGTGCGGTGTCATGGACAGACCCTTAACGATATATACAGTTTGTGGCACCACAAGTTCCGGAGGATTCCCGATGTGGTGGTGTGGCCACGATGTCATGATGAAGTAGTTCAGTTGGTGCGGCTGGCCCACAAGCATAATGTGATGCTGGTGCCTTTTGGTGGAGGAACAAGTGTATCGGGAGCAATTACCTGTCCCCAGAACGAAAGTCGGATGATCTGCGCTTTGGACACCTCTCAGATGAACCGACTGCTGTGGTTAAATCGGGAGAATCTCACCGTGTGCTTTGAATCCGGCATTGTGGGTCAGGATTTGGAGAGAGTGTTAAGGAGCGAGGGTCTCACAGTTGGCCATGAACCAGATTCCTATGAGTTCAGCACCCTGGGAGGATGGGTGGCCACCCGGGCATCTGGCATGAAGAAGAACGTCTACGGGAATATAGAAGATCTGGTGGTGAGAGTGCGGATGGTAACACCTTCGGGAACTTTAGAACGGGAATGCAGTGCACCGCGTGTGAGTTGTGGACCGGACTTTAACCACGTCATCATGGGCTCCGAGGGCACGTTAGGAGTAATCACCGAAGTAGTTCTCAAAGTTCGCCCCTTGCCAAAGGTTAGGCGTTATGGATCCCTAGCCTTTCCCAACTTTGAGCAAGGAGTACTCTTCATGCGTGAAGTGGCCAGGAGGAGATGCCAACCCGCCTCTGTCCGTTTGATGGACAATGAACAGTTTATGTTTGGCCAGGCCTTAAAGCCGGAGAAGTCCTGGTGGGCTAGTGTGGTGGATGGAATGAAGCAGCGCTACGTTACCTCCTGGAAGGGCATTGATCTCAATCAGATCTGTGCGGCCACCTTGCTTTTCGAGGGCGATTTAAAGGATGTTCAGCGGCAGGAAGCGCTCATCTATGAGATTGCCGACAAGTTCCAGGGATTTCCAGCGGGCGGACAAAACGGGGAACGCGGCTATATACTCACCTTTGTGATTGCTTATATAAGGGTAAGATTTTTCATTTTTATTCGTTATATGAAAGGTTTAAAAGTGAAGATCAACATCTTCACTCTTATGACAAGGTGTTATTTCCTGTTTTGAGACTTTGTTTGTCTGATTTTATATAATACCTTTAGGCATTGATTCTGTTTGCTTAAAGATTCTAATACGTGTTGTATTGAAATAAACAAATAATATCATATATCATATAACTTGGTGATAATGCCTCCTAGTCTGACATCTCTTTATCATATATAATTTTGCCATAATTCACCTAATGTAATGAAGTTAGAATAATTACCAAACATGTCATTTATAAAGATAACTTAATCGCAGTTTTATGATGAATTCAGATGAATCAGTAATGAAATATGTTTTATATTAAATATTCTTGTATATATTCTATATCCACAGGACTTTGGTCTGCATCAGGGAATTGTGGCTGAGTCCTTCGAGACCTCTGTGCCTTGGGATCGTTGCAGCCTGCTTTGTCGCTCTGTAAAGCAACGAGTTGTCTCTGTAAGTTTTGTAACTTAATTATATTTTGTAACAACTATTAACTTTCCATTTTTATAGGAGTGCCACCGGCGTAGCATTAACTATTACACGATTTCGTGTAGAGTCACACAAACCTATGATGCCGGTGCCTGCATCTACTTTTACTTTGGATTCCGCAGTACGGATGTCTCAGATCCCGTGGAGCTGTTCGAGGCCATTGAGCACAGTGCTCGGGATGAGATCTTGTCATGCGGTGGATCCTTGTCCCATCACCATGGCGTTGGAAAAATTCGAAGTCATTGGTATCGCAATGCTGTCACCGATACAGGCAGTTCACTGTACTCGGCTGCCAAACGGCATCTCGACCCAAAGAATATCTTTGCTTTGGGTAATCTCCTGCCGATAGAGGAGGTTCCTGCAAAGACAGAGGTTCCAGCATCGACACCACCAAAGGCCAAACTGTAGAGGGTAGCCCACTTAGTTCATTTACTAGTCTTAGTCACTTTAATGATTTCCTAGTCGCTCTTGGGGGTTCGGGTCTCCAGTTCTTTTGTAGCGGGCTCATGTTTTCTATGGGTTTTGATAAATAAATGGAATATTTATAAGTCATATTCGGAATTTGATTTTTGATTGGTATAAGGGGGTTATAGGATATAAAAAGCTCCTTATAAGACCATCATCTGACATAAACTCGGAGCTACATTTCTCCCTGTGCAACCATAGACAACAGAATTGTATGTGCGTGTTCCGGCTGCAGACCAAATGCGAAATGCTGATCATTGTCTTCTCATCTGCTCATCGAAGTCATTTGCGGCTTGATGGCGCACCGTGCCGTCCAAGAAAAGAGCCAACATCGAAGATCCAAGCGCCCAGAGCCGAGAGATCAAATGTCATCAAGTTGTCAACTTCGTTAGCATGCCACAAGGCAGCGATCGAGCTGGGCTTGAAGATCTTTCTTGGCCTGGATGGTGAAGCGGATGCACTGAGATAAATTTGTATACTTTTACAGTGTTTATTCTTAAAATATCCAAAAGGAACATAAAATTCAGAAGGAATAGATTTCAAATCTATTAAAAGGTGACTAAAAGTAAGCTTTGCGAAAACCAGATATTTTGGAAAATAATTTTCAGAATAAGAAATAGAAAACATAAACTGAAGTTACAAAAGTCGAAAGTTACAATCGATTTTTTGTTTTAAGTCAGGTAAAAAGCGGCTTTAAGGCTTACTTTCCAATTACCAATTACTTTGTATTTGTCTTTTTTTTTCTGTGTGCAAATAAATAGGGGAATGAGGCAACTCCGGCGGCTTATTGATGGTCGAGGAGAAGTCGTCGACTTGGCCTGTCTTGTTACCCTGGCAATGGATACTATATGCTATATGGTACATACCCCCCGAGTGTGCATTTCGGCCTGGCTAACACACACACACACTCACATATGCAGCCTATAAATAAAGATTACAATCAGCAAAAGTGAGCAGAAGAGAAGTCCGTCTAAGCCACGGCATGCCGCCTGGAAATTGTCAGCAATTAACCCGCGGGTCAGTCCCGGAAAACGCTGGCAGTCCTGCGTCCAGACCCTGTGATTTATGCCACAGAGCAGCCTCCCAGCCCAAAAACCCACAATCAAGGCCGGCGGAGAGCGGAGCCTTACAGTCCTGACACGTTTGCCAGGCGAAAAACAAAAAAAAAATAAGAGAAAAGATGGAATGCTTATCTACCTGAGGGAGATGGACATAACTCATTTGCATTGAATGAAAAGAAGAAATGATGGAGAGGATGAGGGGAGTGTCCTGAGGGGCCTTAAGATTATTAGGGTAAGGAAAATAAGAAGTAGGCGTAACTAAACATTAGACCATCAGCACGTACACTCTTCTTAGAGAGAACAAAAGGATTTCTTATTTGTAGAGTAAAAGATGAAAGATAGGAACATGATCGAGAACAAAGACTATATATTTCTTAAGAATATTTTTTATTATATATAAATACTTTTAAATATGATTAGGTTATTTTATATCTTGAGGAGACCAAGTATGGCCTTTATTTATTCAAATATAAACTTAAATATTCATGTTGGTTAACGGTTTCAGTAAAATCAATCTAAATGACATTTAAAAGCTGTTTTAAGCATTTTATTTCTTATATATTATTACCAGTTATCCTTAATTTATGATTATCGATTATATGCTTTGCTATTTTTTTCATTAAACCTTGTTTATTCGGCCTCGTTTCCAAACAGTAGGATATCATTTCCCCTAAAGACGAAAACTAAAACAAACCCAAATGCTAGCAACATGTTTCTTATAAACAATGTTGCAGCAACATACTGCTGCTCCCTCGTCTGCTGCGTTTAAGCCAGTTAACCCATTGAAGCCTGCCCATTCGAATGCTCTGCCGGCGTTTTGGTCTTACCTGGGCTTCGTTAACGAATGGATTCGCACCTGGCGTTCAGTTGCGAGCAGCGCGGCCGTCGGACAACAACGAAAAAATTGGCGACGCGATTTGAATTTTAGTTGATATTTATTCTTGTTAGAACGCTGCGTTTGGCAACACGGAAAGATCTCGGATCGGGAGAGCCATATATCGCCATATATACATATTTGTATACAAATAGGAGAGAGGCGAGAGAGTGTAAGATCTGGCCGGGATTTAATTTTTCCCGGCAGCTGCTGCAACTTCGGTTGCAGTTGCAGTTCGTACGCGTCGCTTGCAACATCGTCTCGCGCATTTCGACTTCAAATCCAAAATCCCAAATCCAAAAATTCCAATTTCGTTTTTCTCGTTTTTTGCTTTTGTGGGAAAATGCGACAAATTATCCGGCTTCGAGTATTTTTTGTCGTTCATTAAAAAAAAAAAACGTTTTGTCGCTTGTAATTGAGCGGCAGTTGCTTTTGTTTTGCCTTTAAAAGAGCATTAAAACAGTGAAACAGGTGCGTGAACCGAAAACAAGTTGTTACCACAAAAAAAACCAAACGAAACGAAGCATAACTTAACTTGTATAAAATCATTAAAAGTGCATTAGACAACCTGCCCCCGAGGCGGAAATTCTAAGGCCTTTCTCATCCGTCCAGCCGCCAACCCGTCACTCAGTCACTCATTCAGTTTGTCAGTTTTAATGCACCTGCAATGACTGGTTAAAATAGGAATAAAAAAATATAAGAAGTATTTGTTGAGAGATGCCCCTTAATGCTTTGCGGACCTCGTAGCCATTAAAGAAGGAAACAATTTCGCACTAAAAAACCAACCCACGTCGTCGGGTGGCCAAAGTGCTTTATAAGACCAACAACCCATAAAGTGATCTCAAAAAAGTCAGCTAAGCGAAATATACACACGCACCTTCATATACTATATGGATAATCATAAAATTCTGGCAAAAAGGCATTTGGTTTTTGGTTTTTGGTCAGTTGGAGTTATCTTATGTATATATACATTTTAGCAGCTGCAACGCCAACGCTAAATTCTCAACTGCGATATTTTGTTTATGAGTTCTGCCAGTTTTGCGTGGGTTGCTTGGGAATAACTTCAGATCTTAGTGCCTAGTGTTAGCCTTGGAATTCCTCGTTAGATTAACATTTTTTTGGCTCTCTTGGAGTGTTTTATGGAGATTTTTAAAAGCAGATTGGGATAGCCTATAAAGTGTTTTGGAAGGTTTAGGTTATTGGTGATTTATAAATGGAAATCTTGTAAGATTTACTTTATATTATTGTAAAACTGATTTATACAAATAGTTTAATAAATATTTAAAAAAATATATTCACATTTGTTTAATAAATCTTCAAGATTTACTTAATAAAAAATTGTTTATAAATTGTTGCCTTTCTATATGAAATTCTTTCTATATGTATCTTGCAAATATTAAACATCAATATCTCATATTTTCTAACATTCCGTGTCTAAATATAATCCACCTTCATGAAAAAGAGTTACTTTTATTATATATTCAACCTTTAACATTAATTTTGCTATTTAAAAATCTCTTTAAAAGCCCTCCCACTGCTTTTGCCAGCTCAGAAATTCCAAGAATGCTCATCCGTGTGTGAGCGAAATCCAACTAATAATCATAATTCATCAGACAAAGTATTTTGCATAAATGTCCAAGTCATGACGAGTCCACAAAACGTGCCTTTAATTTATCTAATAGATATTTGAACTGCCCATCAGGCTGACATAAAACAAATGTTGCCCATTTGTGCTGCATGTTCAGCATAAATGAAGCATATAGCCGTGGCAACAACAGCAATAATCGGTTAACCCTTGCAGCGGCAACAACCATTGGCTTAGGAAAATGCAGTCAAGGTGCGCTTAATTAACATGCAACTGGCAACGTTCGCGTAGAAAAAAAAAGAATAACAAAAACAACGACAGCCACGACAAGTTAACGACAACAACACGTTGAAAAGTGCAATCCGCAGTAATCAAAACAGCAAACAGCTCAAAAAAAAAGAAACTCCCGGAAAAAAAAGGTCTCGTTTTTCGCCAGAAGGTGACGAAGACGTCGAGCGGTCTAAGTTTTCGCCAATCAGTCAGCTAATGATGCCCGGCCAGCAAGATGCAACTGCAACTGCAACAGCAACTGCGGATGCGCCCTGCAGCTGCTAATTAAACTGCAACGGCGAGGGGAGAACAATTGCAGCTGCAACAATCAGCAATTACGACTTCAACAGCAACATCCCCAGCATCAGCAGTAAATAAACCAATAATGTAAGTACACTAAAAACATAAAGAAAACTGTTCTCGCTAAGGTTGTATAATGACTTTTGAAACGCTGGGGAAAACTCTGTTTTTCCTTAGAATTTTATACTTTACTAACAGGGGTTAGTTTACTAACTTGAGGACTGATTTCTTAATTTAATGTTAGTTTTTCACAAGAGTTAAATTTCTATTTCTGAGACGAACACTAACAGTCATTAGCCTTAACCCTTAACATATTGTTGCATTTAACTTGAAAGTTCATTGTCTCAGTTAACTGCGTGTATTGGCTGTCATTTGACTTTCTTTCGTTTTGCTGCAGTTGCAGTAGCATAAACAGCAGCCGCAGTAGCAGGAGCCACATTCAGCCACCCCATCGACTTTCTAAGCCAGTTGCCAATTTAGTGCATTTGGCTGATTTGGCCAGAGCCAGGAAAAACTGGCCAAAAGTGGCAGTGGCTGTCGCCAATTGTTTGCCGGGTCTCTCCAATGGGGAAGATGCCTGCAGCTTGCTGCCTTGCGAAGATTTGCCAAAGATTGCAGATTGTAGACTGTAAAACTGTAGACTGTAGACTGCGATGACGCAGTTGCAGTGTTGCAGTGGAAGACTGGGTCGCGTGTTTGACACAAATGCCGCGAATAGTTTTGAAGGCGGTTTGGACCCACTACGATTTATGGTCAAAAGCTGTGTTGACTTGGGCAAACAAGAAGTGTGTTTCTTTTTGTATGTCTTGTTTGTCTTTTTTTTTGTGTTTTTTAGCCGGCTGCTTCCTGTGACTGCGCTGATTGCGTTTTAATAAGCCAAGAGATGGCTTTCGACCATGTTGCATGTTGGCCTTAAGTAGCAGGAAAAACCAATAGTCGGCCCAAGACAAACACAGCACGCAAACTTCGTTGCGGATGAATGCAGAAGTTGGCTATTTGCCTCGCGTGCCAATGCGGCAAAATGCTGGGTCACAATGGGTTAAAGTTTCCCCATGATGGCCCCCGGGCAATCGCCAATATCTATTTAGTAAAATCTCGCCTCGATTGTGGTTTTCTTTCAATGAGCTCAATGCCAATGGTTATTGAAAGAATGCTTCTGATCTTGGCGAAGATATGGCGATGGTGGGTTAAGTAAATTCCATAACTTAAAGAATAAAGAATTAAATTTAAAGTTATAATACATTTATAGTCAAGTTTGTGCTTCAATGCGTTTCTATATAAATGTTATTTTATTTTCATAATTAAATCTCATTTTTATTAATTTTGAAATCCATAAAAATGTCAAAATCACTTTAATAGACTGATCTGCCCTGGCAGTTCGTTAACAATAGCTATATCCCATTAAAAGCTCAATAGACTATTCATGTTTTGATGGATTATTGGATATGGTAAAACCTTTTTTCCTACCTTACCAGCATACCAAGTTGACGTAATAAAAATCCCATTTGGCCATCGATCTTCGAACAATGGGAAAACTTTTATTGTCCAGCAGTTAGAGTTTCCCTTTTTCTGACCAATGTGCGGCGGCTAATAGAGGCGGCGGTAGTCTTTGATGCCAAAAGATCAATGGAATTGGCTGAGGGTATTTGGCAATTTGTCGCTGAAATACGGCAAGTGTTCAAGTGCCAAGATGCCTGGCATAAGTGGCTAAATACATACAAATATATCATTTATAAGCTGGGTCTCTGCAGATACAGATAGATTGCCCAAGATCGATTGGCTTTGGCTACTAATAGGCTTAAAGTGGTTTCCCAATGCAACTTCAACCGGTTAACGCCATTCATAGATCCATTGACCACGCCTCGCATGCCTCGACTGACCCTCAGACCATATGAACTTGGCTAATCACATAAACAAACAAATAAAACGGGGTAGCACAAAAAAAAAGGTAACATACATACTCGTACATTTTGTAGCACCGAACAAGACAGCCAATAAATGTCCGACAGTGCAAAAAGGCCATAATAATAAACTTAAATAGACGAACGATGAAAAAAATAACAACCGCAGACTTAATGCTTACAAATTTGTGCGCAGTCGCAGCTTCATAGACGAGGAGGGCAATAACAAGTTTTTGTCTATGCACTTCGCTGTTGCCGAGTTTTTGCTTTGTTTTAGTGGCACTCATTAGCCAAGTTATGAACACCAGGTTGCGGCTAAACAGTAGCGCAAAAAACAAACAACAGATTTGCGCACCGCTACGAAATATGGCTAAAACGGTTAGGTGAATGCAGGTACACTGGGTGTGAAAAGTTGGCGGACAAAATCAAATTTATCTGCTAAAATAAATAATAAAAAAAAAATGTATGAAAATATATATGTTTAAGCAAATAGAACACCTTTCTTTAAGCAATTTTTTCAATATTTTTAATAAAAACTTTATTAATGAAAAAATATTTATAAATATTTGCTTATTCTTAAAAATGTCTTAGGTATTTTTAAATATTTTTTCAGCATCCAAATTTACAGTTAATGTTTATTAACTTTATTTAAAGTTTATTCCCTGATTTATCTCTTAATTAATCAGTCTTAAATCTACCGTTAGATCACCTTTAGTACCCACTGTTTCTAGAAATTGGATGCGTTTGCGAGGCATTTTTTGGGGCGTTTAAAAACGCCCCGTTCCCATGGCCCACCCAATGAAGCGTTTCCACTACACACACGTTCGTCGTAATCAATTAAATGAAATCTGAGCCGAGCTTTGGCTAGGTCTAGAAAAAAAAACGCTCAGGGGTTTTTCTAATGCCCAACAACAACAACAACAATTGCTTTACTACAAAGTTGCTCGAGTCGTGTCACAGGCGAAAAATATAAAAAAAAACAAAATTGTTTTCTCATTTTCTTTGTATTGCGGCTTGTTTTCTTTTTTTTTGGGTTTCTCATTTTTGTGGCATTGTTTGAGCGATTTGTTTGAATTTTGCCGCCTTTAACTGAAGTTCGACTGGGAGTCTCTCTCTCTTGGAAGATGCTTCGCCAGCTTTTTGGGGTATTTTGTTCGTTTTTATTACTTTTTTTTTGTTTTTTTTTAGCTGTGTGTGTGGCTTGGCATTTTATCCCAGTCACGCTGCAAAGTTATTTGCGCCGTCGTGCAGGGACCAAGTTCTCTTCTCTGTTATTATGCCAGCCGGTTTCATCGTCGTCATAAAGCTGCAAAAAAAAATCAAGAGAAGAAAGAGCCAGCAACAAAAAAAACTTCTTGGCTCTGCAGTTTTCGTTTGTTGGTAATCCGAGCCCAGAGCCTTTTGATTTATGCAGTTGGCGTCATAAACTGTTGCAGTTTCAGTTCTTCGATATCCCTGTAAATGTTTGGGGTATTTCGATGAGCTTGGCTTTTAGATAAATATATTTTATATATTATAGATGCAAAATCATATATATTCAAAGACTTGCACTCACATAATTTACTTAAAAAAATTATAAAAATAAAATTTAGCTCAAGTCTGCTCAATAATTATTTTTTGGCACACCTAAAAAGAATTTTCAATTCTCATGATTTTTAAGGAAAACTATGATGTGAAAACTTTTTTAAAGTGACTTCACTTAGTAGGCTACTGCCGATTCTCTGCGTATCTACATATTTAGATATTCGTGTATTTTATCCTTTCAAACATTCGTTTTTGTTTCGTGGTTATATCATTAACATAAGTAAAGTTCCTTTAAAAGTTGTAAATTTTTCCCGTAAAGAGCATTACCCAGTCGCAACCTGCAACAAAAACGTATCCAATTACCAAAAAAAATTCTTTTCCATTGTCAGATTCTCCCTTTTTTGTGTTTTTACCAAATACAAAATGCATTTTTGGCTTAGCCCGATGGTCTGCACTTGTTGAATTTTGATATTTTTTGTGGGAAAACTTGGCTAAATTGGCTTGCCAACATCTTCCTCCAGCTGGCAGCAATTCCTCAACGACTTGCCAATATTAAAGTATGCACTCCGTATTCATTGTTCGTTTTGTTTTGACTAAAAAGTAAGTCAAATCCTCGTTATGAATTCATCAACTGTCTCGGTTTTTGTGTGCCTGCAATTGGCAAATAATTCATGTCGACTCTACTGTTTTTTATGGCTAAGTATATTTTTTTTTTGATTAATGAAATCAACTCCAACCTTGCCAATTGCTTCCGCTCCGAGGCAGACAATTGTCTATTATGACTTGTGTCTTTTTCTTTTTTCAAGACTTATGTCTCTCTGTCTGCTCAATTATTATTTGTTGGCACACCTCAGAAGAAGGTTAAACTTTGGCGAATATTACGCTCTAGGGCATATATATTTTTTTATTTTTTTCATACTTTCAAGTGTTAAGATACATATAATAAAAATTACTTCACAGCCATTATGAAGTTAAGGTGATTTCTCATTGTTGCGGTCAAGTGGGCTAATGACTCTTCGGAGGGTAGGCGATGGTAACACGAGACTCTTGTGGCTAAAACAAAAGTGATTTGTTTAATAGTTTCGGAACACGCAAATTTATAGCCTATCCCTTGACTTGTCAACAGAATTCCACAACGGTTTCGCATTAATTTTTTTGGTTTTTTGGTTATCGAATATCAATTTTTGTATTCTATTTTTGCCAGGCCTCGTTTGCATATGACACACAAAGTTGCTGGTCAAAAAGGTAACTTCTAACGATGCCGTATCGATAATGCTGTCACCTTTTTTGTTGATCCGTTTTTGGACTCCAAATATTTGCATAATTTTTCGTAGAAGTGTTCCTCACTGCTCCGCCACCTGTTCCCAAATGCGCAATTCAAAGCGGACATTCGGCATGAGTTTAAAACTTATTTTCAAATTTTTGTTTATACGCTCACGATTTGGCCATAAAGTGGCTGGCTGGTTGGTTGGTTGGAATATTTTGCGATGTCTGATTGCCTTGGTCGTTGGTATGAGAGTATTGAGTTTGCCATTTACTTTCACCGATTGAAATTCAATTACGAAACCCGATACGCCCAGATCCAAGTGGTAGACAAATGCATGGCTCTAGGGGGAAAATCATGGCAAAAAGCGTTAATATTTATTAATTGAAGGGGAAAAACTAAGCTGTTGGCTAAATATTACAAAGTTAAGGAAGTAAAGTCAAGGCTGCAGGCGAACTATTTCAAGTTTTATATACTTTTTGATTAATATATGAGAAACTTTTAGGTCCGAAAGCATTTTAATCGTCTTTTTTCGCAATCAGTTAAATTAATTTAAGCCATTGAGGGTTCACTTTATTGCCATTTGTTTATCAGTTATCGGATGATATAATAATGTATTTAACCAATTAAGAGGCGGGGCCAATTCATTTAACTGCGGCATCGTCATCAGTTCAAGTCGTTTTGTAGCTTGTCATATGCAAATTGCGCATACGCCCCGATGGCTATGTTGGAAAATAAAACGAAAAAAAAAAATCACAAAAACTGCCAGCTAAATGTCAAGCTCAACTCTCACAATCTGTCACTGACTTGTCGCTTGAGTATCTCTCAAAAGTCGATCCCCATTTACCCCCACACCACTCTGATCTTTCTCTCATTAATAGTTGCTCACTTAACGATCGTTGTCCGGCGGGAAAATATTTTGCCGGTGATGCAATGGAGATTCATGGCTTTGATTTACAGTCAAGATACGTACGATAACCTCACAATTGAAGGCATTGAAATTGCATTAAGATTGTTGATAAATAGCCAACTGACTCGGAGCAATAATAAGTGCAGGCGGAGAAAAGATGTAGCTACATTCAAGTTAGATTTATTTTAAGAGCTACTGAGTGTAATATATAAGCTATAGTTATAGCTTTAAATACCTGATTAAAGATTTCCTATGAAAAATCAGTAAGTAATATAATTATTTTCCCAGTGCTCGATGAGTGGGTGGCGCGGGTCCGGTCCGAAGTGATGATCGTCAAAGGCGATCACCTTTTTCGCCTAACGATTACAAACGTTTGCAATTAACTCAAATACTATATTTACGGCCAGGCAACATGCGGCACCCCTACTGACCGCCCCACCCCTAACCCCGATCTAAGATCGGCGATCGCCGTCATGGCTATAACATGCTATATCATAATTTACAACTTTGACGTCAGGCTTGGAAGCACGCGTTCACCGCAATGCTGTTTTCGATTATGCTCCTCATGGCTTTCGGCGGTCTATGGAAGCTACCCCTGCCCTAACCCCCCCTTTTGGAAACTCCAATTCCAAGCAACAATTCCCCCCTTTAAAAAAAAACTTCATCTCCGGCCTTGATGGCTTGCCCCTGGCGGCGTTTTGTATCTTGCGCTTGCATCTTGTATCTTTTGCTGCCGAATGGCGGGCTGGCGAGCTGGCTGGCCACATGGGGCGGCTAGCTGCAAAAATTTGTTAGCCTGTCGTAAACTGCGCCAAATCGCATAAATTATAAACGCCAAACCCCGTTTATCGATATGCAAAATAGTATCGTGTTGTGTTTCTTTTTCTCCTTTTTTGTTGTTTAGCGAAAGTGTCGATATGCCTTCAACTGAGAATAGTTTCTTCATGCCTTGTGGCCAGCAATTTCTTTTAATTGATTTTCAACAGTCGTGTGAGTTTTAGTTTTTAGACATTTTTTTTTGTAACCCCGTCTAGACAACGCCAACGCATGAGATGCTCCTTGGTTGACAGGTGTTGATTGAAATGACCCAAAAAGAAGGAAAGGCATACATGAGTCTTAGCACTTTTTGTTCTGTTTATAAAACTGGGAAAACAGGGAAAAACATTTCAGGAAAACAACTCAATCACTTTAATGAGAGTCAGGGAAAATGAAATATCAAATGACTCGACGGGTTGAACTATTGTTTTGGTGGGGGACTAAAATCTATTGACAGCACTCAAAGGGAAAATAAACTAAAGGATGTCTTTGTAACCGTATACCTTTGTTTAGGGATTTTTGATGGTCTGATAATTGGATAGGGAACAGTTTTCTAAAATAAATATTAATTTCTATCATCATGCCATGCAAATACAGTTTAATTGTTCTATAAAAATCCAACTGATACAGGAAAACTGTAATTATTATACGAGTGCTAGTACTAACAACAACACACCATAAAAAAGTACCCGACAAACGCCAACATTGACAAAGCTCCAATGTTGTTTTCTCCCTTTTCGAACTCTGCTCTCAAAATGAAATAAATATAAATAAACATATAGTCGAGTCATATACATGGACAGCTCGACCGATAAGATAACATTCGCTGGCACGCACTCGAATGAGACTCTCTTATAGTTATTACAATATGTCAAACTGCATGTCATGCAACTCAGTGGTTGTACGGCACTTTAGATCTATTTACCGACACTCGAGCAACATACAACATCGAACTGAGCGTGTGCTATGGGGCAGGAAGTTCTAATCGTATTCTATGTTTGAAAAGCGATGAAAGTTGCAGCAGTGAATGTGATTATTAGACATCTATTTAAACTGGAAAACCTGATGATTAATACGTGATCTTAAACTAAACATTGATATATGACTTTAATCTATTCCAACCACATTGATTTTGAGTAAGAAAAAACAAACAAAAAATTGCGTTTTTCAGTCCAACTCTTGATTAATTTTAATCTCCAATTAATTTGAGTTTGATTCGAACTTAAAGTGATTTTGATTTGCATTTCATTTGAATAATGAACTCTATTTAGCTAAAAACACACAAACGCAGTTTCTTATAATAAAGTTGTTATCAAACCAAACACGTTTTAGCATTTACTAACTATCAGAGTCATTAGAAAACCATTTAGAATCTCGGGAACCTCTAACCTAAGATGAAAAATGATATTTTAAAGTTATAAACTTGACTTTCTCATCCACTGTAACTGCAATTGAAACGCTGCATTTAGCCAACGCTGTTGATCTCAAATGCCCAGTTCATTCTCTAATCAAAATATTTAGAAACTTAATTAAATGTTTGCTCTGTGGAACAGCAACTATCAATTGTTCATCATTTACACAATTGCCGCCTTATAAAGTCACAGATCGATGTCAAAGCCGCCTATCAGCAGATCGTCTATTGAACTCCAAAGCGACGCCAGAGTGCCAGTCCATGAAATGATCGTTTTATTTCATAATTAGTATTTCCCTCGAGCATTGATTTTGTAATTTATGTTAATTAGCTTGGCGTATTTCTACGGAAATATGAATATTGTATAAACTTTGGCAACACGAAAATTTCATGCCCTATAAGCTGGCCGAGAATTTCTACAAAAGTGTCACGGCTTCTACGGTTTTGTGTTTATTTTTTCAACGCTTTCGGTTAAGTGAGCCGGTTTCCGTTTCTGCTGAAGTGTTATTTATGTCTTCTCTTTTTTTTGCTATTCATAAACAAGTTTAGTGTTTTGGCCAGTGGAATTCACGGCTTTTAATTATGCGTTAGTGGATTCTCTCATTGCTTTAATGGGCTAATAAATTGCTGCAATTATTTATGCGTCACACCCAATCGATTTCTAATAGCCACAGGGCCTTCCCTCTGCCCACTCTGCCTACTTTTCCCACAAAGGAATTTCTCTCTATAAACAATAATTCACATTTTTTTTTAACAATTCCACAAGCATTTGTAACCCGCTGTGAAACTATAAACTACTGGTTTTTGGCAGGCCATTCTGAGCCAGGTTTTATGAATTATGAGATAAGCCGAGGAGGTATGAAAAATTACACAATTTTATGGATTACATGGTAGCATTCATTAAAGTTTGTGCATTCTGTTGTCAACTTAAATTAGTTAACCAGAATATATTAAGGCTTAATGACCTGCCCAGACCCCGAAGATATCTCACTTTGTGGTGTAATAACTTTATTTTCCATCTCAGCTTCTGTGGGCCTTAACGATGCCTCCGGTGAAAGATCAAACAGCCAGGATAGGGCGACACCTTTCCAACTTCATCAATCATGGCAAATGCTTCCGCTACCAGAAGTTTACAGGGGTCTCTGTTTGAGATACTAAGATACATATATAGATATACATACAACACAGGAAGAAACTAGAATGAAGTTTTTGATTTTATAGAAGTTTTTTAATAAAACAGAGACCAAGTTAGTCTTAGAAGATCTCATCATTATTTTTACGAAAATCTTTAACTAAAAAACATATAAGACTTAAAATAAACCTGCAGTTTATCTAATGCATCATGACATAAGACACATTTTTTCTCAGTACAGGTGTAAGTTCGCTTATCGGGCGTCCACACACCGAGATTTTGAATTGGAATTGGACTTGGAATCGGCACCGAGCTGTTTGGGCTTTGGCTTGGGCTTGGGTGTCGTCGAGCGGACTCGTTACGAACTGGTTTTCGTGCTGCTAAGCAGTCACTTACTTATATTTATTAATTATCGTATCGATAGCTCTCTCGTTTGAGCTAAGCTCCGGGGGGGGACTAAAAAAAAGCGACTAACAACAAATGTACACTTGGCATTGTGTTTGGCTTATAGTTTTTGGGTGTTTCTCGGATTGGTTTGGTTCTTTAACGATCGTTGGCAAACAAAAAACAAAGTCGACAAGCAAAACAAATACAAAAGATATATAGAAATACAAATACGCACACACACACACACAAGCGAGAGCTAAACAACACACATAGATACTCACATTTACAGAGCATAAAGTTCAGGCGGCGAACTCGTGAAGTTTTTCTCCCGGCGCATTCAGTTCGATTTGAGCGATTTTCGAGCGCGGAGCGTTTAACTCGCAGAGGAAATAATCAAAAAAGAAAACCAGAAAAAAAAGACGACAAAACGTGCAACTAAATCTAAAAAAACATTACATAGCTTTCTGAGTCAGCCAAAAAAGCAAAATAAACCAACTAAAAGTGCAACGGCGATGAAAAGTGCTCTTCCAAATGTCGTGTTGTTTGCCGGGGCAAAAGTTTTCGTCTGTCGCCTTCGGAGTTAATTAATTTCGGCATAGAATTTCCATTTAGCCAAATATATATATATAGAAAAAGCCAAATGCTAATTAAATGCCATCGAGTAAAGGCCACTAAGTAAGGCATATGAGAAGTAGTCGACCAAATAACGCCGGTGATATGATTCTCCACGATTCCGTAATCGGTGGCTACGATGAGTCAAAGTTTGCCGAAAAGATAACCCACCTGACGCCCACCGAACAGGAAGCCGTCAAGCGATTCTGGAGGTAAAGATACCAGTAATGGATCTGCAGATATATATCGCAGTAATCTGAAATGGCAGGAAGTGCGGGTGTATCATAATTATGGTGGCAAAAATCGAATAGTGTTTATCGGATGTTGTTTTTTCAGTCTGTGTTGTTATTATGGAGGTGTTAAAGGTGTGATTTTAAGTGCGAGTTTTTATGTGGCAATGAACTAAAATCAATAAATTAAGGTGTTTGCAAAACAAGTTTTGAGGGATTTTCTAAATGATTTGTTAATTTATTTTAAAGGTTTTTAAGAGAGTTTTAAACAAAAAAGGAAGAGATGAACTTATAAAAATATGTTATTAAATGTTTTTTTAATTTTTAATATTTTTTAACTATTGTGGATATATAATAATAGGCAGTTTTTTTTAGTTCGATTTCCTTTACTAACTGTATTAAAATAATAAACAAATATAAGACTTATCAGTTACCCTGTAACTACAAATTTTCAACCCTTTCTTTATAATATATTAAACTAAAAAATCATAAACAAAAAACCCAAAATAACTGCTACAAAGTCACAACTCTCAAAGTGTTCCGATAAATCATTGTTTGTGTCTCAAAAAACCAAACCGAATCCAATTATAATAATTTCTAATTATGAAAACGGGCGGCGTAAACAAGGAAAAGCCGCAACAAATTGTGGCTAGACAAACGTAGAAGGCAGAACATAAAGACAACGAGTTTCTATGTATCATAATCATAAACACGCATATTAATTTGGTTTGAAATCCAAAAATACGCGATGCCGCAACCGTTCCACATGAATGCAAGTTTTTCAGGCTGGGAAGGGAGGTAGAGAGTCAGGGGGTGGTGGTATATGTCAGGCCTTTTCCATTTCCATTCATGTAACATGCATAAAGCGAAACCGCATAAATCAGTTGACGCATAAATTTTCATTTTACATACATTTTCAAATCGGGCAAAAGATGAAAACTTGAAAAATGACTCGAAAAATATGGCAGCAAATTGCCAGACGGCTTTCAACTTGACTTCTTCACAAAAATATTTAATTTTTTTTCTTATTTATAATATCATTAAATCAGCAATGTTAGTTTTTCCTTATATTTGGCCAAAAACATGACAGGCAATTAATTTGATAATGCATATGAAAAGTTAAGGTAAATCTCACGACTTTTTTGGCTAATTGCCTTAGGATTTTTTTGGAGTTCCCATTGGGACCCAAAAACAAATTATAAATAATTGCAGTTTCCGCTTCCACTAAAGTGGAAAAATGAAAAATGCAGCACGCATGTTACGTTTTTCCAGGAAAATTTGAGTAGGGATCACGGCGGCAAAGTTCACTAATGAGTTCTGTTGAGGATTGTTGGGGATGGGTATGGGAATGGAAACTGGAGCTGGGGACAAGAACCATTCCTCCAGTTGGCAGGGCAAATAGATTATTCTGGATTTTGTGGCGCACGCACAAATTTATCTATATATATAGATAGATATATATTTTCAAAGATGTTTCCAAATACCAAACAAAGGGGGCGACAACAAGAACTCAAAATGCTGACAGCTTGATATACTTTAATATAATTTCTTCCCTACGGCAAGTGTGATTTCTATCTATATCTCTCGCTATGCCTGTGTATCTTTGGTATCTACGCATTTGTTGCATTCCGAGTCGGATGCACTGAGAAAAAAGAGTGTTTATAGTTCGAAGAAAAGTTTGTGTTTGATGGGAACTTGTTACCATATAAAGCCTACTACTTACTATATAATATAGTAAATGATTTTTAAGCCATTTCATATTAATATTTGTAAACTTAGTAAGCTTAATTTCAACCCCTACACAGCATCATCTATTTGTATATATTTCCTAAAATTTTTTTAACATTTTTCCCAGTGTACTCGCTGCACTGATTTATTTTTATATCTGATAGCAAAGACAAATACTGTTTCGCAAGCGACTTTCTTTGTTTTTATTTATTCAGGCCCTGCTGTAATCTTTCATTATTTTGTTTTCTTTATTTGCCAATTTCCACTAACAAGAATTTCTTTGGTCCGATTCGTTTTCAGGTCGCTGGTTTTGCGAAGTCAACGCGCCTTCATTGAGGAAAATGGTAAGTTGAAAAAAGCCAAGCGTGGGCCTGGGCCATAAAAATAATAATACTAAAAACGTGTCTCAGGCCCACATGGCTGCTGACATTCTACAACGGCAGCAGCAGCAGCAGCTTTGGCCACAATATCGGATGTGGGTCAACGGTAACGCCCGCACAGAAATCCGCAAAAACCCAGGCCAACACCCACAATTGTGTTGAGCAGTGTTAACAATACACTTAACTTGGCCGAAAAGGCAAATTTGTCACAGCGGCGCCGCAACGCACTTTTCCTCCCACTCTAATCCAATGAAATATTTTTGGTTTTTTTTTTTACATTTCGACTCCTTTATGGAAATCAATTTTGGCAAGACCCACACTTAAGTCCTCCCCCTTACCAACCATATCAAAAATGCAACTTTTAATTAAGCCAAACTGAGAAGAAAAACTGGTTTTGCGGCTTAAACGCAAATATTTTCCTCGATATCTACAAAAATTTTGGTCTTTTTACTTTGGCCAATTTATGACAAGCGGATGTGAGTTGACAGTTTTGTTGGCGGTGGGCGTGGCAGGTTTTGATTTTCAACTTCAGCGTTAATTGAAGCAATTAAAATGGGCAACCTGTGCGTAAATGTCAGCCAACCAGCGATTTCAACTCATTAGCCACACACGAAGTGTTTACCATAAATTTGAAAATGAAAAAAAATAAGACCCTAAAAACGACAAAAGTTTATGACACGTTGAAAAATCATTAAAAAACAGAAAGCCATTAACCACTGCAGCCACCACAAGTAGCCGGCTGAAAGGGACGACTTTAATTGGGTAATTAAAATGCGCACATAAATAGGGCGAATCCCGTCTATGAAGCACTTAAAAAAATTAATAGGAAAATGTAAGGTGTTCTTGAAAAATAAAAGGAAGTTTATTGAGGAAGAATAAGATTTTTATTGTATTTTTTAGCTGTGAAAAATTTCCTTTAAAATATATTTTCATATTCTACTCAGCTTACAAAGTTAGACGAGCGTTTAAATAATATATGTTTAATTTTTAATGATTAAAAATATATTTAATGCACAAAGGGCTGTTAACAAATTAGCAAATTAGCTTAGAAATAAAAATCTTATTATGAATAAACGAATAAATCCTAAGCCCCTAATATCTAAAATCAAACTCAATTAAGTAATATATGTCTTAATTTTATCCGTTAAAAGTTATAATTATTTCTTGAAAACTAAAGTCTCTTGATTAAGGCTAATATACCCATTATTCACTTATTTTATATTTGGCTGTGGCTTGTTTTTTTTTCATTATTTTTTTGGTTGCCTGTCAAGTGAGTTGGGGCTTGCAATTAGATCGAACAGCATTGCACGTGTTTTGCATAATTAAATTTTTGCGCTTTACGGTAATTTGTGCCTGTGGCCGCAGCAGCTCTTGCACCGTTAGCTTCATTAGCTGCAGCAACAGCAGCTGCTGCAACGGCAACTGCAAATGCCGCCTACCACAGATATATCCAACATATGAGCAAATTGTGCACATGTCAGTGTCGGACAACCAGTTTGGATTTGGTGTTTCAATACCCTTAACCTAAGGGTATATCTGGATTAAAAAGAAATTTGTTAAAGATTATAATAAATATATACTCGTATAAAGGGTATTTCAAGTTCTTCTTTAATTTTCTGGTTTCTTTTCCATTTCATTCACAAGTCGAGTTCATTTTGTATGCTGGACAGCATCTGCATCATTCACCAATACGCCTACGCTTAAAATGTAGTCATTACATGAGAGCTCTGATCAACATGGGAACGATCATGATAATGATGATTGGGATTGGGACATGGGGACATGGAGACATGGAGACATGGGGTACCGGTGATCATGATCGTAATTCAACTGTTGTGATCGAGCTGGGTTAATTTCTTAATTTTTATGTATGTCGGGTGCGACAATACGATTTATGTGACCGAATGTAGGCGCCCTTAAATGGGTTGGCAGATTGTTGGCCAAATGAAGTTGTAAGCTGGCTGAATGCATATATTATGGGCAAAATGCCTTTGGGAATTATGTTAAGAATTTATACAAGAGAGAGCTGTAATGATTTTACGGATAGTTGATTAAGATTTCATCGACTATCTAAATGCCTTTTAAGATACTCGTATTTTATAAAAATCACAAACAGTTCATTTTTCTGCACTTACAAGCCTCAATTTGGCTTGCTTAAGTACTTAAAAACAAAATGCTTTTCCTTTTAAGATAAAGCATTAAATACCCCTCAATTAGGTAACATTTATGGAGTCAAATTCCTTGTCCGCCTACTAAATCCAAAACCAAAAAAAAAATAGAAGCCGCACCAAATTTGAATAGTCTGTGTGATTAGATGATTAAGAGTGTTTCGCAGTGGGTGGGTGTGAGTGTTAGTGTGAGTGTGTCGATCGATGATAATTAAGCCGGCGCACGGATTTGGCCATGGCCATGGAGCCGCCTGCTAATTACGGCCACTCATGCTCATCAATATGCGACCTCTTAAGTCTGTCCAACACGTATACGCCGCGTATGCAACACTTTCACAATCTAGACACGCCCACGGCGGTGGTTTTACTACCCACGACATTGTCGTTGCTTTTTATGAATGAAAAGTGAAAAGTATCTTTTGCACTTTTCCATCTTTAATGCTTTTGCAGTTCACCAACAGATGGCGACGGCAAAGAGCTTTAGACTTGGGCGACTTGATAAGCGTGTCTAAATGCCGCCATATCTTATCGGGTTTAATTTGCTGCATGATGAATATAGTGAGAATTTGATACGTTTTGCTGCCGGTCAGTTTGTTGAAGGCTTTCCCAAAGAGAAGAACGTTTGATTTTCTCAATAATTTTCCTTGATTTTTTTACTCAATAAAATCGAAGGCTAGCCAGCGCTACGTGCTGAAGGAATTTCAAATGTTTTAAGTGCAAACTCAAGTAACCATAAAATGCTTGGGATTCTTTTTTGGCTCGGTGTTTTGTGGCTCTGGTATGGGGCGAAAATTCCGCAACAAAGTGAGTCTAAAAGCTGGAATCATAAATAAATAAAATAAAAATCAAACAAAACTTTGACTAGCGTTTGCTTTTAGCTTTTATCCGTTGGAGAAATCTCTATGCCGACTATTAAAACCCATTACTTAAATCATTATTTAATTATTATTTTCCTTGATTACAAAGTCGTTTACGTTCGCCAATGCCAACGTAAATAACTGAAATTGCTTCGTTAAAAGTGATTCATTCGGGGCCAAAAGTGGTTTATCTAAATTAACCAAAATTAGTTATTATAAGGCGCAATTAAGCATAAATAAGGCACGAATTTATCTCTCAGATACAGACGGTCATTCTGAGAACTCTGCGCCTTTTGTACCTGCTCCTCATATTACCAAATCCGAAACGTGTTTGATGGAGGGCAGGTGTGGCACCCCCAGTCTGCGTTGCACAGACGCAGAAAAAAAGATACCTTTTTTTTATTGGTGGTTTGACTGTGGCCAATACCAAGAATCGAACGTTGACGTGACCTTGGTAGTGACATTAAGATATACCGCGTCTGCCTTTGATATCTCAGATATACTTATTCTTTTCTTTAACTCTTCCCTTGCAGCTCGTCCAGCCTCATCCTCCACGAATCCCGCTCCATCGGGCATGAGCCGCTCGGTGCGCAGCTGCAACTGCTGCCCCTATGGCTACCACATCGATCTGGACTTTGTGCGCTACTGCGAAGCTCTGGCCCATGAGAAGCCCAGCGAAGAGGAGCAGCGGCGAAGGGACCGCAGAAGATCCCGAAAGTCCATGGAGTTCATGCTGGGTTTCGAGAGTCTTTTCGGTGGCGACTGGCAGGCGGAGACACGGGTCCAGGGAAAACTGAGTGAGGTAGGTTGGTCAGGGGGTTATGAATGGAATAGGATAGAAAGGGTTATAAGTTTATTATAAAAGAATAAACTCAAAGAAATTCCGAAATTGATTTAAACTTAATTTACTTCTGGGTGGTCTTCTCCTTTGATCTCCAAACTCCCAGAACTGAACGTGCAATTAACTTGTCACCTTTTCAATTTCGCATATAGGCCTCACATGAAAGCGAACCGGATTCGCCACGCCCCATTGGAGGCGCGTTCAACATGTCGCAGTCGTACAACACCACTCCGTGCTACCGACCACGTTCATCGTCCGTGCCGCGTTTCACCTATGGCAGCATACCGCCAAGATCGGAATCGCCCTTCGGCACTGCCTCCTCCACATGCTCCTCCTTACGCGGCGGCGTGGAAAGCGATGCTGGGATCTATCATCAACGGCATAGACCGGCAATCAGTCCGCCGGAGACCAGGGCATTCCTTCATGAGGCACTCGATGAGGTGTGCAGCGATTTTGAGAGGACTTTGGAACGGACGTCGGTGAAGAGGCGCAAGGCGGCGCCCTATGGATCTATGTCCATGGACCGGAATAACAACAAACTGAGTCTGAGCCTTAGTAATGGTCATGGTGGATTGAAGGAACAGCGGAGTCATCGCCTGGGCAACAGCACGTGGGATCGGTACTTTGATGTGGCAGGTGAGTGGGTGGCAGAACAATCTCCAAAAATAGGATGACAAAAAAAATAGTACAATTTATTAGTTTCTTGCTGTGCACTGGAAGAAAATGTGTGGTTGTTTTAGGATATATAGGAGGAATATAGAACATGAAAAGCTAAAAATATTAGGTAATACAAAATCTAAAGTTTAAATATTCCAGAAAAAGGAACAAAAAAAAACATTTAAAATATCTCGTGATTTTAGATTACAAATCTAGAGTAAAATGTTATATATTGTTGGTTCTGTGTGGTGAAGATGATTCATAGAGTCGAGTGAGACAGGCCTTCGGCAGATACTTTTGCTTTCTTTTCTTAGCAATTAGCGACGCTGCGGCACATGTGACATTTTTACGCACGAAAGTGTGAAAAATTTTGAGAGGCTCTTAGAAGGGAATAGAAAAACCAAACAGTGGTACGAAAAGTGAAAGTAAAAGTAATAAATTTGGAAAAAAAGTAACAAAGAAGTCATATTGGTGGCTCAAATATAGCTAAGAAGATCGAGATCAAGAGTATATATTAACCAATAAGTTCTTTTCAATTTTTGCTTGCTTTTTTAACTATAACACCCCATTGTACCCATGAAGTTGTCATCTCTGCAGCTGTGCTCTCAGATCAAAGGATATTTCACCATCTATAAAGTTTTAAACAAAATAGAAAAGCAAACAAATCAGAAAATATAGTTCACTGCTGGCAACTCCAAAAAGATGCAGATACACAGATACGAAGTGGCATGCAAATGTAAAAAAGAAAAAAAAATCAGATACAGATACGAATTCGATGGCTTTGGATCTTTGGCATTTGAAACTCAATTGGGTGCTTGCAACTTGCGGCAACATGGGGCAACTTCAAGGCAATTTTCGAGGCGTTCGTATCTCAAATCAATTTGAAATGCGCATTTGGCGCTCAATTTGCATGCAAATTTTGCTCTAGCTCGTTTTTCTCGTATTTGTTGATGCCATAAATTTGCCATAAAGTGTGCAAAAAAATCAATGCAAATAAACAAATCAAATTGTCGCGTTTGGTAGTTGTTATTTTTTTATATTTTTTAACCGGAGGACATGTCGCAAAGAGTTGTCATTGATTAATGTATAAAAAAATGGTTGCAATGCCTAGGTAATTGCCAAAGTATAGGCCATTAATAAATGGCTTTCAAATTGAATTGAACATGGCCAGAAAGGCAGCCACGGTGCCAAAAAGAACTTGCAGAGCCCAGAAAACATTTCTAACAATAGATGAATGCCAAAAAGCGTGTAAAAGCTGAAAACAAGAACCTTGAGCTAAGTGCACAGGAAATAAAACTATGTTAACTAAAGGAATATAAAAAGAAGAAATTTTAAAAATAAGAGTTATTATATTTAATTTAAGATAACAAGAAGTTCTCTTAAATCAGAGAAATATCGACTAGTTTTTCTTTTTGTGTATCTAAAAATCACTAACTAACCCAACCCAACCCCTAGCATATATGAAAAAAAATAAATCATAAATCAGCAAATGGCAGGGTTATTTATAGATTTCAATTTGTTAGGGATTTAAAATATCAATCAAACTATTTTTTCCTTCACAATAATTAATTGCAAAAAGATAAGATTCGAGTTATTCCAAGGGGCAAAGTTTTTTACCCAAAGACCTGATGATGATTTATACAAAAATTAGCCTCTTCATTTTCTTGGCCTTGACTCAGAAACCACAAACACACACTGACTGCGAATTGGTAAGCAAATAGGCAATAAAAAATCAATATTATTTGCCTATCAAATGGCCCATTCAATATAAACAAGCCCAAGGGTTTCTTTTGATTTCTCTCTCTCAGCCAAATCCTCTCCCATTTATTTTTGCCCACGTCACTAAAATTATCACTATCAGCTTGTGTTAATAATTGTGCATTTAGCTTATCAGCAGCACAGACACAGCGAAATGTTGCCCACTTCTCTAGTTTGTTTTTGTATTTTGGTTATTTAATTTTTATTTGCTGAGTCTTATCACTCTTCGCTCTTTGGGCTCTCAGAAAATTGGTTTCTATTATACTTTTTCGTTGTTAGTACTATTATTTATTTTCCGCTCGCCTTTTTCGCAGAAGAGTTGTGTTAAATAATAACACAAAAAAAATCTCTATTGCTAAATGGTTTTTTTTTTGTCGCTCTTCACGCTGTTTTTGCCGCCGTTGATGATGGCCAAATGAACGAATGAAAATCTGAGAGCAGTTTGTCGGCAACTTTCGAACGAATAGCATAAAAATGCTTCTGTCTAGCTGCGAAATAAAATACTTAAAATAATTATACGAAATGACTTAAACGAAGAAAAAATCAACTAATCAAAACGAAACGTGTAATTGTAGTACGACGAATTAACGGCCACTAAATTTAATGCGAATTACATGATAGTATGTGACAATAATTTCGACAGCAGCCAAAAACTGAAAGCAAATCGACAACAATAAAATTATAATAAAAACAAAACGAATTTTAATTTAATGACTAAAAGGCATTAAAAACCTATAAAGTTTATATAAAAATTTTAAAAGATAAACAAAAGTTTATAAATAGAAAAATAGCTCAACATGTGTTATAAATCCAATAAATTTATACAAATTCTAAAAATAAAAACATAAATAAATCTCATAAATTAATAAAGCACCCATTAAATCAACACAAAAATAAAACACATAAATAAATATAACTCAAATTCGAATATATAGTTTCTATAATGCCAATGATTCTACGAAAACTAAAATATGAACTTCTACGAAGTGAGTTTCTGTGAACTATAAGTGTGCATGTTATTTTGACCGCCACTGTGACGCAGATAATACGTGATGATGAGCTGTTGCTTTGATCTGGCCAATCAAATAATTTAATATTGTTTATAGCCAACCGCTTTAATTAGCACCAGCTAAGATAAGAGCAAACAAAACAATTTAATTAAAGAATCTAACAAAGTATTTGCTACGCTTTTGGCTTTACAAATGCCAGACATAACCAAGTGCAATGTCTGCTGACTTGGCCCATAAACGCTGCCAAGTGCAATTCTGTGCTTTTCTAACCAACTAAACTAAATAAATCAATAATAGAATATAACAACAACCAAAAGAGAAGAAGCTGACATGTTTTCCACATCGGAGGATGCGCTGCCGCTGAAACGAAAGCGTTTGGCCAAAAGGAGTTTCAAATCTAAGCCGGACAGCCAACCAACAGAAACTTGGCCAAGAAGCTGGTGGAGCGACTGTAGGTTCATTAGCTTAAGGAGAAAAGAAGCTCATTTGGGGCGAACTCTTTACCGTTTTTGACTTGGTTCTTTGCTAATTAGTTGGGCCATAAAAACTGATTAATTATGCCCCGGTCAATGCTACCCAGCGTCACGCGCTGTCCCTCCCTCTCGACCACCGCCCCCCATTTCGCCTTGACCAAAGACAAAAAACACTCAGCCATTTTGGCACCGCTAAGAAAACAACTATACACTGAAAAATATCTTAATAATACTATTGGTGGCATAGAAATTAGTTTAACTTACAAAAATATAAATAAAGTAAACAATTTTTTTTTAAATTTATTTAAAATAAACTAAACAGTAGTCCCTTCCTTAGTTCCTACTAACATTAATCTGTTTTGGCTGTTAGCATGTCCATACTAATAATATTGTGATTTAATCATGAACTTGGTCACACTGACAAATTACCAGACTCCAATGTAAATACCTAAGTACTAAAGATCTGCTCAGAAGTTTTGACAATTTCAAATGAATTAATAATAATGAATATTGATGAATTTAAGTTAAAAAAAGTTACAAAAATAACATCCGCTTATAGTACATAATTTTTTTAGATTAGTAAAAACTTTTTACTAGAATTTTCTTCCTATGCTTTCGCTCAAAAAACAGAGTGTTCGTTAGCCGAAAAGTTCGTTGCACAGAGATATTAAGTAATACGAAAAAAGTGGGCGGGAAATTGTATCAGACTGAAAAAAAATGACTTGGCAAGGCTGACAGCGAGAGATGAGTAACAAATTGTTGTTGCCAGGGTACACAGTGCGTATGAGGAATATTGGACAAATGCAGGGACCGAAATGCTAGCCATAAATTTCTCTATTTGCTTTCTAATATAAGTCAGCATGAAGTAAAACGTCAACGTCAACAACCTTGTCTCTTATGTAAATAAAAGGTAATATAAATATATATATATAAGCACGTATGTATGCCAGGGCGATAAACAAAAACTAATATTGAATAATAACCCGGCCTCTTATCTTGGGACAAATATTCGCTAACGCACACTCACAAAAAGGGTGGATCGAGTGACTTTTGCCTATTATATCGCCATTAATTCATATACATATATATATTTCTTTTTGTTTTGAAATTATGCGAACTTTGGCACAATTATTAAAATTAGATTTGAGGAGCAAGCATTTTTATCATCATTTAGCTTAGGAGCTTTTTTTTGCAATATTTTGATTATATTTTTGTCAAGCTTTTGAGTCCAGTCGCTAGTAGCCAGATCTCATGGCAGGTTTGCAAATTAAGATTTTACTGAGGAAGACGAGCATCAGATCAAGTAACCTCTTACTCATCCCTTGGCAAACTTTAGTACATTTTTATTTATCTAATTTTTAGATTCCTGTATTGGGCGCAATCGATCGCCCACAAGCACCCATCGTTCGCCCTTTCTGCGTTCGAATACTCTTCCATTACAACAACGTCCCAGTCCGGCGGAGGTTCAATATGAAAGCTATGTCCAGGCCACGGTGGCGGCCAATGCCAAGTCACCGGTGGAGCAACTGGAGTCTGCAAAGTCTCCAGGAGTTCCTCCCCCGCCACCGCCTAGACGTCACCACCTGTTAGCCAACACGCCCACAGGGACACTAACTTCCAAGGAGGATCGAGTACGGGAGAATGGCTCTATCAGCAGCAGCTCTCTGCAGTCACCTGTCATCTCGGAAGCTGGACAGACGACTGCGGATGCACAAGCTTTATTCCAGATTCGCGAACAGATGGCCTTGAGCCTCGGGCGTCTAAAGGATCTGGAGGAGCAAGTGAAGGTCATTCCCGGCATGGAGGTAAGAGTTACTACTAAATTGTTAAGCAGTAGTCATTTATAATAACAAACTCTTTGCTGCTTCAGCTGGAACTCAATTCTCTTCGCTCGGAGAATCAGAAATTGCTGCGCAGAAACGAGGATCTGATACGGAATCAACGGCAAACGCCTTCGCCGCCAAGTCCGGGTATCAAGAATGCCTCCCCAGTGCAGTTTACGCCACAAAGGATCAGTCCAGTTTCGCTGGAAAGCCTAGGAGCTCGCATGCGCAGTAGTTCCACCTCGGCATCCCCATCACCAAGTGTTGTCCGTCGGGATGTTTCCACCCAGGCAGTGGTTCGACCACCTGCCACTCGAGATGTTTCTGTTGGCCATCAACCCAACACTAAAAATGTGGGTGTACAGCCCTCGGAAACTGTTTACTCCAAGGAGGAGCTGTATGAGAAGGTGGAGCAGGCTTTGGCCACTGCACAAAAGCAACAGCTGGGCAAGCTCATCTCGGTGGGCACCCAAATGTATGTCCCGAAAATTGAGCAAAGAGAGAAAGGAATACAAACCCTAGCGGAACGACCGAAGCTTAAATGCAATATGGGGGTAACTGCGAAACCCACTACGAGGGAGAACTTCACCAGTTGCAAGCCGGATGTTCGTCATGTGGGCAGCTCTGAAGATCGGTTGGATGATGTACTCTGCGAAAAATGTGCCGTCAGCAAAAGAAGCGTGGCATGTGGTCCTGAATCTTCGCCGGAAAAAGTGAAGCCAACTCCCCAAATGCCCGGACGTAGTAACACCTTCAGCTTGGGTGAAAATGAGACGGTATCAGTGGTGCGTAAGACGATTGGTTGCCAGACGCCTGTTACCCTGGTTCTGACTGCTGGAAGTCAAACCACCACGCCCTTAGTTCGCTCGTACGGAGCCCAGGTGAATCCTCAACAGCAGCACTCCTCTGTGCAATGTGGCACGGAGCAGGTCTCACGACAGACTGATACCACCGGTCTACAGCGACTCACCCGGAGTCAAACGAAGACGGAGCAAGTGTCCGAATCAGTGCTACGTCCTTCAACCCGCCATACATCCAGCAACACGGATAAGGTTGAGGAACCGCAGCCGGTCAAAGTCCGTACCAGTCACTCTTCCTGCAACACGGAGGAAGTTCGCAAGAGGGACGTGGGCTGTGGCGACATTGTTAAACCACACATCTCCATTGCCTGTGCAGCCAACTACTGTGATTCCTGCAAGGAGGCCATCCAGGATCTGGCCAAAGGCTTCTCAAAGTCCACTCCCACAATACCCAGAACGGGAGGAGCAGCTCGTCGATCTACTTCGGCGGATTCGCGGATACCGCGACCCAAGCACCTCACCAGTCCAAGTCCGGTGCGAAAGGAGTTCAAGCGGCAAAACACTTACACGCTGGCCACGCCCTCACCAACGCCCAGTCCACAGGTGGAGAGGAAGGCGCGATTAAGGTGAGTCTTTCCCCAAGAAACACCGATTCTTTTAATAGATTTTTTTTAAGTTTTTAAAAAACAAAATAATCAAAATTTTTAAGGTATTTTACCTACCAATCCCACTGTGCTAGACAAGTTTCACAAAGAGCTTTCAGCCAATACACCAACCACAAGTCAGATCTTGCGCATTGGGTTCATAGAAGTCATAGCCTGAAATCGAAATGGGTTGACCTTCAGTTGAGTTTTGGTGTTTGCTTTGGCCCAATTGCTGGGCAGCTTCTTTTTGTATTTTGTTTGGATTTTTATTTTACGCATGGTGCTGCCAATGTTTTCCAGCCTGAGTAGTTTCACGTGCTATCCGCTGCTGGTCAGCGGATGCTCGGCGCTGCTCCTAACGTGGGTTCAAGACCTTTTTTTAATGTCACCTGAAAACCTTTCGTACTTACCAATGTTCATTTTTTTCAGCTCACTGCAGGAGAAGCCTCCAACCGTGTCGAGTTTCCAGACAACGGACCCCTTGTCAGAATCCCAGAGTTTCATCCGTCAACCGCAGAAGGACTTATTGGATCTAAGCCTTCTGGGTGACGACGAGCTGATTGTGCGTGAGGAGAAGCGGGTGAGCATTAGCTGGTCCCGGGATGCCTCTCCAGCTCCGCTGATGACCTCGTCGGGAACAACGAAATCCGAATCACCGGAACAAGAGCCGGCCATGAGCTCGTCCAGTGATTCAAGTCCGCCCATCGACGTTCAGATTGCCCAGGGAGCACGCAAGAAGTCCAGCACTCCACTCAAATCTAGTCAAAGCGAGGGCTCCCAGGTGACTGTGATTGAAAAGCCGGCCACCAAAGCCCAGCTCCATCAGTTGGCCCAGGCGGAATCGGAGCCACGGAAAAAGTGAGTTCCCCATTGAGATTCAAAAAGGAGTACAATGATTTCAATATTATCCTATTCATCCCTCCCAGAACCGAACTGTCCAAGGGTTTAAAAGATGCCCTCAAGGTCATAAACGACTCCCTGCTGAAAAAGTTGGGGGCCAAGCCCATATCCTCGCAGAGTCTTAAGTCGGCCAAGGCCACAATTCAGGATCATTGGTTCATTAACTCCAGTACCGGCAAGTCCGATCCCCATCAGGTCGAAGACTATCTTGATTACTTTGAATCGCTGTCGGTGCCACTGCTGGAGTATTGTGTCAACCTCTCCGACAGTAATGTGAGTCTCCAATATCAATTTTGTTTCTAAATAAAATCGATTAATAAATATTTACTTGGTTTTTAGGGCAACACAGCCATGCATTATGCAGTCTCACATGGCAACTTCGATGTGGTATCCATTTTGCTGGATTCTAAGGTTTGTGATGTAAACCAAATGAATAACGCCGGATACACCTCGGTGATGCTCGTATCGTTGGCCAAGCTGAAGCAACCATCCCATCGTACAGTCGTCGAGCGACTGTTCCAGATGGCCGATGTCAACATACGCGCCAAGAAGGTAGGTAAGGGGCCGCACAAGCCCATTGAACATGACCTTTGGAAAAGCTGACCCCTCGGTAACACTCCCCTACTAACCGCTCCCATCCTTTCTCAAAAAATCACTTCAACAGCACTGCCAGACCGCTTTGATGCTCGCTGTGTCGCATGGTAACGGGGATATGGTCAATATGCTCCTGGACGCCGGGGCAGACATCAATATCCAGGATGAAGACGGCAGCACGGCGTTGATGTGTGCAGCCGAACATGGACGCATAGATATAATCAAGCACCTGTTGTCGCATCCAGACTGCGATTCGCTAGTTAATGATGTAGTGAGTATAGGAAAATGACTTCGAATCACAGACTTAGATCAGCAGTCTCATTATCTTAAAGAGTAGAAAACAAGATTTTAATGGTTTTCATCTTCCACAGGATGGTAGCACGGCGTTTAAGATTGCATGGCAGGCCGGACATCGGGATGTGGGTCTGCTGATCTACGTCCACGAACAAATGCTTAGGAGTAAGATGCCCAATCGCGGAGATGCCACAAGGAGCTCCCTGATATCGCCACAGCGCCATAAACGCCAGCCATCGCAGTAGAGCCATTATGTATTAGCGGCCAAATCGACGAACAAACAACAGCTAGTGTCTAAGTTCTTAATTAGCATTTTTGTAGAGGTGCCCCAAAATACATTCCATACTTAGAGCTGAGGAAAGGCACAAAAGCAGCCAGCACTTTTATATGTATATTAATAATACTTAGAATTCGTTTTGGCATATATATATATATATATATATATTTTATTTATTTGTAAATCTAATTTTTAGTGCTAATGTGTAATGTAACTATATAATTTCGATATTGATTAATCAACGAAAACAGCAGACTCTTTAATATATATATACTATATCTGACACAAAACGATCAACACTTGCTATTAAGTACTGCACAGGCCTGAGCTACCGATCTTAGAGTAGCCGACAAACCAACCAACCATATCAAGCAATCGACAATGCAAAATAAAAACGATATAAATATATACTAACCATAAATAACAACAAACAATGAATCAAATTGACAAAAATTTTAACAAATCAAAAGGTTCATCCTTAGGAGGACAATGTGTATTTAATAGAAATTAAACAAAAGCTATTTTAAACGAAATGTTTTTCAAAATAAATAAATTCTTAAATAAAGAAAATGTATTTAAAATTAACTATTCTAAATTGCTGACCTTTAGTTTCGTAATTATTTTTTGGTTGGTTAACATGCTGAGTTTAGTATTGCTTTCTAGACTTTGTTCATCGAGTAAATTCTTCATCATTAAGCTAAAGCCAGAGACTTAGACACTGACATAAGCTTAATCTCTTGGTCATCTACACATTTTTATAACAACAAATAAGACGCTTTAATCACTTTTCCATATTAAGCAGAAAGCGGAAATATTTAAATTGAGTTCAGAAAATATTTTAACTAACTCAGAGTTTCGACTCATGTCAGTGATCTTGTCTCCAATTTATACCGCTCTCTCCTCACTCCCGGGTTCTATAACTCCCAATGGCATCAGAGTAAGCGCTATGCCATCATCCAAGTTTACCAATGGCTTCCTAGTATCTAACGTGAATTCATATTCGGAGAGGAGGAGTGTCAAAGCCAATCGCAGTTGCAGCTGCGCAAACTGAATTCCTATGCAGCTTCGTGCACCCAAGCCGAATCCAAACCAGGTAGCCTGGTCCTGCAGTGAATCCCTTGGTCCACCCCAACGATCTGGTTTGAACTTCTCCGGCTCTGGATAAATATCCGGATCGTGATGTATGGCATGTGTGGGAATAATTAGGAACAGTTCCTTGACCAGTATGTATTTGGGATGATTTGGCACAGCATAATCGTTGAGGGTGCGACGTAGGATATAGGGTGTTATGGGATGCATCCGTAGGGTTTCATTGATCACCTGACCCATGAAAGCCAGCGACTGAATGCACTCGTAGTTAATGTTACCCTCGTGCCGTTCAATGGCCTTTTTGATCTCCTCCCTAACTCGGATTTGCAGATCCGGATGCGAGGCAAGTTCGTAGAGAACATAGGACAGAGTGTTGGCCGTTTGCTCGTATCCTGCCTTCAAAAAGACAACTGCATGGGCGGCCAGTTCATTTTGCAGATGCAATGCCAGCTCCTTATCTGATTCATACTGGTGGGTGATCAATTCCAGTGCTTTGACATCCATCAGGAGTTGCAGATAGTCCTGTTGTCGGACACCCGACGCCTCACGCTGCTCCACAATATTCGAAAGAAGCTTCACGAAATAATCCTCTGCCGGTTTGGGAGTACGACGCATACGCAGCATTCGACAGAAGTTCGGAAAGCGGATCATCATTAGGTTCATTAGGTAGCCATGTTTATGACTATTCAAGGCCATTTCAGTCATCTGCTCGAAACCATCTAATGGATACGACAACCTCTGCTGGGCATCCAAACCAAAAACACATTTCGCCAGGGCAGACAAAACATAGCGTCGCATAATCTTCTGAATGTGAAGAGTGGAATGTGACTGACTCATAAGAGTAGAACTAACAGTTAGCAGGAGCTCCGCTGCCTCACCATAGAGGCAACCATACAGCCAGGACATGCGATCACCTTCAAGACTAGGATCCAATTTCCTGCGCATCTCCTTCCAGCTCTCTCCTCGCAAAGCATAGAGATCACCGGATAAAGGATCTGTTTTCTGGTTACAATACAATCCACGATCATTGAAATTCCAAAAGTCTTTGATCATTATCTGTCGGATCAGCTCCCGGTCGAGGATCAAAGCTCGTGGCTGCAGCAGAGCGTAGAATCCACAAAATGGACCGCTTCCCTTGAACTTGTTGTATATGGCCGAATAATGATTCGCCTTCATTGCCTCAGTACTTAATGTCTGCGTCATTATTTGCCTGATGATAGGCCATAGCTTTTTCGGCCTCTCATGCGGAATGTTCAGATAGCGCCAATAATCTCTCTGATACCGCGCCGCTATTATTAGCAGAACCAGCAGCCCGAGCACCAACAATCCGATGATCAGGAAAACGATCCACATGTTTTGCATTTCGTAGGTAGTTAGGTGGATAGTTACGATTTTGTTTATTCTGAATCACATGCACACACGTCTGGTTGTCGAAATCACTGCCTTAGCTTTTGACGGGGTATGTTAGTGATGGGGCTTGTGGAAGTTCTACTTCCTTCCTGCTAACCCCTTTTTCTTGCCACCTACTCTCACTCTCACTAGCCGCTGTATCTCGATCCCGCTCTCAAACGTGAGGTAGTGTCGCACCAACTATGATCTAATGCATCGCTCCGGAGCGACGTTCTCGATGGGTTACGTTCATTACCGAAGCGCACGATTCGACTGAGAGTACGTTGGAGAAAAGTAACTATTTACGATACTCGCTCCCCACTCCACAAGGTGCGAGCTTTTAATTTGTTTCTTTACCGCTTTTTCGAGTACGCTACACTGTAGCTCGTCGGCCGGTGGGCGTCTGTTTAAGGCCAGACGGACATACATATGATTATTATTACTTTATTTTTCAATGTTGGTCGTGGCACCAACAGCACCAACAGATAGTCACAGAAGACTTGTTTATACGTCTTATAAAATCTAAATAAATAAAAGATACAATAGGAATGCCAAAAACATGAAAATTATCTATAAACTTCAAAAAAAGAAGATTATGTAGCAGTAGTTTATATTTATATACAGATATTCATTTTGTTTAAGAAAAAATAAAAACTGTGTCCAATTTTGTAGAACATTTTTCTAGCCACCTTGTCGGATCTACCATTCTAATCTGAATTTTGGTTTCTTATCAATTTCTTGGTCAGAATTTTTGTCGACTCTTTTGTTGGGGCTATAACCTTTTTTTGTGGGGAACTTTCAATGATAAAATCATCTTTATACTCGTTTACTGTCCACCAGTAAGCTAACTGCTGATAATATATAAAATAGTACACTTTCGCTCTCTCCGTTAGTACTTTGCTACCCTAACCGATTCATTTTACGCCCAATTAACATTTAAACGCCGTGATAGCAAAAACAAATCTAACTGACAATAGAAAAGCTCACCCACAAAGCTGAAATAAAGCCAAAATAAATACAAAAACAAAAATGAAAAGCTGCCTGATTTAATTACTCATTGTTGTTGTTGTTGTTGTTGTTGGCAACATCCGCACTTGAAATCTAATCAAATGTCAAACAAATATGACGAAAAAGGTAAACAATGTCGTTGCCAGATCCGTCAAATTATTGACCAGCTAATACCCATATCATGTTACAATTTCTATCGGACACGGTCCTCTACTGATGAAGTAGCTCACAAGTGATATGACTTTGTTGATGGGGGATTGCTCTACTTGGGGGAGATTGATAAGCGGGGGCTGGTCTATATACAGTAGGAACTGCAATCTAACGTACGGCTCGGAACACGGGGATGTTACCGAGTGAATAAGTTCAAAAACGAGATTATTTTGTGTCTGCTAAGTAGTTGAGTAATGCAATTTTTAAGTTAGTAGAAAAAGTATTAGTAATGCGGTAGAGGGCATTTTAGTTTAAACATAATACCCAACAGCGTTCATGAAGAACAAAGTTTCTGCTTCAAGCGCCGTAAGCAGATCGCTGGCTTTACGAAATGCACCCACCGCACCTCATAAAACCCTCGAAACACTATTAAATCGAACAAAAACCACTGTGCGAGAGCAAAAAGGAAGAGAGAGCTGAGGGAGTAGATTAAAAACAAGATAAGGTTTACATATGCACACAAAAGAAGCGCGAGCGAGAGAAGAACCGTTTATTCGCGCAATACGAAAGATAAGAAGGAGATGAAATATATTTAAATATATTGCACATTTAAACAAAAAGAAACACTGCACAAATTAATTCACTGCGCGGAAGACAAACGGATAGAATAAAAATTTGATTCAACATAATAATATTAATTTCGAGTTAAATTCGCGAGTATTTCAGCAAAGATAAACTTTAGTAAAAAACACGTCCGTTCGCTTCGAAAGAAGAAATGTGGAATGAGGCTACATTATTGAATATGTTTAAATATATATACAAAAATATAAAAGCTTTCTTATACTGACTAGGCTGTTTTATAAACAAGAACAAACTTGGCAACGATGAGTAGGCAGGCAGTTTGCAAGCAAACCTACTAATACGAGGGGATGCCTTGAGCACTAGACGTTTTGATAAGCCACGCATCCATCATTGTACAGTAATAATTGGCTAATTGTCACTAACAAACATCAGACGATAAGATAATACTAATGTGCATACAAAGTATTCCATGTTGATTAATTTCACTCATCTTACTGTAATAATCTTGCTGTCTCACAGTTGCCTGCAAAAACGTAAACAAAACCTGTAGATTAACTCTCGCTTTTCATAGATCCAGAGATTGCCTCGTCATGCTAAGTAAGTAAGTTTCAGCATATAAAAGCAGTTCGTCGATCGTTTCCCAAATCAGTCGTATTCGAACCACATTAGACTTGATATGGCGTTAACGTACATTCTCTTTCAAGTGGCTGTTGCCCTACTAGCGATAGTTACTTACTATCTTCATCGCAAATTAACATATTTTAAGCGTCGAGGGATTCCATTCGATACACCACATCCGATAAGGGGAAACCTGGCGGAATTACAAATATCTAAGAACTTTCACGAATGCCTTCAGGATCACTACAACAAATTCCGGGAGAGCAAAGCTCCTTTTGTGGGATTTTACCTCTTCCAGAATCCTGCTGCCTTCGTTATGGATCTGGAACTGGCCAAACATATATTGATCAAAGACTTCTCAAACTTCTCTAACAAGGGAATGTTCTACAACGAAAAAGATGATCCCATATCTGCACATCTCTTCAATCTGGATGGCCCTCAGTGGCGTTTGCTTAGGAATAAACTATCGTCGACTTTCACATCTGGTAAAATGAAATTCATGTTTCCAACCGTAGTTTCCGTTGCCGATGAATTCATGACCGTAATGCATGAAAAGGTATCAAAAAACGATGTACTGAATATTCGTGATCTGGTGGCCAGATTCACAGTGGATGTCATCGGTACCTGTGCCTTTGGCATCAAGTGCAACAGTCTACGAGATGAAAAGGCCGAGTTCCTAGACTTTGGAAAACGATCTTTGGTGGAAAAGCGACATGGTACTATAATACTCGGGTTTATGCGAAGCTATCCAAAGCTGGCCAGGAAATTGGGTTTTGTTCGAACTCCTCAGCATATTCAGGACTTCTATCGCAGAATTGTCACTGAGACTGTGGCGATGCGAGAAAAGGAGAATATTAAACGGAACGATTTCATGGATATGCTCATCGAAATGAAAAACCAAAAGGAAGTTACTCTGGAGAATGGCGAAGTGGTCAAAGGTTTAACCATTGATGAGGTCCTTGCCCAAGCATTTGTGTTCTTCATTGCTGGATTCGAGACCTCCTCCTCCACCATGGGCTATGCCTTATACGAACTGGCTAAGAATCCAGACATTCAAAATAAGGTTAGAGCTGAAGTAGAGGAGGTCCTGGAACAGCATGACCAAAAGTTTACTTACGAATGCACCAAGGATCTCAAGTACCTGAATCAGGTTATAAGTGGTAAGTTAAATACCATAAATTATACAAAAAGGATACTAAATTTCGTATATCCCTAAAGAAACTCTACGTCTCTACACGATTGTGCCCAATCTGGATCGGATGGCCGCTAAGCGTTATGTGGTTCCCGGTCATCCGGAGTTTGTAATCGAGGCTGGTCAGTCGGTTATCATTCCCGCATCTGCTATTCATCGCGATCCCAGCATCTATCCCGAACCCTTGGAGTTCCGTCCTGAGCGATTCACCCCAGAGGAAATAAAAAATCGTCCTTCAGTTGCCTGGTTACCCTTCGGAGATGGTCCTCGAAACTGCATTGGTCTGAGATTCGGACAGATGCAGGCTCGTATTGGACTGGCTCTACTCATCAAGAACTTCAAGTTCTCCACAAGCTCGAAAACCTCAGATCCCCTGGTCTACGATCCCAAGTCATTTGTACTCGGTCTGAAAGACGGAATCTATCTGAAATTGGAGGCAATCTAACCAGGATGTTGAGGCCGATTAAAGCAACGCCAAAGTTTTATAAAAATACTATATAGAAAGATATTAATTTGTATTCTGTACTCATATAACCTAGTTCTCATAGAATTAATTTGTATTCTGTACTCATATAATCTAGTTCACATAGAATTATATTGGGGCAGGTCTATACCCCTTGGTCAATAACCAACTTTAGATTTATTCCTTAGTGCCAATCGACATAAATATTCCTCTTCTTTACGGGGTAAATTAAAGGTACTGTATTTCAGAAAAGATAAACTTGAGTAAAAAACTTGTCCGTTCGCTTCGAAAGAAGACAAGTGGAATGAAGGTACATTATTGAATATGTTTAAAAACAATTCTTGGACTAATAAGTTCTGAAGATATAAGTCTAGATGATAAAACTTGAATTTTGTTTTCTAAACTTTGTAACTATACAAAAAAAAGAGGTAGAAAACGCTAATTTATATAAATTTAAATATCATTTTAAAGTACGCATGGAATAAGAGATGTTAAGCAAATAAAAAGCAGAAGACTAATTAAACAAAAAGTATTATTTAATTATATATCGTAGGTAAGTTACGCTGTCTGCAGGAAAGAAAAACAAAAGAGATTAAAGATATGGTAAAAACCATGCTTATGCTGACTAGGCTGTATTATAAAAAGAACAAACTTGAGTAACGATAAGTAAGCAAGCAGTTTCCAAGCAAATCTACTGATACGGGGGATGCCTTGAGCACTAGGCGTTTTGATATGCCACCCCGACCGTCATTGTACAGTAATAATTGGCTAATTGTCACTGACAAACATCAAACGATATGAAAATAATAAGTGTGCATACAAAGTTTTCCATGTTGTATGGTATCTTTATTGACTCATCTTATTGTAATAATCTTTATGTTTCACAGTTGCCAGCAAAAAGTAAACAAAACCTGTAGATTAACTCTCGCCTTGCATAGGTCCAGAGAACGCTCCGTCATGCTAAGTAAGATTCAGCATTTAAAAGCAGTTCGTCGATCCTTTCCCAAATCAGTCGTATTCGGACCACATAAGACTTAGTATGGCGTTAACGTACATTCTCTTTCAAGTGGCTGTTGCCCTACTGGCGATAGTTACTTACTATCTTCATCGCAAATTAACATATTTTAAGCGTCGAGGGATTCCATTCGATACACCACATCCGATAAGGGGAAACCTGGCGGCATTACACAATCCAAAGAACTTTCACGAATGCCTTCAGGATCACTACAACAAATTTCGGGAGAGTAAAGCTCCTTTTGTGGGATTTTACCTCTTCCAGATTCCTGCTGCATTCGTTATGGATCTGGAACTGGCCAAACATATATTGATCAAAGACTTCTCAAACTTCTCTAACAAGGGAATGTTCTACAACGAAAAAGATGATCCCATATCTGCACATCTCTTCAATCTGGATGGCCCTCAGTGGCGTTTGCTTAGGAATAAACTATCGTCGACTTTCACATCTGGTAAAATGAAATTCATGTTTCCAACCGTAGTTTCCGTTGCCGATGAATTCATGACCGTAATGCATGAAAAGGTATCAAAAAACGATGTACTGAATATTCGTGATCTGGTGGCCAGATTCACAGTGGATGTCATCGGTACCTGTGCCTTTGGCATCAAGTGCAACAGTCTACGAGATGAAAAGGCCGAGTTCCTAGACTTTGGAAAACGATCTTTGGTGGAAAAGCGACATGGTACTATAATACTCGGGTTTATGCGAAGCTATCCAAAGCTGGCCAGGAAATTGGGTTTTGTTCGAACTCCTCAGCATATTCAGGACTTCTATCGCAGAATTGTCACTGAGACTGTGGCGATGCGAGAAAAGGAGAATATTAAACGGAACGATTTCATGGATATGCTCATCGAAATGAAAAACCAAAAGGAAGTTACTCTGGAGAATGGCGAAGTGGTCAAAGGTTTAACCATTGATGAGGTCCTTGCCCAAGCATTCGTGTTCTTTATTGCTGGATTCGAGACTTCCTCCTCCACCATGGGCTACGCCTTATACGAACTGGCTAAGAATCCAGACATTCAAAATAAGGTTAGAGCTGAAGTAGAGGAGGTCCTGGAACAGCATGACCAAAAGTTTACTTACGAATGCTCCAAGGATCTCAAGTACCTGAATCAGGTTATAAGTGGTAAGTTAAATAATAAAATAATAAATTATATAAAAAGTATTCTAAATTTCGTATATCCTTAAAGAAACTCTACGTCTCCACACGATTGTACCCCATCTGGATCGGAAGGCCGCTCAGCGTTATGTGGTTCCAGGTCATCCGGAGTTTGTAATCGAGGCTGGTCAGTCGGTTATCATTCCCGCATCTGCCATTCATCACGATCCCAGCATCTATCCCGAACCCTTGGAGTTCCGTCCTGAGCGATTCACCCCAGAGGAAATAAAAAATCGTCCTTCAGTTGCCTGGTTACCCTTCGGAGATGGTCCTCGTAACTGCATTGGTCTGAGATTCGGACAGATGCAGGCTCGTATTGGACTGGCTCTACTCATAAAGAACTTCAAGTTCTCCACAAGCTCGAAAACCTCGGATCCCCTGGTCTACGATCCCAAGTCATTTGTACTCGGAGTGAAAGATGGAATCTATCTCAAACTGGAGGCAACCTAACCAGGATGTGAGGTCCATTAAAACAATGCCAGTTTGGAACTAGTATAACCTAGTTCTCATAGAATAATATTGGGGCAGGCCTAGGACCCCTTGGTCAATAGCCAATTTTAGATTTATTGCTTTAGTGCCATTAAACATGAGTGTTCCTTTATTTTACGGGGTATATTAAAGGTATGATTGGATTGTTAAACTAAATACTGGATTTTCATTAATACAAGTTATTGTTAGCATTTGATATATGAAAACTTTTATTATAAATATATTTTTATTATAATCTTAATTTGAACTTTGCCGTATTAATATCCTTCTTCGTCGAACCAATGTTTTTAAAATGATTTTACCTAAAAACAGAAAAAATAGGTAGTAGGTACTTTACGATCGAGAAAGCTTTCGAAAGCTACATATCAATTTGTCAGCTTGTGAATTGCCTTATAATCTGGTCAGAATTCCTATAAGCAGCAGCGATAAGTTAAAAGATTGCGATTTCTAATATTTTGTTTGTTGGTCACAATGACAACCCAGTTTAGCGCAGGTCTATTAAAAGCGCTGAAAAGCTTTGGAACTCTCAGTTGATGTTAAACGTTCGACAAGTTAGTTAGCAATCACCGTAGATTGAAAATTCTAATAAATACTCATAGTTATGGCTGTGGGAGCTGTTCTACTAACAGCGTTGCTGACGCTTGTTGGCTACCTTCTGGTGAAATGGCGCAAAACTATGAGGTACTGGCAGGAATTGGGAATACCGTGTGAGGAGCCGCACCTCCTGATGGGAAGCCTGAAGGGAGTTCGAACTAAGCGATCATTTAACGATATCTGGACGAGCCATTACAACAAGTTTCGTGGAACCGGACCCTTTGCTGGCTTCTATTGGTTCCAACGACCGGGAGTATTGGTCTTGGAACCTTCTCTGGTAAAGCAGATCCTGATCAAGGACTTTAACAAGTTTACAGATCGTGGTTTCTTCCACAACCCCGACGACGATCCATTGTCCGGGCAATTGTTCTTACTAGATGGTCATAAGTGGAGATCTATGCGTCACAAGTTGTCTTCTACCTTCACGTCTGGAAAAATGAAGTATATGTTCCCCACCGTGATCAAGGTGGGTCATGAGTTCACCGATGTTATGGGCAAATATGTGGATAAGAGCCCCATTGTTGAGGTGAAAGAGCTTTTGGCAAGGTTCACCACTGATGTCATCGGAACCTGTGCCTTTGGCATCGAGTGCAGTAGTCTTAAGGATCCTGATGCGGAGTTCCGAGAAATGGGTCGAAGATCCTTAACAGACCAGCGCCTGGGTCCCGTAGGAATTGGATTTGTCAATAGCTTTCCCAATCTGGCACGTCGCCTCCATATGAAAATGACAGCCGAGCATATCGAGAAGTTTTTCATGCGCATCGTTAGAGAGACAGTGGCATTCAGGGAGCAGAATAATATCCGTAGAAATGATTTCATGGATCAGTTAATCGATTTGAAAAACAATCCACTTATGATGTCTGAAACTGGTGAGAACGTGAACCTAACTATTGAGGAGATAGCTGCCCAGGCTTTTGTTTTCTTTGCTGCTGGATTTGAAACCTCATCGACCACCATGGGATTCGCTTTGTATGAGCTGGCCCAAAATCAGGGCATCCAGAACCGTGTAAGGACGGAGATCCAAGAGGTTTCCGAGAAGTACAAGGGAGAGTTATCCTACGAAAGCGTAAAGGAACTGGTCTACCTAGATCAAGTGATATCTGGTAAGGTTTGAATACATTTTATACAGGATACATAATAAACTTATTATTATCATTATAGAAACTCTTAGACTTTACACCGTTCTTCCTGTATTAAATCGCGAATGTCTGGAGGACTTTGTGGTTCCCGAAAATCCCAAGTATGTGATTAAGAAGGGAATGCCCATCATAATTCCTGCCGGAGCCATGCATCGTGATGAGAAGTTTTATGCCAATCCAAATACCTTTGACCCCGAAAACTTCTCTGCCGAACGAGTCAAGGAGCGAGACTCCGTGGAGTGGCTGCCGTTTGGCGATGGTCCCAGAAACTGTATCGGAATGCGTTTTGGCCAAATGCAGACCAGAATCGGATTGGCTCTCCTCATCAAGGACTTTAAATTCTCGGTCTGTGAGCAGACAACGATTCCCATGAAATACAACAAAGAAATGTTCCTGATTGCAAGTGAATCTGGCATTTACCTTAAGGTCGAACGGGTGTAATTCTATTCATATTAAAGCTTTATATTATAATTGCATAGAAACAACTTGAAAATCAATTTACTTATACAATTTACTTATTTATAAACTGGCAACTCATGGTAGAAATTATAATATTATATTTACTTGTTTTATAGCTGCCCCCATCACAGCAATCCGACTAATAAAAAGTGAGCCTGAAAGTAGTCTATACTAATGGAACTATATGTTCATCGATTGTCAGATTTAAAAAATGTTAAGTGCTGGAAAAAGAAGATTTTTAATCTAATCAAAATCTTCTTTAAAACAAAAGGATGATGAAATTGTGCTACCGAAATACAAAATGTGTAAAGTCCTTTATAGACCACGATAAGCTCAAGTACGCAATAAGTATACATTAATGATAATGATATGTTCTTCTAACCCAGACAACCGACCACTTCAAATATAGTGATACCGCGAAGTGGCTTTCCATTGGCGAAGATCTACTACTAAACTATCACCATAATCAGTAAGAATAAAAATTAATCTAAAATGCTTCGTAACGTTTTAATTATAATCTTAAATCAGTTTAAGTTTTAAAAATTAATAATAATTGATTATAAATTATCTTTATTACTTCCCAACCCTACTGACTTTCAAATGAATTCCGCCCTTAGAACTCAAGAGAATATCATCGGGCCTATAAACTAAAGGTATTACAGTCTTTGTGGGGTGCACCTCAAACTTAAAGTTGTGGATCAGCAGAGCCATTCCAACGACAACCTGCATTCTTCCGAATCGCAGTCCAATGCAGTTTCTAGGACCATCACCAAAAGGCAAGAATGTGCAAGGAGGACGCTGCTGGATCTGATCCTCATCAAAACGCTCAGGAATGAACTTCTCTGGTTCTGGGTAGAACTCGGGATCATGATGAATGGCCAAGGTGGGCACGATCACTCCAGTGCCCTTTTCAATGTAATACTTTGGATTGCTGTGCTCGTAGCGTTGAGTGGCATTGCGGATTAAATGTCCAACTACCGGGCGTTTTCTCATGGTTTCTGAGAAAGAAAATTAAACTTAGTTAAAGTAAATGAATATTAGCCAATAGATATAGAAAACTCACCATCAATGACCTTTTCCAAGTAAATCATCTCCCTCATGCTGTCATAACATAGTTTTCCATTGTATTTCTTCAGGACACTATCTACTTCAATCCTTAGCTTATCCTGAATATCCTGATTGTTGGCCAACTCATAAAGAGAAAATCCCATGGTTGTGGAGCTGGTTTCAAATCCAGCCAGGAAGAATATAAAAGCTTGGGCAGCGATTTCGTTGAATGTCAAGCCATTTAACTTGTCGCCGCTATCGTGTTTCAGTTTCATATCAATTAGCATGTCCATAAAATCGTTTCGTTTTATATTGTTTTTGATGCGATAGCTCACGGTTTCCTTGATGATATTCATGTAAAAGTCCTCGACTTCTTGGACGTTCGCCTTCATACGCAACTTGGCTGCTAGTTTTGGGGCCCCAAACAAAAAGAGATCCATGGACTTTCCATATCGTCGTTCGGTGATGGCAGCATTTCCCATTTTAACAAACTCCGCTTTGGGATCAGACAAGCTGTGGCAGTCCAATCCGAAGGCACAGGTTCCGATTACATCAGCGGTGAAACGGGCTACTAAATCCGTTATCTCCAAAGAGTCTTTACTTTCGGAAATGTTCTTATCAAAAACTCGAATCATGTTGTCGCCCACGTCCAAAATCGTGGGGAACATAGTCTTCATCTTGCCAGATGTGAATGTGGGAGTCAATTTCTGGCGCAGAGTTTTCCACTTCTGACCTTCAATGGTCACTAGATGAGCGGTCAGTGGATCATCCCGTTCGTTGTGAAAAATTCCCCGATCGTGGAACTTGTCGAACTCGCGAATTAATACCGTCTTTGCGAAATCAATATCTGTGACGATGGCCATCTTTTTAAAAAACATATAAAATCCCACGAATGGTCCATCGGTGTTCTTTTTAAACTTGAAGTAGGTTCGTTTGAAAATATTTGATAATTGCATAGTTCTCATGGACTCGAAAGAGTTCCCGAATAGAATGTTGGGCTCATCGTGAGGAATCCCGCGGCGTTTCCAATAACTAAAGTTTTGGTGCACGAACCACGCGGCTAGTGTTATAACACCGAGGAGCAGTACGACTATCACGGCCATCACGAATTAAATAATACCGCTACCAGCGGGCCTGCTCTTTTATACTCGTGAGCCCTCTCTTGGCAATCACATGATTCTCTTTACGGTAAGCAACGAAGAGTAACAATGTCCGATCCGTATCGTAAAATGCCGACTCAGCGTTATAAGGCAATTACGACCGGTTCGATAAAAATTCTCTTAAAATTCCTGTTGATTAATATGTTACCATATTACTCACATGTTTGTTTGTACTTATTTCTATTTTTTTATTTTTGTTTGTTTTACCTAAAATTAACTATTACAAACCTTTTGCTTTTTATCTAGTTTATTGCTTTGTGTTTTGTTTTCTGTTCGGTTTAGTAGCGCTAATTTTTAATTGCCATTTTTGGTGAATGAGAGAAGTGCAAGTCATCGTTATAATGGCTTTTTTATTTACGCTAAGCATGACTCAGCGAAATGTTATGATTTGTCGTATACTGTGCAGCAGGGGAATTTCATGTAAACATAAAAACAAGAGCGAAGTAATGAAAATGAATGATTGAAATATTTATATTATAAAGATCAAATCTTGCATGAAGCTTTCCTAACAACAGTTCTTAAAAGTCGTTCTAAAGTAAAAATAAACACTGGCTATGGTAGTGAGGAAGTAAATAAAAAGTATTTGAAATGTTAAACTACATGATAGGTTTTTAATGGTGGTGTAATTGTTATATAATTCCACAAGGCTGATGTCATTTTATTCTGCCGTTGTAAAAGCTGTCAGAACAGTTTTCCAAACATAGAAAAGTGGTAATAAACGAGACCTTGAGTAATTTAGATGTATGTGTTTTCTTTTTTCTACTTTCATGTAACAGTGTACAAGGCATTTTTATTAGATCAGAATATAGTAATCACTCATCAACTTTGTTGCAATGAACAAACCTGTTTTCCATAGCCAAGGAAAATGAGTACATAAAACCATAATTATCGCTTGGCTCAATAATAAGTCGTTTATTCCTCACTTTATAAATATTAAATGTTTATAATAGATACGTTTACATATACAAATATAAATAAATGTCTGTTCAAACTCCACCAATAATTCACATTATGGGAAAAGCTAGTAATTGCATGTGCAAATTATCACTTAATCACTAGTGTCGAACTAAAACTACATTGTAGGTATTTAAACTGACAACTGCGTCGTAACCCATAAGCATTTCATCAAGTTGTAATCGGGTTTTAATTATCTTTATGGCTTCCCAACCCTACTGACTTTCAACTGAATTCCGCCTTTAGAACTCATCAAAATGTCATCGGCTCTGTATTCCATGGGCACAACAGTCTTGGTGGGGTGCACCTCAAACTTGAAGTTGTGGATGAGCAGCGCCATTCCAACAAAGATCTGCATCCGTCCGAATCGCAGTCCAATGCAGTTTCTAGGACCGTCTCCAAAAGGCAGGAATGTGCAAGGAGGACGCTGCTGGATCTGATCTTCATCAAAACGCTCAGGGATGAACTTTTCTGGTTCTGGGTAGAACTCGGGATCATGATGAATGGCCCAGGTGGGCACGATCACTCCAGTGCCCTTTTCGATGTAATACTTTGGGTTGCTATGCTCGTAGCGTTGAGTGGCATTTCGGATTAAATGACCAACTACCGGGCGTATTCTCATGGTTTCTGATAAAAGAAAATAAAAGTTTATTAGTTTTCACAAATAAATAACAGAAAATAGATATAGAAAACTCACCGTCAATCACCTTTTCCAAGTAAGTCATCTCCCGCATGCTGTCATAACTTAATTTTCCATCGTATTTTTTCAGAACGCTATCTACTTCAATCCTTAGTTTATCCTGGATGTCTTGATTGTTGGCCAACTCATAAAGAGAAAATCCCATGGTTGTGGAGCTGGTTTCAAATCCAGCCAAGAAAAATATAAAAGCTTGAGCAGCAATTTCGTTGAAGGTCAAACCATTTAATTTGTCGCCACTATCGTGTTTCCGTTTCATTTCAATCAACATATCCATAAAATCGTTTCGCTTAACATTATTCTTTATACGATAGTCCACAGTATCCTTAATAATGTTCATGTAAAAGTCCTCGACCTTCTGGACACTCTGTTTCATACGCAGTTTTGCCGCTAGTTTTGGTGCTCCAAACAAGAAGACGTCCAGCGATTTTCCATAACGTCGTTCGGTGATGGCAGCAGTTCCCATTTTCACAAACTCCGCCTTGGGATCCGACAAGCTGTGGCAATCCAAGCCAAAGGCACAAGTTCCAATGACATCAGCGGTGAAACGGGCTAGTAAATCTGTGATCTCCAAAGAGTCTTTATTTTCGGAAATATTCTTATCAAAAACCCGAATCATTTCATCGCCCACGTCCAGAATGGTGGGGAACATAGTCTTCATCTTGCCAGATGTGAATGTGGGAGTCAATTTCTGGCGCAGAGTTTTCCACTTCTGGCCTTCGATGTTCACCAGATTAGCGGTCAGCGGATCATCCCGTTCGTTGTGGAACACACCGCGATCGTGGAACTTGTCGAACTCCCGAATCAATACCGTTTTTACAAAATCTATATCGGTAATAAGTGCTATCTTCTTGAAGTATAAATAAAATCCCACGAATGGTCCATCGGTCTTGTTCTTATACTTGAAGTAGGTTCTCCTAAAAACGTCCGATATCTGCTTAGATCTCATCACCTCGCTGGTGTTACCGAATGGAATACTGGGGGCATCGTGAGGGATGTCACGCCGTTTCCAGTAGGTAAACTGTTGATGAACAAACCACGCGGCGAAGGTGAGAACACCAACTAACAATACAAGAAGAACAGCCATCACGAAGAAACTGAATAATGCAAGCGGCGCGAACGGGCTTTTATAGGGAATGGCTACCTTATTCATTCATCTCTTAGCAGGTACCAGTTACTCTTTATGTTGCATTTACACTTCTCATGTTCTCTTAATTTTTCCCTTTAAGTAAATTGTATCATACAAGATATCTCTTTACAATAAACTTTTTATTACTAACTTGGAAAGTTTATAGTACAAGTTTATTTAACTTTGAATCAGTGAAGAAGGTTCAACTAAGCATGACTTTAAGTTCTGCAAAAATATTTTTAGCTCTATCAGTGCCATTTCACAATATTCTATAAAAACGATGTGATGAGCATCGCTAGAAATTTAACACGTAGTTTTGTAAAATTTAAAAATTAAAAAAAAAAAAAAATTTAAAAATTAAAATTTAAAAATGGACCAAATGGATTTTTCAATGATAATTTCTCTTCATCATTATTTAGGCTTTTCTGTTTACATTTTATCTTGTTGGTAAAGCTCTTAAAATTACTCTTATCTTCTCTATGTGTATACAATGTATATACATATTTGCTCTTTCTATTTTTGTTATGCCTGATCGCACTTACATACATCACCTAAACTATGACAGCGGAATTTATAGTCACGCTCTTAATTTAATTAAAATTGAAAAAATATCTTATTAAAAGGTTTTTAAAGAGAGAGCGATCTTTACCTTTGTCAAAGACTGAAAACCTACTCCTATTTAAAACAAGTTCAGGTAGGTCCGATTATTGCCTATTAATTTGTATTCAAAACAGAGGGCACTTAACAAATGCCTAGATAAGAAGAATCTCTTTAAAAGAGAAGTTTTAAGTTGATAAAAGAACAAAGAGAGAATACCGAAACGGTATCAAACTAATAAAACAAATATTGAGGCTGATTGCATAGAAATCTAAATCTTGATTTCACAAGCTTTTTGAGTGAATTTCTAGCTAGTTGAGCTTTTTGCTTTCAGTAGGTGTAGGAAGCTCAACTGGACTACATTCGCGACATTTTCCGACGGCAGAACACTTTTAACCGCACCCAAGCTGATGTCATGAGTGTCTACATTTATCTATTGACGGCTATCGTAGTGCTGGTGGGTTATCTAGTATTGAAATGGCGTCGTGCCCTTCAGTATTGGCAAAATCTGGGCATTCCCTGCGAGGAACCACATATCCTCATGGGAAGCCTGGCGGGTGTGCAAACCAAGCGATCATTCTTTGATATCTGGAGTGATTACTACAATAAGTTTCGTGGCACTGGACCCTTTGCTGGTTTCTATTGGTTCCAACGACCTGCTATTTTCGTTCTGGAGACGTCGTTGGCCAAGCTCATCTTAATCAAGGAGTTTAATAAGTTTACGGATCGTGGTTTCTATCACAATACAGAAGATGATCCCTTGTCGGGGCAACTGTTCTTGCTAGATGGCCAGAAGTGGAGGTCAATGAGGAACAAACTGTCTTCTACGTTTACATCGGGCAAAATGAAATATATGTTTCCCACGGTGGTGAAAGTGGGTCATGAGTTGATCGAAGTCTTTGGCCAGACAATAGAAAAGTCCCCAGTTGTAGAGGTTAAGGATATCCTGGCCAGATTCGGCACCGACGTTATTGGGACCTGCGCTTTTGGCATCGAATGTAGTAGTCTCAAAGATCCCCATGCTGAATTCCGGGAGATGGGTAGGCGAGCGGTCTTTGAGCAACGTCATGGACCAATCGGAATTGCATTTATTACTAGCTTTCAGAATCTGGCCCGCAGGCTCCACATGAAAATAACCATAGAGGATGCTGAACGCTTTTTTCTGCGCATCGTCCGTGAAACGGTTGCATTCCGGAAGCAGAATGATATCCGTCGTAATGACTTCATGGATCAGTTAATTGATTTGAAAGAAAGTGTAGGCCTAACAATTGAGGAAATGGCAGCTCAGGCTTTTGTATTCTTTGGGGCTGGCTTTGAAACATCATCGACCACCATGGGATTCGCATTGTATGAACTGGCCCAGCATCAGGACATTCAGGACCGGGTGAGGGAAGAGTGCCAGGAGGTTATTGGCAAGTGCAACGGAGAGCTAACTTACGAAAGTATGAGGGAACTGGTTTACTTAGATCAGGTTATATCGGGTAAGTTAAAGGTCACATGCATGGCCAACAACAAAGTAACCTTTGCTATATTAAAGAAACCCTACGCCTGTACACCGTACTTCCTGTCTTGAATCGCGAATGTTTGGAGGACTTTGTGGTTCCCGATAATCCCAAATATGTGATTAAGAAGGGAATGCCCGTTCTGATTCCTGCAGCAGCCATGCACCGTGATGAGAAGTTATATGCAAATCCAAATACCTTTGACCCCGAAAACTTCTCCGCCGATCGCGTCAAGGAACGTGATTCCATGGAATGGCTTCCATTTGGTGAAGGTCCTAGAAACTGCATTGGAATGCGATTTGGACAAATGCAGACTCGCGTTGGATTGGCTTTCCTTATCAAGGACTTTAAGTTCTCCGTATGCGACCAGACCACAATTCCAATGGTTTATAGCAAAAAAACTTTCCTAATATCAAGTGAAACTGGTATCTTCTTGAAAGTTGAACGAGTCTAAAATTTCTTATACATTGACTTTGAAGTGCTTAGCAACTTCTATTTTTGTGGGAAAGGTGTTATATTATCTTCAGAAATATATGTATATGTAACAGTAAAGCGGAAATATGTTAAAGGATAGTGACTAACCGTTTGAAAATGATTTTAGATTAATAGTTATCATTAGTTGTCTTTAAACTTACTGATTACTAAAAAACGTAAATAAACTCTTATCAACACTCAACAACAAACGTTTAATATATATTTTGATAAGGGAAATCATAATTTGTTAAACATATACTAATTGATTTCCAATTGGTGTATGAATCACTTCACTATCTTACTCACATTAAGGCTAATTCCACCTTCTGAACTTAACAGAAAACTTTTGACTTTGTATTTGACCGGAACCGTTGTCTTAGTAGGGTGCAACTCAAATTTGAAGTTATGGATGAGTAATGCCATTCCGACGACCACCTGCATCCGTCCAAATCGGAGTCCAACGCAATTCCGTGGACCCTCACCAAAAGGTAGAAAAGTGCAAGGGGGACGCTGTTGGATTTGCTCCTCATCAAAGCGCTCTGGAATGAACTTTTCCGGTTCCGGATAGAACTCAGGATCATGATGGATAGCTAGTGTAGGCACCAGAACTCCTGTTCCGGCTTCAATGTAGTATTTCGGGTTGCTAGGCACATAGTCTTTGGTAGCGCTGCGCACCAAATGGCCAACCACGGGATGTTTTCTTAGGGTTTCTAGGAACGAAATTAAATATATATATCAGTATGTAGGTAACATAATAAACAAACTACTTACCATCAATAACCTTCTCTAGATAAATCATCTCCCTCATGCTGTCATAGTCAAGCTTTCCACCATGTTTCTCCAATATACCATCGACTTCAGCTCGTAGCTTATCCTGAACATCCTGATTGCAGGCCAGCTCATAAAGGGCAAATCCCATGGTAGTGGAGCTCGTTTCAAAACCAGCCAGCAAAAATATAAAGGCCTGTGCTGCGAGCTCGTTGAAAGTAAGGCCATTCAGCTTGTCGCCATTATCGTACTTTAACTTCATGTCGATCAGCATGTCCATGAAATCATTTCGAGTTACCTTGTTCCTCACCCTATAATCTATAGTATCCTTTACAATATTTAAGTAAAAATCCTCTATCTCTGGAGGCAGAGTCTTGATACCCAGTTTGGCGGAGAGCTTTGGCGCTCCGAAGATTAGTAAGTTCACCAGTCTGCCATGACGACGTTCAGTAACCGCCGAGTTACCCATTCTGACGAACTCCGCCTTAGGATCCCGCAAACTATTGCATTCCAGACCAAAGGCGCATATACCAATAACATCGGCGGTGAATCGAGCTACCAAGTCGGTGACTTCCAAGGTCTGCGGAGAGCTGGAGATCTTTTCATCGAAAACTTTAACAAGTTCATCTCCCACATTTAGGACTGTGGGGAACATGTTCTTCATTTTTCCCGAGGTAAAGGTCGGAGTTAATTTGTGACGTAGATTTTTCCACTTCTCACCCTCGATCGCTGTAAGATTGCTTGTCAGTGGGTCATCTTTTTCATTATGATATACTCCGCGATCGTGAAACTTGTCAAATTCTTTAATTAACACTGTTTTTACAAAATCAATGTCGGTTATCACTATAAACTTCTTGGCAAAAACATAGAATCCGACAAAGGGCCCGTCTGTCTGGTTTTTAAATTTATTGTAGGTTCGCTTGAGAAGATGAGACATCTGCATCGTCCGCTGCAGCTCGGCGGTGTTTCCGAATGGAATACTGGGTGGATCATGGGGTATACCCCGTCGCTCCCAGTACGTATAGAGCTGGTGCACCCACCAAACGGTAAGGCCAAGAGCACCGACCAACAGTCCAAGTAGAACCAACATTTCAAGACCACTGAACTGGTAAGCTAAGAATGCGTTAGCTTATATTGAGTTCTAAAAGAAAAACCGCATACTCTTATATCGGTTACCGGTAGTTACTAGTTATATGATTCAACATTCATGGGGAAAGCTTTCAGCAAACTCCATAAAACTTTGCGTTAATGAATCGTATGCTCTCTTTAATATTTATCTATAAAATGTTTAACTCTCTTTAAATGCTTTTGACTTTTTAGTACTAATTAGTAATGGTATCAATTATAATGTCATTAACTAAATAATAATTAGGGAATGAAAAATACGAAATTTATTGTGTTGATATTCGTTTTTAGCCATTCTTAAATTATTTAAGCAATTAACAAAACGAAGATGGTTTAATGGAAAAGTTATATTGTAACAACAAGTTTTTATTTATTTTATATCTTTTTATAAGCTACAAAATGTTTAATAGATTCAAATTTTAGTGATTGTACTTAGTTTTCTTTTGTTAAAATGTTTGGAAAACTCTCTTCCTGCAAAGCTGTTTGTGTTGACCAGCACAATAAACATATAAAACCATAAAATCTAAAACAGTTTAAAAAAGCAACAAATCAAAAACATTTTAAAACATCTAACAAATTCTTTAAAAAATAAACGCCTTAAATATGTGCCTATTCTCTCTCAATCTTACTGACATTAAGGTAGATTCCACCTTCGGAGTTTAGTAAAAGGTTCTTAATTTCATATTTAAGCGGAACTGAAGTCTTAGTGGGATGCAAATTAAACTTAAAGTTGCGTATAAGCAGGGCCAATCCAATGATGACCTGCATCTTTCCTAGTCTAATGCCAAGACAATTCCTTGGACCATCTCCAAATGGCAGGAAAGCGCAGGACTGACGCTTTTTTACCTCCTCCTCATCGAATCGCTCTGGGATGAACTTTTCTGGCTCTGGATATAACTCGGGATCATGGTGGATGCCTAGGACAGACACCAGAACTCCAGTGCCGGGTTCTATAAAATACTTTGGATGACTGTGCACATAAGGCTTGGTTGCAATTCTGGCTAAATGGGACACCACAGGATGCATTCTTTGGGATTCTAAGCGGGAAAAGTACAAATTTCATTAGAAGTCACTTTGCCAGCGAATAACTCACCATCGATAACCTTCTGCAAATATGTCAGCTCCTGAATGCACTCGTAATCTAGTTTCCCATTGTGTTTCTTCAGGACACTCTCGATTTCAATCCTAACTTTATCCTGTATATCCTGATTACAGGCCAGCTCATAGAGAGCAAATCCCAAGGTTGTGGAGCCCGCCTCAAAGCCAGCAAGAAAGAATGCGAAGGTCTGGGCAGCGACCTCATTGAATGTCAGACCATTTTCCTTATCTCCCATATCGTATTTTAATTTCATATCAATAAGGGTGTTCATCAAATCGTTTCTTATTACCTTGTTCTTAACCCTATAATCGAGAGTTTTTGCGACCAGATTCATATAGAACTTCTGCACTGATGGAAGCAGAAACTGAAAACCCAGCTTTACGGCCAATTTTGGAAATCCCAGGATTAGTATATCCACCAGCCAACCATGACGACGTTTTCTTAGCGCTAAATAGCCCATTTGGACGAACTCGGCTTTGGGATTCCGCAAGTTATTGCATTCCATGCCAAAGGCGCGTTTTCCAATTACATCAGCTGTGAAACTGGCCATCAGGTTGGTAACTTCCAAGGTCTGTGGAGATGTTATGATCCTCTCCTGCATCACCCGAACCAGTTCATCTGCCACATTTAAAACTATAGGGAACATTTTCCTAATTTTTCCAGGTGTAAAGGTTGGGGTTAGTTTGTGTCGTAGGTTTTTCCACTTTTCACCCTCAATGGTAGCCAGGTTATGAGTCAGCGGATCCTTTTCGTTGTGATAAACTCCACGATCTTGGAACTTGTCGAAATCTTTAATCAGCACAGTTTTCACAAAATCGATGTCGGTGGCTATGATATATTTCATGGCATAAAGGTAGAAGCCCACAAAGGGTCCATCCGTCTGATTTTTGAACTTCTGGTAGGTTTCTTTGAGGATTCGACCCAGATGCTTCGTCCGCATAAGTTCACTGGTGTTTCCCAATGGAATATTAGGTGGATCATGAGGAATACCGCGACGTTTCCAATATGTGTAGTTTTGAAGAACCCACCAAGAGGCAAGGGTCAGAGCCCCAACCAGCAAACCAAGCAGAATCGACATTTCTAGAAGACTGAATAAAGAAACTCAAAAAATGCGTGACTTCTTCAAATTTTAAAGAACTTTGCATTGCCCTATCGCTCGCTTCTCTTTGCTTAACTTTTGCCTTTAACTGTTTAATTGACTCCTCCCTACTCATTTTAGCTTGCAATGCAGACTTTACACTGTAAACTTTAATGTAAACAGCCAAGACTAACGGCTATTAATTAATGCAATCCTAAGAACATCAAAATATGAGCAGAGCTAAAAACATATATCATTATTACTTGTTTACAAACCCGAACCTTACTGAAAGCAAACTCTATAACAAAATTCGTGGATCAGTTTTTTATGGGATATAAAGGGAAAACTTAAGACTAAACAGATATACGTTTTCGCTCTGTTGCTTACTGAGAGCTGGTCTCCCTTCTCGTTCAAGTTTCTAGATCACTTACTATTTAAGTTGTTTTTGTTAGGTAGGGTATAGAAACGAAGTTCGATAGATTTTGTTTTCTAGTACTAGTAACCTTTATAATGTATTTTTTAGACTGTTTAACTCAAGCTAAGCTTAAAAAGTTTTAAATATTGTGGCAAAAGCTTGTTAAACACATCTGGTTTGCTTTCCGCTTTTGTAAAACAGTTATTTGCGGAACACTCACTCTTCTCTATGTTAAGTGATCTTTAATAGGGGTTTATTTTTCAGCGTCGTACTTGTAACCCTTAAAGAACTTGACTTTCTGTTTTAGATTATCATTTGGAAAGCTTATCGACTTTAAGGTGAATTCCATTCTCTGCGGATATTAGAATATTTTTCACAGCAATCTTCAGGGGTATTTCTGTCTCTGGGGCAACACTAAACTTATATCCTCTAATCAGGTAAGCCAATCCCACACAGGTCTGCATCAGTCCAAAACGGAGACCAATGCAGTTCCGAGGACCTTCGCCAAACGGCAACCAAGTGCAAGAAGGTCTCGCAGCGATTTCCTCTTCAGTGAAGCGTTCTGGCTTGAACTTCTCAGGTTCTGGGTAGATATCCGGATCATAATGAATGCCTAGAGCTGGTATTATAACAATCGTTCCCTTTCCAATAAAGTTCTTGGGGTCTTCCGGTGCAAAATCAGTCTGGGTCATCCTCGTAAGATGAGCCAGTACTGGGTACTTGCGAAGGGTTTCTATGGAATTAAATATGGATTAGTTAATAATATTAATTATATATATCAAAGCTTTCTGTGATATTACCCATGACGACCTGCTCCAGGTATTTCATCTCCTTGATGGCCTCGTAAGTAAACTCGTTATTGTGCTTGGCCAGAACATGGTTAACCTCGTCCCTGAGTTTATCCTGAACATCCTGGTTCTGGGCTAGTTCGTAAAGAGCAAATCCCATGGTGGTGGAGCTAGTCTCAAATCCAGCCAAAAAGAAAATAAAGGCTTGTGCCAAGATTTCGTTGAAAGAAAGTCCATCTTCAGTGTTTCCAGCTTGTTCCTTCTGATACATTTCGATTAAGCTGTCCATAAAGTCGTTACGTTTCTCCTTGGTTTTCAATCGATACTCCACTGTTTCTCTTACGATTTGAGTGTAGAAGTCCTCTACATCCTTAACGGTTATTTTAAGGTGCAAGCGGCGAGATAACTTTGGAAACCCAAAAATAAAGAAGTCCAGCAATCCTCCATAGCGGCGTTCCACGATCGCCCGTTTTCCAATGGTCACAAAATCCGCCTTGGGATTATGCAAACTATTGCAATTGAGACCAAAAGCGCAATTGCCGATTACGTCGGACGTATACCGGGCCACGAGATCCACAACCTCAAGAACTTGACCTTGTCCTGAGGTGATCTTACCGCTGAAAGTCTTCTCCAAATCTTCGGCAATCTTAACAACAATCGGAAACATATTCTTCATTTTGCCAGAGGTAAAAGTGGGTGTCAGCTTGTGCCTCAAATGACGCCACTTCTGACCCTCAATGCTGAACAAGGTCGCCGAAAGCGGATCATCGATCTCATTGTAGAATATACCTCGATTCTCAAAGTTATTGAAGTCCTTGATCAGAACTCTCTTGACCAACTCCAAGTCGGTTATTACAGCATTTCGGGTGAAAAAGAAGAAGAAGCCAGCAAACGGATAGCCCGAACCTTTGTACTTTAAATAGTAATCCCCGAATATCTTGGCGATGTGTCGCTTCTTGGGCCAGTCCTTGATATTTCCGTAGAGTGGATGGGGCACATCATGTGGAATACCTCTCCTTTGCCAATATCCATGACGTCGGCGGGCCACGAATAAAAGCAACGACACTAAAAGTGCGACCAGAGTTAGTAACAGCGACATTTCACGTTCAGGTTTCGATCCAAACTGAATTGAAAGTCAGTATGCCATGTTTATATACAGAACGCTCTCTGCTAATCACTTTTACTGAGTTTTTTTGATAAAGACCTTTATTATTTTTTGTGCTTTGTAATGCCCCATTTCATTTCTCAACTGAAACTAATACCTCAACACATCCCACTTTATCAAAGGTAAACTAAATTGATAAATGTAGAAACAAACATATGATTAGCTCAAGACAGTCTATATTCATAATGACTAAATGAAGCAAGTGCGATTTTTAGTATAAACATTCTCGCATATGCAATCTTATCGACAAAAAAGCAATCAAAAAAGTTTCACCATACAGTCTACACTATCAAGAACAAATTGATTACACAAATTTCAGCATTCTTACCTCATTTTAACGCCTATTTCAATGATTAATCCAAATGTCTAAAGAGTAAAGACTACATTAGTTTTTAGAACTATAACTCTATGAGTGATACCAATAAGCATTTTTTATTGGTTGATTAGATTAATATTTTTGATTTGAAAGAATAGTTTAGTACCTAACGACCGTCGATATCGTTAAAGAAATCACTTACCAATTTGAAAAGGAGATATATAAATCTTAATGGTTATCCCGGAAAGTCTGGGCCAACTTCCTCTTATTGGTTCAGTACTTCATGCTTACCTACCTAGGAATTTAAAATCTATATTTTATATATTGATAAAAATGAATATTCATTGTTATCAAATAAGTTAATATAAGAACAACAAAATATATAAACAACTATGCAGATAATATAAAAACGTTTTGTGTAACAACAAGCCTGCTGGTGAAATAACTCTTTCGAATATCAATGAGGATTTCCCTCGGCAACTACTATACTCGTATATGTATTAATACCACTTAAAGATAATACTGCCGAATGGTAGATTTTAAAAATTCCATAAAAATGATTCGAAATTTCGCCTATCGTGCTTGGACTCAAAGTCTAGCTTTCATCATAAAGTAGAACTACTAAGGTAAACTTGTTTGCTAGGAAAATAAAGAAATACTATATATTGAAGGAGATTTGATATTATATATATGATTTTTTTTGACTACATTTTATTTGACTACATATCTAGTTTTTATAAACCTATCTGGAAAGATTCTGGACCTTAAGGTGAATTCCATTCTCTGCGGATATTAGAATATTTTTCACAGCAATCTTCAGGGGTATTTCTGTCTCTGGGGCAACACTGAACTTATAGCCTCTGATCAGGTAAGCCAATCCCACACAGGTCTGCATCAGTCCAAAACGGAGACCAATGCAGTTCCGAGGACCTTCGCCAAAAGGCAACCAAGTGCAAGAAGGTCTTGCAGCGATTTCCTCTTCAGTGAAACGTTCTGGCTTGAACTTCTCGGGTTCTGGGTAGATATCCGGATCGTAGTGAATTCCCAAAGCTGGAACCACAACAATGGTACCCTTTGCAATGAAGTATTTGGGATCTTCCGGTGAAAAATCGGTCTCAGTCATTCTTGTGAGATGTGCCAGAACTGGAAACTTGCGAAGGGTTTCTGAATGCAAACGGAAAGTTTAATGTTAGTTCAGGAGTAATTGCTTAATTTATTTAAATAAATTTACTAAAAGCTCATACTAGAAACTCACCCATTACAACCTGTTCCAGATACTTCATTTCCTTGATTCCCTCGTATGTAAACTCATTATTGTGCTTGGCCAGAACATGTTTTATCTCCTCCCGGAGTTTATCCTGAACATCCTGGTTCTGGGCTAGTTCGTAAAGAGCAAATCCCATGGTCGTAGAGCTAGTCTCAAATCCAGCCACAAAGAAAATAAAAGCCTGGGCCAAAAGCTCGTTGAAAGTAAGACCATCCTCCGAGTTTCCTGACTGCTCATTCTTATACATCTCGATTAGACTATCCATAAAGTCATTTCGCTTCTCCTTGGTCTTCAGTCGATAGTCAATTGTTTCTCTTACAATCTTGGTATAAAAGTCCTCTGCCTCCTGGATATTTAGTTTTAGGCGTAAACGGCGAGATAACTTTGGAAAACCGAAGAGAAATATATCCAGCATATTTCCATAGCGATGTTCAACTATAGCCCGTTTGCCAATGGTCACAAATTCCGCCTTGGGATTATGTAAACTATTGCAATTGAGACCGAAGGCGCAATTACCGATGACATCAGCTGTATAACGTGCCACAAGATCCACAACCTCCAGAACTGGACTTTCACCTAAGCTAGTTTTATCCCTGAAAAGCTTCTCCATTTCATCTCCAACTTTCACAACAATCGGGAACATGTTCTTCATTTTGCCAGAGGTAAAAGTGGGTGTTAGCTTGTGCCTCAAATGACGCCATTTCTGCCCTTCAATGCTGAACAAAGTAGCCGAAAGTGGATCATCGATCTCATTGTAGAAGACTCCACGGTTCTCAAAGTGATTAAAGTCCTTGATCATAACTCTCTTCACCAATTCCAAGTCAGTGACCACAGCAGTCCGCGTGAAAAAGAAGAAAAACCCAGCAAACGGATAACCCGAATCCTTATACTTAAAGTAGTAGTCACGGAATATCATGGCGATGTGCCGTTTATTGGGCCAATCCATTATATTTCCATAGAGTTTGTGTGGCACATCGTGGGGAATACCTCTCCCCTGCCAATATCCATGACGTCGTCGTGCCGCAAACACAGCCAGAGACACAATAACCACGATCAGCCAGAGTACCAACGACATTTCTCGTTCGCGGTCCGATCAAAACTGAATTCAACGTGGGTTGCTACAACGTTTATATGGGCTCTCTTACTCTCTTTTGTAGGTGTCTCAAGTGGCTTTTACAAATAAATGGGCTTCTAAGTTCTCTTAAATTTCACACTCAATTAAATAAATGTTTCTTTAATCAAAGTTATGATAGCTAAGTTTGGGATTCAAAAAACAAGTAGGCTTGTTGGGAGTGTATTTATTATTCATAACAATCTCATGCTTACGTAATCGATTGAATTAAAAGAACAATTATATTGTCTTTTTGCAAATGGATACACAAAACTTGACTCTTCTCACGGAACAACAAAACGTCGAGGGTGTTATTATGAAAAGAGAACATATTATTGAATTTCTCGGGCGCTGGCGAAATGCGTTCTACAAAATACTTTCAAACATTTCAGATAAAGCCAGTCGACACAAATATTTAATCAAATTTTAAGCCTTGCTATAAGATAGGTTAGATTTAAACTGGCATGTCTTGCATTTGTAATCAAATACAATACAAATAACTACTTCGTATATTGATAAAAAGTGTATTAGTATTATATGTATTTTATAATAATAATAATATAATCATTTTAAAATATACATTAGAATACAAAAACGGTGAAAGCTGTTTAATAAAACTCACTATCTTCTCACTTGACTTAGCTCTTGTACCTTCAAGTAAATACCATTTGCGGGGCAGAGCAGAATATTCGACTTCACAAACTCGATTTTTGGGTCTGTTCGCGGACAGACGCTAAAGTGAAAGCTTCTGAGCAAGCTGACCAGGCCAATGATCGTCTGCATTTTACCAAATCTCATTCCTATACAATTTCGGGGACCGTCGCCGAAGGGCAGCCAAGAGGCGGTGGGTCGCTGAGCCAGTTGGTCGGCCAAAAACCGTTCTGGTATAAACTTATGGGGCTCTGGATATACGTCAGGATCATGATGAATCCCATAGACTGGGATCAGTAGCATTTGACCGGGCTTAATGTAGAAATGGCGATCACCCTTGGCGGCATATAAATGTCTGGAGATTCGAGTTAGCTGCGGTAATATAGGATATTTTCGAAGTGTTTCTGGAAGAAAAAGTGTATAAATTGTTTAATTTTGGAAAAGTTTGCTTAAGTTTAGATAAAACCTACCAGCAATGACTAGTTCCATGTAGCGCAGCTCCTGCATGGAATCATAGGTAAATTCTCCCTGATGCAATTGCAAAGCCTCATTGATTTCCTGACGCAGCTTCTCCTGCAGTTCCGGCTGTTTCGCTAACTCGTACAGGGCAAACCCAAGGGTCGAAGCGGAGGTATCAAAACCAGCTACAAAGAATATAAAAGCCTGGGCGGCCATTTCCTCGATCGTGAGTTCACCTCTTTGCTTCATTTCTATTAGCAGGTTCATAAAGTCGCTCCTCACGATGCCCTGCTCCTCCCTCTGCTTCACAGTTTCTCGTACGATGCCCACATAGAAATCCGTAATGTCCTGGTGGATCTGACGCATGCGCAAAAATCTTGCAAGATCAGGAAAACTTTCGATGAATCCATCAATAAATTTGCCATGTCGACGGTCGGAAAAGGCTCTTCTGCCCATTATGGCGAACTCAGCCTCAGGATTCCGGAGGCCATTGCAATCCACGCCAAAAGCACATCGTCCTATGACATCGGAGGTATAGCGGGCCACCAGATCCCCGATCTCAAGAATGCCGCACATGGCATTATCAGCCAACTCGCCACATACTTGACCAAGTTCAATGCCAACCTCGCAAACTGTGGGAAACATGTACTTCATTTTGGCGGAACTAAAGGTGGGCGACATCTTCTGTCGCAAGGGTCGCCACTTGGGTCCATCGATGCGGAATAGATGACCGGTCAGAGGATCATCTTGTTCATTATGATACATTCCACGATCCTCGAAGTTAGCAAAATCTCGAATGAGAATCTGTTTGGCAAGTTCAAGATCAGTGACTAACACCACAGGTCGAAGCATCATAAAAAAACCAGCAAAGGGCGCTCCATTGTTCTTGAACTTTTCATACAAAGGGGTCACAATATCAATGAAGTGTTTCGTTTTTCGGAACCCATCCATATTGCCCACGGGAAATCGAGCACGATCATTTCCGATACCCCGTCGTGTCCAGTAACTAAATCGCGTTCGAACAAACCAAAAGGCCACTGCCAGGGTGACCAGCAGGACAGCCACCACATCCAGCATCCTCTGTAGATGAGTTTCACTTTCAACTGATCACTGTGGAGACGCCCAAACTCGATTCGCGTCTAATCAGCTGCAATTCCAATGTAAACAAGCCCAGACAGATAACCTCGTTAAATTAAACCTCGGTATAATGGAATCGAAATCGAATAGAAGCTCGGATTTGAGAGCTTTAAGTTGCGAAATGGAAAGAAGTAAATGTAATAGGGAGAGACAAGCAGTAAATCTGCCTTGAACTTTATTGATATACGATAGCCGTATTAACCCCCAATCAATGACCTAGAAGTTTATTATAACTGTTTCTGAAAAACCAATTTTAAAAACTATATATGTATCTTTTGAAATGTATATCAAATTTTGAGAAATTACTCTGCATAATACCCTTCGGGCTGATTCTATGTTTTGTTTTTGTTTTACTATTTTAAGAATTGTAAGATATTTTTTAAATACCTATACCTACTTTCTTAAATGCTTAGCTTCCCAAAATGCTTAAACTTAACTTCTTTATTTGTTTAATATTTTTAAAATACAGGAAAAATGTTTTCCAGTGTATTATTCTAGTATATTTTAAAAACCAACTTAGTATATTTTAACATTTAATTTTCGGCCACACTTTCGTACCTGAATTGTGCAATAGCGGTCGTTATCAGGTCTTCTTGGCCGGAATTATAAATAAAACTACCAACATGAGTAGCCAACGAGTGGGCAGCGTTTTAGCCCTGGGTGCCACCGCCTTAGGTGCCTTTTATCTTGGTACCCACGTGGAGCGGGAACGACGAAACGATGGATCCACTAGTAGCCTTCCCCGCTTGCCGGGATTACCCACCTTTGGAACTGTTTCGGCGGCTAGTTTAATACCTGCCCAAGAGGCGAATGTGAGTCTGGCCGCGACACCTTCACGGATTGGTCAGATCATGAAGTTCGGCTTCCCGGGACTGGATCACGTGCGTTCCCACTCGGACTATGTGCTTTCATACGATAGAAGGAACCGCGTGCCCCACTGGGTGTTTGAGCACCTCACGGCGGAGTCAGTGGCCAAGAACGATGCCGTAGACAGAGCTAAATGTGATTTCAAACAAGACGAAAGCATCCATCCATTCTTTCGGTCCCAAAATACGGACTATCGCAGATCCGGCTATGATCGTGGGCACATGGCAGCCGCCGGAAACCATCGATTGCATCAAAAGCACTGCGACGAGACCTTCTACCTCTCTAACATGGCGCCACAGGTGGGCCAGGGATTTAACCGGGATGCCTGGAACACCCTGGAAACACATGTGCGGAAACTAACCAAGAACTACTCTAATGTATACGTCTGCACGGGACCCCTTTACCTGCCCCACAAGGAGGACGATGGAAAGACCTACGTGAAGTACGAGGTCATCGGGGCAAACACTGTGGCAGTGCCCACCCACTTTTACAAAGTTATTGTTAGCGAATCTGCAGACCACAAACTACACATGGAGTCCTATGTAATGCCCAACCAAGTAATCAGCAACGACACTCCCATCAGTGTGTTTCAAGTGCCTCCAGAGAGCGTCGAACGGTCTGCGGGATTGCTTTTCTTCGACCAGATCAATCGGAAACAACTGGCCACCATTAATGGCAAGAAAATCTAGTCAGTCAATGTGTTTAGTTTGTTTTTAGTGTATTTGACCAGGGATAACCCCTTGTTTAATGTAATTTTCTTCTTTTCCAAAGAACTTGTGGATTAATAAAATTAAACAATTAATACAGATGTACATAGAGATGAGGCGTTGCGCAGGTGTTCTTCGTGAAGAGATAGCAAAGCGAGGAGATGTGAATCTGAAACTGGATCTGATGTGAGGTGCTAGTGGGGGTCGTTACATGCCGCCTTCGTTCTTGGAGCGCACGTCATCAATCTTGAGTATCATCTTGACGAGCTGTGTGGAGAGCAGGATCTGCTGTTTCTTCGAGTGCAGCGACTCCACAACGTTGTGGCTCTTCATGTCTGAATCTCCCGTCAGCATACAGTCCACACCCAAGCTGGGCTTCTTTTCGGCCACCTGGCTGGCCTTCAGCTCCGACAGCGTCTCGATGGGATGCAGGCCGCTGTTCTCGGCCAGGGCCAGCGGAATGCTCTCCAGAGCCACGGAGAAGGCGCGGAAGGCGTACTGCTCCAAGGTGGAAAGCTGGTCGGCCTCCTTGGCCACCGCCAGCGAACAGCTGATCTCTGCTGCTCCACCACCGTAAACAATACGAGAGTCCTTGACCAGCGAACGCACCACACAGATAGCGTCATGGATGGAGCGTTTGGCCTCGGCGATAATCATGGCGTTACCGCCACGCAAGAAGATGGTAACGGCCTTGGAATTTTTGCACTCCTCGATGACCAGCATCTTGTCCTTGGATGTACCGAAAGCTGAAGAGTAAAATGAGCAATTAAAATAGGTCATTTGTTAATGTTGAGTTAAACTTACCCATTTCGCGGACGAGACCGGCAACTCCAAGTTTCTCTGGCGTAAGCTCCTCAAAGCGCGGCACGATACGTCCACCGGTGGCGATGGCGATCAGCTCGATCTCCGGACCTCCCACCCAGCGTACAGCGGGCAACTCCTGCTGCAGCAACAGGTGGTTGGCCTCGTCGTCGAACCCCCATTGGCAGATGGCCAAGGTGGCCCCAGCGTCCTTAACCTGCTTGACCATCTGGGTGAACTTCTCCTGCTCGTACTCGCGCAGCGCCCTGTAATCATCCGCGGAGGTCACATCGAGCTTATGCTTGGTCTTTGGCTTCGGGGGCTCGAACGGGCAGGTGAGGATGGCCAGCTTAACGTTCTTCAGCTCCTTGGGCATCTGCGAGTGGCTGAGGGTCTTGTCCACGATGACACCCTTAACCAGCATCGAGTCTTCCATGCGACCGCCGACCTTAGTTTCGATCTTGATGAGCTCGAAGTTCACGTCCTTCTTCTCGATGTCGGCCACATTTAGCACGGCATCCACAGCCATCTCTGCCATCTGACGGTGGCACTTGTTCACAATTTTGCTGCCCAGAGTGGTCATAGCAATCTGAATCAGAGGCTCCTTGTTCTTGGGGTCCACAGGGAAAGGCTGAGCAATAGCGTCCAGCTGCTTGATAGCACACTGGGCAGCCAACTCGAAGCCATCGGCAATACGAATAGGATGGATGCCCCTGTCAATCAATCCCTCGGCCTGCTCCAACAGAGCTCCAGCCAGAACAACAACGCCGGTGGTTCCATCGCCGATCTCGTCGTCTTGCGACTGCGACAGCTGCACCATCAGCTTGGCGATCTCGTGGTCAACCTCCATCAGCTTCATGATAGTGGCGCCGTCGTTAGTTACAGTCACATCACCGTCGGGGCTTACCATGATCTTGTCCAGACCCTTGGGACCCAGGGAGGTCTTCAGGGTGGAGGCGATCTGGCGGGCGGCCATAATGTGCGTCTGTTTGGGGGTAAAAATAGAAAAATTAATAAAGAGGGTGTTTTATATATATTTCATTGCAGACAACGTGAATTGTAGAAACATGTCTTGAAATGAAGTTCTAATTGGTAAATAAGTAACAGATGGTTTTTTTTTTTTAATTTCTGACGATTCTAACTAAAGTTTTTAATTTATATTTATAAGATGTAAATATTAAAATAAATATTAGTTTGGTTCATACAATGGCATACTGCACTTTGAAAACATCCAATGTTAGGGTATTTCAGTTGTTTCCTGCAATATCCAAACTTTGCATGGTGCGCGTGACTCAGCCGGCAATGAAAGAAAAACATCTGGGCGGCGTTTTAACCTCAAAATCACCCAGGCAAATTGGTTTTCTTAAAAAGTCTTGTTTATCAATGTTAATAAAGGATAAACGATGGTTCGGAGAAGCTGCTCATACTTTAGAATGGATATATTCAGAATATTAATTAAGATTAACAACTGTCAGCCCTTCAAAAACCGGCTTTAAAGAACATCTGGAATGTTCCACAGACGATGCGTCAGTCTTGGGGTCTTACTACATTAACTATCTTAAGGGGACTACTTTTCGAGAATATCTCTTTCAAATCAATTTCTCCAGGATGCGGAATCCACAACCGAGAACCGGCGAAGCCTCCTTTAATTTACCTTTATGGCATCTGTTCCTGTGATGCGCTTCTGACGCTCCTGGTCGCGCAGGATGATGAAAGGCCGACCATATTCGTCGAACGCGAACGTTCCGGGAAAGGCGCTCATGGTTTTTTATTTAAAAGGATGACGGATTCGCACGTTACACCAAGATTTATTTGCCGAGTTTATTTTCCCTAGCTCCAACGAACGAACGACTGAACCTAAAATACACCTAACGCGTTCTGACTAGAGATGGAAGAACAGCCGATGCAGTATCGATATATGTCCTTGTTTTTAGTTCTTAATGTTTAATTGGGGTATTCGCTTTTAAATAAAATAGTTTAATTGCATTATCACTAATAAGATTAATTGATATCAACGTTCTAAAATAGAAGCCGTCATTTGGTATTTCCCAAATATTAATTTATAGTGTATTACTGCCAACCGTATGGAGACAAGTAAATTTAAAATTACAAAAATTGGCAATCCAAAGAACTGTTATGGAAATAAACAGAATATCCAACTTTCATGTACATATCATGTATATAATTTATAAATGTTGAACATATTTTGGTAAAAGGGTGATCTTATTTATAATCAAATCTAAATTACTAGATTTAAAATTTCGTGAGAAAACATAAACGAGTTTACTTTTTTTCTAATATTTTAATATTTTTTTGGTTTAATAGCAATCCATTCTTTACATGAGATTCTTAAGATAGTGAGACCTAATTTTGCCAGCTTTAAATCCCCTAAAATAACCCGCGGCAAAACCTATAAAATGAAAGCCAAGCTGGTATATTCTTCAGTTTAATACTAACTTTTGACCACATCGTATCACAAATAGCTGGGAGGTTTGCACCCCAACAAAAGCCAGTTTCTCAACAAAAGTCAAATTTTGTTCAATTCGATTTCTTCTCAGTGCGTTAAGTTGCAACCATTAAGTGTGAAAATGCCATCCAATATGAATAATAAACTGTAAGTAATGGTATCCCAATTGGAGACCATACACGAAGAGAAAAAAGTGCTAAGTCGATTTTGTAGTGCAAAGAAAGAAAATGAGAAAAAAGAAAATAGTGCTAGGGAGTCCACGACCCCTTTCAAATTGGCGGCAAGTAGGCTTGGTTGTAATGGTTTGTAGTGCAATAGTTTTAGTGTAACCTGGTAATAAATCGAGTAACGGTGTTGGTTTATTTTATAACGTACGCACACGTATTGCCCTCACATACGCATGCACACCCAACTACGTGCAGCTGTGTGGGTCAGTATGTTGTTTTTTTTTTGTATTCAAAAATCATCTGTGACGCACACAGATGCAAAGCAAAAAGAACGACGGAAATAAAATAAGGAAATTGTGGCCATGTATGTGTGTTGGCACATTTCGTAAGTAAAGTAAATAATTGATTTCAGTTGAAAGCTATGAAATTTAATTTTTACTTTATTGTTCCTTATTTATTTACTGTTTTTTGTGTTCCGTTCAAGATGGCCGCCCAAAGCGTTGCCACTCTATCGAGGATACTTTAATTCTTTTGTTAATTGTAAACTCAAATAAACAATATTCCTATATTCGCTTTCTTTAAACAATTTAATAAAACATTTATTTACAGGCCCCGTGTATTTAATTAATTAGCGCAAAAGACAAATCATGTATGCGCATCTGGCAACGCCGTATTCGCTCTTTTATTTACAGTTTCACCCCTTCCAATTGGAGAACTCCCAAACATTGGTGTGTGTGTATTTTTTATTTTTTGTTTACCTGTTTCGTTCCTTATTGGAATTGACATTTGGAAAATTTGCTTTATGCAATCCAATTGGAGGGGAACTGCACTGTTAGAAAATGAATTTTTCGCCCTTACTTTAATTTATTTTAATATACCATTTTTATATGTTTGGGAAATGTCTGCTGACACAAGGTCTTCATTTTCCTTGTTGCATGCATCTTGTATTATGTCATATAATCAAAAAACACGCACACATACAGAAGCTTCATTGCTGTAAACAACGGAAAATTCCACTCGCCATTGCATTTTTTCTTTGTTTTTGTGGGGCAAATGAAATAATGTGAAGAGTAAAAGAGATGGATATACCTACGCCGATTATTGGGTCATCGGCATTTTTCTAGCAGCTTTTTGCCTGCTCACCCTTTGTCCTCTGCCTCTCCTCTTTCTCTTTTATCTTATCTCTTGAAACCACATGAGATCATATCCCTTATCGCACCTATTGTTCAGGTTATGTACATATATATTTTTAAGACATCTTACGTGGGTTTTTTTCTGAAATCTTCCTAGCTGTTTGCTCAGTATTCCCGTCGAAAGTTTGTACCCTGATCCCCCAATATTTGTCCAAGCAGAACGTTAAGTTTTGATGCTGATTACACACGCGCACCAATTTCGTCCTCTTATCGCCTAGTTTTATCTAGATTTTATCTATATGGCATCATGTTATCACTCTTTTTTCACTTAACTTGAGTTGCATTGTAGTTACAGGGACAAACGAAAATCTTAGCCCAAGGTTTTCCACTGAAATGCTTAATATGTTATTTATTTTGTGATGCTGATTACACAAGCGCACCAATTACGTCCTCTTATCATCTATTTTTATCTTGATCTAATTTATCTAAATGCACGATTTTATCTATCTTTTGATTCACTTAATTTGAGTTGCATCGCGCTTACTGGACAAATGAAAAGTCCAAGGTTCCCTTCCCACAGCACAGAAAGGCTGATTATGCAAAAAATCGTCTTTAGGACTCGTCTGCAATACTCAGCTTTGAAAACACGTGATCGGCACAGAAAGATTAGCTTAAATGTATGCGACTAAAGTACGATAATAAATAAAGAAATAAAGGCAAAATATGCGGTCTCACAGTTTTCGTGGCAAAGAAATACTCATATATTCATACAGTTGAGGGCACAAAATTGGTACATACAAATTTAAAAATATTAATTGTACATGTGTACTTTTCAAATGTTATGTCTAGAAATATATGTATTTGCTTTTTCAACTTATGTTTTCTATTGTCATTACTCACGTTTATAAAATATGAGAGAAAAATAAGTTCACTTAGATGTTCAAAACGCCTTGAAAACTTTTGAAAGCAAGTGGTTATATGATCAGTAAACGGGCTTCTTGTAAACAAAGCCATAACCTGGTTTATTCTCTACTAAAGATAAATGTATTTGTTTAGACTTAAACATACACATTCATTGTGATAGATATTCAAACAAACTGCTCAATTCCCACTTGAAAACAACTAAACACAAAGGGCTTCTTATCAAATGTTTATGACATTTTATTACACAAAAATTCGTTGTAGTTATTTAGTTCACCTCTGCTGTATTCATAATGCAGACAGCACGTCACGTTGACTTTTACCCCTTCTTCACCCTTTAAATCCCCTTCTTATATCATGCCTTTCGTTAGAGTTTTGTTTATTGCTGTTATCGCCAATATTGATTGGCTACCTCTTTCTTTAGTTTTGGTAAATTTGTCTGCAAAAAATGGAAAACACGTGTAGACAAAAATAATATAATATAACGATGTTTTTTTGGGCTATAATCGGGTACTGAAGAATTTCTCCTAGGCTTTGTTTATTAATTTTTCAAAGATATTTATAGCTGGGGTCTCTCTCTCTCTCTCCGTTTATTTTGTTTGCCCATTGCGACTTTGTAAATAAAAATGCTGTGCCTTGCCGGCATTTTTACTTATAGATAGAAATTTGCGCCTTATTTGCTTAGCGATTCACTTCTATTTTGCTGTGCGGATTGGGGCTCCATTTAACCTTGGCATGTGACTCACCCACCACTACCCTACAACAGTTCAGATCCATATCTGACCGACTGTACCCACCGGTGTATATCTCGAGAGTAAAATACAGTACTAGGGTATATGTACATACATATCGTGGGGCCTCCTAGTCGCAGCTACTTAATCACATAAATGATGCCGCCACCGTTTGGATGTCGTCAGTCGCCAGACAAACGCCCAAAGCACAGCATCTCACACAGATCAGCGGAGAAACTAGGAAAGATTATAGAGAGAGATCCGATCCCGACATCTTTTCGATGTGAATTCCAAGCTCCTTCGAAGCACCGAAACGCAACGCAACCTGTGATAGATAACAAGAGCACAAAATCCAACAGACAGATAGTAAACTGCAGCTGTGATAAATCTTAACCGAAGACTAAATATTTAACTTGGCAATGGCGACATCAAGCGATATGGTGGCGGAGCAACTAGAGAGCCAGAACCTCTTGGGGTACGTCAGTACAGAGCCCTTTTTCATTTTCTTTTGATTATTGGAAAAACATTTTCAATTGGCTTGCACACGCGCCATCGATTCGGTGAATTATTAGTGCCCCCATAAATTGCATCCATTAAGCATTGAATGAACTACAATATGCATCCATCTGGTGTTTGTGGTCGGTGTGCCCTGTTCCCATTCAGGCCTCCATTTCGCTCAATTCACAAAGCGCTGCCAAGTGCGCAGTTTGTTGATTTAATTGGCTTGGCAGAAAGGAAAACAGTAGAGCAACAAAATGCCTGGCATATTTCGCACGAACTCTGCCGGCAAACAATATACAATATATATACAATATGTACTCAAGAGTATATAGTATAGGTATATGTATACTTTTCGTGTTGTCCTCATTGTATGTCTGATTAACACCTAGAACAATCGAAAAATTCAAATGCGAATAAGTGAATAAAGAGAGCTGTCCGTCGACAGTCCAAATTCAATTTAATATCACTGTCATGGAATTGCTCTCTTTGTATAATATTCGACGTTGCGCTATGACACTAACCCCAAAAATTAATAAAACACCGTACGTCTGGCCTAACCCACTTGTCCGTTGTCCTGTTTGTTGAGGTGATACTACTCCAGTTCCAGATCCTCCACGAATAGTGAAATGAAGAGAGCTATCCGTCGACAGTCAAGTTGAATACTGATTATAATACTGTCATGGAATTGCTCTCTTTGTATAACATTCGAAAGGCGACGATGATGATATCAGTGTGCTTAACTGGTTTATAACAAAACTTGTAAGCGTCCTCTGGTTATGGTTCATCCTAATCCTTTCTACATTCCAGTTGATTTTCTTGAAAAACAAACACTGCGTTTTCAAATTCAAGTTTTTCTTATGTATTTGTGGCCATTGGTGCCTAGTAAATACTTTACAAAAAATCTGGAGAAGTTTAACCCGCCCGCTAATAAAATACAGTGCCCGCAACTTAGAGATTAGAAATGCGTTGTTCAGTAGACAGTTCCTACAGGCCACCGCGTCCCCGACCACCGGTGGGTCCTCCTTGCCAGGCACCACGTCCGCCGCCGCCTCCAGGTGCTCCTGGCGGTCCGCCACTGCCTCTTCCGCCGCCCGGAGGCCCGCCTCTTCCTCTGCCACGAGCTGTTAAGGGAATTCATTATTAGTATTTGCAGCTCTTTTATTAGTTCATATTATATCCCAAGACTGTCTTTATAAATAAAATGATTTCATAAATGCACGATTTAAATTCATCTTGATTAACCTGGAGACTAAAGATTTTTCTATACCTAAGGTAAATATGCGTCAGCTATTTCCTTGTCAGTGTTTGCACAATGATTATAAGATTTTAAGATAAGCTAACTTAAACATTGAATTAAAATGTTTGGGTTAAGATCTCGAACAAATCTGCACTTTCCGAAATAGTTAGAACTGCTATAAAACTTATTAAAATGAATTTTCCATATACAAAATATGGCCTGCCTTCATAACAATCTTTATTAAAATGATAGAAAACCTTTTAAATAATATAATTAAATCATAATTTATAAAAACAGTCTTGTTAAAAAAAAAATTCAAAATATGTTAACCAAAGTGCCCGACTCACCCTGTGCGCGTAGTATGGCCGCCTTGCCCCTTCCCGCCGTCCCTCCCAATCCCTTGCCCGTTTGCTTCTTGAACATCGGGGCATTTTTCAGCATGTCGGGCAGTATTAGGAATCGGATCTTGGAGCCGCGGATGTAGACATTCTCCAGGTTGGCGGTGCGTCCATCGCGGTAGGTAACCGTGATCTGGGTCATCTGGCAGTTCATGTTGTCCTCCGCCTCTATTAGTTTTCCGCGGTACACCTCGCCGGTAATTGTTTCACAAGTGATTATGTGGCCCTCGGCCTCGTGCAAAACTTTAATTGGTACACCGATAGACATGCTTGTATCGTATTATTGAGTTTTTCGGCGTTTTTCTATTGATTTTTAACTGTTTTTTCTGATGCCGCAAAATTTGTTCTCCGTTTTTCTTTGGACAAACGTTTACGCCGAGTGTGTGTATGTGTGTGTGCGCTTTGACAGCTGCCGGTGGCCATCTTGTGGTGAAATTCCCGCGTGAGCGCAGGGCTGCATGTGCCGCGTGACTATCGGTCGCGGTCTATCGGTGGTCTGATATTACGCGGGCTTATCTTATCATTTCAAAACAAACACCAGCCATTTGGTACGTCATAAAAGCGGAATAATTTAATTGTCCCCGTATAGCTGATAAGCCTTTTGTTCTGCCTTCGTGGCCATCAGTTTGTTAGCAACTATTGCGACGTTCACACACCAATTGAGTTTTACTCTACATCATGATTTGGTAAACTTTTGGCAGACCTTTACAAATATTAAAATATTTTATAGATTTTTTTGGTTTATTATTAAATCTAAAAAAAAAATAAAAGATGATTTGGAATAAATTTCATCAGATTTAAAAGTTACCTTACCCTAATTTATAATCAATCATAGAAGTAACTAAACGATAGGCGCTACAAAATCAAGCAGGCATCCTTGTGCGATACGGACATTAGACTTAACACCCAATCTTCTTTCCACAGCGACCCAGTGTTTAGTAGTGGCTTCGTTAGAAGAGAGTTTAATGACAGCGGAATTGCCGATGGCAAACTCCGCACCATCTCGACTTCGTCTTGCGCCACGACCATGTCCTCGGAGTCCTACCGCATCTCTCTCGGTGTAGGGCCTCTGTGGTGGTCCTGATGTCCCTGTCCACCACAGAACTGATCATGATAGGGCATCGCTCTTAACGGGTAACAAATTATTATATATTATTCTTATAATTGAACTATAATTATTACTATTCTTTTTTATTGTAGGCTACAGCCGTAAGTCTTCGGTCGACTCGGCTGGTGGCAGCTTGTACGAGGCCAGCTCCCTGGGGTCGTCGTTGTCGTCCTCCCAGTCGGATTGCTCCGACTCGGAATCGCAACCCGACATCCATTCGCTGTGCTCGGAAGATGACTGCCAGGAAGTGCTGCGCCAGATCTTGCAGCACGACCAGCCGGTGCAGATCACCATCAAGCTGCATGTGACCGAGGACCAGTACACCAATTGGAACACGATTTTGAACCCAGTCAACAACTTGTTGTATGTCGCTCTACCGAAGGATCTTCCGCCGGCCGGCTCCAAGCAGACGTTCATCTCGCTTCTGGAGTTTGCCGAGGATAAGCTTGAGGTGGACGGTATCGTAATGGCCATGCCAAAGGATCAGCCAGATCGGGCTCGCCTTATTGAGGCATTCCTGTTCATGGGCTTTGAGCCGCTCTCCAGGAAGGCACCGCAGGCACCACCGGCCGCCATTAACGACAACGAGAACCACTACTTCTTCTATAGCATCGAGGAGTAGTTCGTTGGCAAAGGGACGATTTTCGAAAACACAAACAAATGAAGATGAATTTAAATCAGCAACAATCCAATATCCTGTCCGTAGTTTCAGCAAATCAGTTTTATTAGCTCTCACTCTCTAGATCCAATGACATATTGACCCCAATGTGTTCAGTGAAATGCAATTCAACCTTTTGAAATCTTCTCGTTTACGTAGTCGAAAATCGTTATGAAATTGTCTCCGGTGTGGTTACATTTTTTGGTAGTCTTTCAATTATGGCCAGCCACGTTAAGAGATTTTGATCGCAAATTATTATATTAACCTATATCAAACAAAAAAAAAAGGAAAAAATTAAAAAAAAAAACAATTAAAACTAGAAAATGTCTAAAAAAAAATGTATTTAACCTAAGTTTATTCGTGAATCAATATTTTGTATCTATGTTTTTGATTTTGTTGTAATCACAATATTTCTTTTCATAATTTTCTATATTTTATATTTTAAGCTTATATATGATGTATCGTAATCCCAATTTGTTCATACTAGAAAATATTATATATATTTTTATTCACTTTTTGTATGCTAAACCGATTTAAACGGAAAAGTAGAAATGATAGAGGATAGAAAGGGAAAAACATATGCATAAAAGCTTCTTCACATATGCCAGGAATAAATCCATAAACACACAATATCCAATATTAATAAACATATTAATCAATAGATTCCGCACCAAGCAAGCAAATGAAAGCAATTCTTTTATTTTTTCCACTTTTTGATGTATAATTTTCTTGATTCCAATAATAAAACATATGACTTAACAAAACATGTCCTAAGTATTTTTCTGATTATTAAAATTAATTTGTTTATCGCGTCCAGAGGCACTGCGCAATATTGTTGTTCTTCAATATCTCGAGTGGAGCACGGCTGAGTTTCATGTTTAAATTTATAGCCAAGATCGCCCTTCCCTTCCCTTTTCCAGATAAGGGAAATTTCCGTTTTTTGTCGTTGAAGTGTTTTCTGTTCTTCTGTTTATAAATTGACCCAACCTGATTGCACTTTAAAAAAGATAACTACTGAAAATCTGATAAAGAAGTCCGGACTTTGTCTAGTGATGATTCTCTTATTCTCTCTTCAAAGCTTTTGAAGATAATGCATTATCAGAAAAGAAGAGCAACTATAAAGCTTATAATAACGGGAGCAATTTGTTATCACCTCTATTAATATTTTTAAGTTGATAACCTGCGTCATTTATTTATTGCGTCCATAGTAAAGAATCGAATTTTAAAATAAAAGTATTTAAAGTATCTTATACTTAGCCTCAAAAAATAATTATATTAATAATAATATTAATAGGCAAAACTTACTTCAACATAAAGATTTAGCATGAACAAAATTTTCATAAGGTTTTGGGGCTTATGTGTCAGTTATTCATCAATAAAAATGAAGTTTCAGCTTATTTCCTATATAAATTAGTCATTAAGTAAATATTTTCTAATGATTCTAGAGATCTATCAGCTACAGAAAGTATCAGTATCTCAATGTTTCTTTGATCTACATTACTTTATAAAAATTCAAAGTCATTTTTCAGAGAACTGTAAAGCTAAAAATGATTCCCAGCTAATCTCAGCTTGGAAATCATACAACAGCTGTTCAGGCTGACTCTCTACTCACTTAATGGACGATAAAACTTTGCCAAACTCGAAACCAAAAGAGTATATACCCATTTATGTTATATAGGGGCTAGGGGAGCGTACAATATGAAGAGATAACGATATAAACAGCAGCGGAAGAGGCTCTGGAAAACAGTCGAGACTGGAACGTCGTTGAGTTTACACGAACCACAAGCTTTGAAAGCGAACTGCAGAATATATACATACTATATACTACATATATCCCGGAGTTATCATGCTGAAGACGGTGAGTTTAGTTCCAAAGGGGCGGACATTATCTTATCGGTGGTTTAGATATGACACTTGGTTTAATTTAATTTACTTTCAATCCCTTCCTATTATGTTTAACCAATTTACCTTGATTGCCCGGATGGCCAATGCAGATTATTGTTTTTGCCACTATTTTGGTGGCCGTGGCCATGGCCATGCAGCCATTAGAGGATAATGAGAGGCACCACCATTTGAACCATAAACGTCAGTTGTCGCAGCACCACCAAAAATTCCAGGAGGTGAGGCATTCGGCCAAGGATCACATCCAAAATGCAAAGGCCTTGCATCAGGTTGTATCGCATGCCAAGGAGCATAGAGCCCGTGGACAATCTAGCTCCCAAAGGAAGTCAAGACAGGCTCACAAGGAGCAGGATCACAAGAAGAGCCATCACAAGAAGGAGCACCACTCCCGGAAGTCCCGATCCCACCCTGAGGTCAACAAGCACCACAAGAGGCACTCGGGATCGCGGCGCCACTAGGAAAGATATATGTCCAAAATATATCCTATTTAAATCCTAACTTATGTGTATGTAAGCTTTTCCGTATGCCAAAATAAAAGCGGAACTTTCAAGTAAAGGCCACATAAACTCCTTATACATTATCTATTCGCATTTTAAAATAAATACCTAGACAATTTTTAATTTTTGAGTCTGCAAATAGGTTTTTATAATTGTTCAACATATTAAAAATAGTTAAATAAAATCCATGACCAAAAACTAAACATTTTATGAATGATTTTACTCAAAAAATAATCTTTAGTACTTTTTAAAACTAGAAATTCCGAATAAATTCATATTGAATGTTAGACCTATAAATAGTCAAGAAATTATTCTTTTTAATAGGGTCTTACTTTATTATGACTAGTAAATTGCGCTTGAACATAATAGATTTTATCTGAAGACCAGTTTCTTTAAAAGTTGACAAAGAGGGCTTGCAAAAATATATGTCGATCTCTTGGCCGATATCCACTGTACAGTCCAGCTCTTTTCGTGACCCGGTTTATGGCCCAAAAAATTGAGTATGTGTGGATCGTTAAAGATAGGCCCAAGTCCAGGTTTGGGTCGGCGGTTCAGATGTGTAATTACGCTTGGCCAACTTCGTATTTTGCCGGGCCATGTTACGTTAGCCGCCTCAATTTCTTCGGAAGCGCCGTCCAAGTCAAAAAATCCGGTTTTAGACAATTGAAATTTGAAAATAATAAAGCGCACATGCGAACGTACTCGTATATAAAGTGTTTTGTTTTTTTATTGCAATAAACCTGGTGTTAATTGTGGTCTGGGGTCAAAAACTCCAATGACGTCATCATCATGGTTGCAAGACAGTGAAAGGGTTCAAATTTTTAGGGGGCTTGTATAATTTCTTTGGTTATATAGGAATTTGTGTGTGTGTGTTAAGGAACTCATCTTTGGAATGGTTATAGTATCTTATTTAACCCCAAACTGGGTAAATTCGAGGACGGTAGAAGCCGGCTCCGTAACTGCGATATCCGCCGTAAGCACCATATCCGGAATAACCGCCGTACTTATAGCCTCCACCATATCCACCGTAATAAACAGGAGATGGAGCGGCATAATAACCGTAGCCAATTGTATCGGCAGTGGAAAGATCACCCTCTTCAGCAGCTTTATTATCCTAAAGTAAAATAATTAATAAAGTGTCTTTGGAAAATAATAGCGTAAATATACCTCAATAGGACCTGCAGTTATAGATCCAATAATGGCCAGGCACAAAAGGATGGAAAGTAACTGAAAAAATGTTTTTTTAATTATAATATTTTAACTTGAATTGGCATTGCACCTTTGCCATTGTTGATCTTATTTGCGAAATTTCACGGGGATCTACTTTAGATTATATATTTTTATTTTCTCTCGAATTAGCAACTTTTTCCGATCGTGTTCTGGTTAGAAGCGTTGTATTCCGTAAACTGTTTTCCCCAACGGTCGACCAACAATATTTATAGTGGCCCAAAAAGTCCCGGAGATTGATTTCGCACATGATCATTGATTGGACAAACATTCTGGAGTCTGGGGAAGTCGTTACCCGATCGGAAATGATGTGTCCCATATCAGGGTCAGGCTATTGACTTGATTTGATTTTCTAACTCGGTAAATTGAAAGTATACGACATTTTTTTTTTTTGAATCTTAAGATAAAAGCTGATATCTACTGTAGGCGAGAAATTAATGAACTACAAGTCATTAACAACAATATTGACGCATTTAGCTTAAGTAAGTTCATAATAAATTCTATTAACACGTTCGATGACAAACTGAGTCATTTGATTTGATTGCTAGGACTAAAACCAGATTACATTTTTGTTTACTTTGCGATAACGCTTACTTTATTGAATGGGATTCTAGTTTATTTTCTAAACATTTTGTTATTTAAAAATAAAAAAAACCGTTCCAGGTGTTAAAAGAAAGTTCCCCTTAACACTTATGTGGATTTATGATACATAATACAGGAAAATTAACATATTGAACATTTAAAACTAAATAATTTGTTTTAATAAAACGCACATTAGTAATAATAGTTTTTTATAGCTTCTTCCTTAATTTTTGTCAAACCTATTTTGAAGGAGAAATAATAACAGTTAAAAGCAATATTTTAAAACAAACTAGTAAGTTTTAAAAATTAAATACCAATCATCGCACTCTCCATGTTGTTATCTTGATTTCGCATGCGGCATTTTTTCGTGCCACCTCCAAATTTAGTACCATCACTAGAAATGGCTGCCGCATGAAAAAATAAACGTTTTCATTTTGCGAACCGGAAAAATTGTAAATTGTGGTTGAAGAAACATATTAAAAGTGCAAAATAGGTATTAAAGGTATTAACTTACTTACGGGTAACACATTTAGGCAAATATTTTCCATAGGGAGTGCGAAAGAAACAGTTTTTCACGGCGTGGCGAAAATTGCGAAAGACCGCGACGTCGGCGGCATTCGATTTTCTCCCCTTCTGAACAAAACGTGTCTGTGCTGTGTGTGTCATAAAGTGTATGTTTTTTTCATTTATTGATTAGGATAAGTACAGCGGAACCATGTCCATTCCGCCGTACATGATACCGCAGAATGCGTGGGCGGCCCAGCTGATGGCCCAGCAGGCGTACGCTGCGGCTCACGCTCAGCAGGCTCAACTGCACGCCCAGCAGCAAATGGCAAATCAGATCCAGCAGATCCCGCCACCAGGAGCTCCTATACCCCCGCCTAGTGGTCACTCCAATGGGATTCCCATTCCGGCAGGTGGTCAAGGTCCCGGATTGGGTCAGATTCCAACTCCAAAACCGGACATTCTTACCGAGGAGAAGTTGCAGGAGAAGGCCCTTAAATGGCAGCATCTGCAGTCCAAGCGATTTGCTGAAAAGCGCAAATTCGGTTTTGTCGACACCCAGAAAGAGGACATGCCGCCGGAGCATATCCGGAAGATCATACGCGACCACGGAGACATGACCTCCCGCAAATATCGGCACGACAAACGAGTCTATCTGGGCGCCTTAAAGTACATGCCACATGCAGTGCTCAAGCTGCTGGAGAACATGCCAATGCCTTGGGAGCAGATTCGGGATGTCCAGGTGTTGTACCACATCACGGGAGCCATTACCTTTGTCAATGAGATTCCGTGGGTCATTGAGCCCGTCTACATTGCCCAATGGGGGTGAGTTTTATCATGTTTTTTTCTTGTATTCCCAACTGAATGAATTTTCTTTTCCCTAGAACAATGTGGATTATGATGCGGCGTGAAAAGCGAGATCGTCGGCACTTCAAGCGAATGAGATTCCCGCCTTTTGATGATGAGGAGCCGCCATTAGACTATGCGGACAACGTTCTCGATGTGGAGCCCTTGGAGGCCATCCAAATCGAGCTGGACAATGATGAAGACAATGCCGTGTACAAATGGTTTTACGACCATCGTCCTTTAGTGGATACTCAGTAAGTTTTAAGCTAAACGAATTTATTTTAAATTATCTTGTTCTTAAGGTATATCACTGTTTCAGGTTTGTAAACGGCACAACATACCGCAAGTGGAATCTTTCCCTGCCCCAACTGGCCACGCTGTATCGACTGGCCAATCAATTGCTCACTGACTTGGTGGACAACAACTTCTTTTATTTATTTGACCCCAAAAGTTTTTTCACAGCCAAGGCTTTAAATATGGCTATTCCAGGTGGTCCCAAATTTGAGCCTCTTATTAAAGACCACAATGTTGGGTAAGGACAACTACAGCATTATAAGCCCGATCAAAGTATAATCCTCTTCTTATTTTTCTAGGGATGAGGACTGGAACGAATTTAACGACATTAATAAAGTCATTATTCGGCAGCCCATTCGCACGGAATATCGAATTGCGTTTCCCTACTTGTACAACAATATGCCGCACTTTGTACATCTGAGCTGGTAAGATCTATTATTCTCCAAAAATTATTAATCTAAAATCTTATTTACGTGGTAGTAACGTTTCCAAGTGAACGGCCATGCTGGAAATGCTTCATGTCGCGTTAGAAAAACGTCGAGCTCCCAGCTTACTACCAATTTTGCGATAAACGGGAGCTGCAATAAATATGTTCGTGGCGATTGTTAAGAATAAATCGTGACTGCTGATAGTTGCATACACTTAAACTCACATGAACCTATGAGGACGTATATAACCGATATACTTTATTAATTTCAGGTATCACACTCCCAACGTGGTCTACATCAAGACCGAAGATCCTGATTTGCCCGCATTCTACTTTGATCCACTTATCAATCCCATATCCCATCGTAATGCAAACTCCAAAGTGCAGGAGCCACTGCCGGATGATGATGAGGACTTTACGCTTCCGGACGATGTGCAGCCGTTCCTGCAGGACACTCCCCTGTATACTGACAATACCGCGAACGGCATTGCTTTGTTGTGGGCACCTCGCCCCTTCAACATGCGCTCTGGTCGCTCCCGTCGTGCGATTGATGTGCCACTGGTCAAGTGCTGGTACAAGGAGCACTGTCCGCCTGGTCATCCGGTCAAGGTGCGCGTCAGCTACCAAAAATTGCTGAAATACTATGTGCTTAATGCACTGAAACACCGAAAGCCAAAGCCGCAGAAGAAACGGTAAGTTTAATTATTATCTAGGAATTTAACTGATTATAATGTTTAATTTTACTTTGCAGCTACCTCTTCCGTTCGTTTAAGGCGACCAAATTCTTCCAAACTACCACTTTAGATTGGGTGGAGGCTGGATTACAGGTTTGCCGTCAGGGATACAACATGCTGAACCTCTTGATTCATCGAAAGAATCTTAACTACTTGCATTTGGATTACAATTTCAACTTGAAACCCGTAAAAACTTTGACCACTAAAGAGCGTAAAAAGTCACGTTTCGGAAATGGTAAGTTCAGGGTTTGCTGCCAATTTAACTTCTAAGGAATAACGCATATTTTTTCCTATTAGCTTTTCATTTGTGCCGTGAGATCCTGCGTCTGACCAAGCTAATCATTGACTCGCATGTTCAGTATCGGCTTAACAATGTTGATGCCTTTCAGTTGGCCGACGGACTGCAGTACATATTTGCCCATGTTGGCCAGCTGACTGGCATGTATCGCTACAAATACAAGCTAATGAGGCAGATTCGAATGTGTAAGGATTTGAAGCATTTGATCTACTACCGCTTCAACACAGGTCCTGTGGGCAAAGGACCAGGATGTGGATTCTGGGCGCCTGGATGGCGAGTCTGGCTGTTCTTTATGCGTGGCATTACACCTTTGCTAGAACGTTGGCTTGGCAATCTGCTGTCGCGTCAGTTTGAAGGACGACACTCGAAGGGTGTTGCCAAAACGGTGACCAAGCAACGTGTCGAATCCCACTTCGATTTAGAGTTGCGTGCATCCGTTATGCACGACATTGTGGACATGATGCCAGAGGGTATCAAACAAAACAAGGCGCGTACCATTTTGCAGCATCTGTCGGAGGCATGGCGTTGCTGGAAGGCGAACATTCCGTGGAAGGTGCCCGGTCTTCCTATTCCTATTGAGAATATGATCCTGCGTTACGTAAAGATGAAGGCCGACTGGTGGACAAACACGGCCCACTATAATCGAGAACGAATTCGACGAGGAGCCACTGTGGACAAGACTGTTTGCAAGAAGAATCTGGGGCGATTGACACGTCTTTACCTGAAGGCGGAGCAAGAGAGGCAGCACAACTATTTGAAGGATGGTCCATACATCTCCCCGGAGGAGGCTGTGGCTATATACACAACCACCGTCCATTGGTTGGAGTCACGTCGTTTTGCGCCTATTCCCTTCCCTCCACTGTCGTACAAACACGACACCAAGCTGCTTATCCTTGCTCTTGAGCGGTTAAAGGAGGCTTACAGCGTGAAGTCCAGATTAAATCAAAGTCAACGCGAGGAGCTCGGACTCATTGAACAAGCCTATGACAATCCTCACGAGGCCTTGTCCCGTATAAAGCGTCATTTGCTTACGCAGCGAGCATTTAAAGAGGTTAGTTATTTGTAATACAAGTTTCTAGAATTCTGTATAAAGAGCTTTTTGAATTTCAGGTCGGAATTGAGTTTATGGACTTATACAGTCATTTGATACCTGTATATGAGGTAGAACCGTTGGAAAAGATTACGGACGCATATCTGGATCAATATTTGTGGTATGAAGCAGATAAGCGGCGACTGTTTCCTCCATGGATCAAGCCCAGCGATACAGAGCCCCCACCATTATTGGCCTACAAGTGGTGTCAAGGTAAAAATATTAATTTTATAAATCCGAATAAATTCCTCGGCAATGGGCATTTTGGGTGTGTGATTTGTAGCAAAGTGATATGTATTTGATCATCCCCTTGTTGCAAACCTCACGCCGAAGATGAGTTCCATAAACAACCCGAATAGGAAAAGGCAAGTGATCATATTTTTCTCTTTGAAGGAGGAAGAACTCACAATATCTCTTTATTAAATCAGTTAACAATTTTAAATCTTTATAACAGGTATCAACAACCTGCAGGATGTTTGGGATGTGGGCGAGGGAGAGTGCAATGTTCTGCTGGAGTCTCGATTTGAAAAGCTCTACGAGAAAATTGACTTGACATTACTTAACCGTTTGCTTCGTCTGATTGTCGATCACAATATCGCTGATTACATGACGGCCAAGAACAATGTGGTAATCAACTACAAGGACATGAACCACACCAACAGCTATGGTATCATCCGAGGCCTGCAGTTCTCATCGTTCATCACACAGTACTATGGTTTGGTGTTGGATCTCCTCGTTTTGGGTCTTCATCGATCCAGCGAAATGGCTGGTCCTCCACAAATGCCAAACGATTTCTTGACGTTCCAGGACGCAGTCACGGAAACGGCACATCCGATTCGACTGTATTGTCGCTATGTCGATCGCATTCACCTGTTCTTTAGGTTCACGGCGGAGGAGGCGCGAGATCTTATCCAGCGCTATTTAACCGAACATCCGGATCCGAACAACGAAAACATTGTGGGCTACAATAACAAAAAGTGCTGGCCACGCGATGCTCGTATGCGTTTGATGAAGCACGATGTCAATCTGTAGGTTTCCATTTAATCAAATTCAATTTTTTAAGTGATTATTGAACATTTTTTATTTTCTTCTTAGGGGTCGTGCTGTCTTCTGGGATATTAAAAACCGCCTGCCACGTTCTGTTACAACCATTGGTTGGGAGAGTACCTTTGTCTCAGTGTATTCCAAGGATAACCCCAATCTGCTGTTTAACATGAGTGGATTTGAGTGCCGCATTTTGCCAAAGGTTCCTTAACCCAAAAGTTATATTTAAGTTCAGTTTATAATTAAATGTTTTCTCCTCACAGTGTCGCACCCAGAATGAAGAGTTTACCCATCGTGATGGCGTTTGGAACTTACAGAACGAAATTACAAAGGAGCGAACGGCTCAGTGCTTCCTGCGGGTTGATGATGAGTCTCTTGGACGCTTCCATAATCGTGTCCGCCAGATCCTGATGGCTTCCGGATCCACTACATTTACAAAGGTAGTTCAAAGCTAATATATACGTCTTTAATCTTAGCGATACTGATATACCTATTCCAGATCGTAAACAAATGGAACACAGCGCTAATTGGATTGATGACCTACTTCCGCGAGGCTGTGGTCAACACCCAAGAACTGCTAGATTTACTGGTCAAGTGCGAGAACAAAATTCAGACCCGTATCAAGATTGGTCTCAACTCTAAAATGCCTTCCCGTTTCCCGCCCGTTGTGTTTTATACACCAAAGGAACTGGGCGGTTTGGGAATGTTGAGTATGGGTCACGTTTTGATTCCGCAATCCGATCTGCGTTGGTCCAAGCAAACAGATGTGGGCATCACTCATTTCCGCTCCGGTTAGTTTCAAGAAAATTACGGTTTTAATATCTGATTATGATAAAACTTGTTTGTTACTTTTAGGTATGTCGCACGATGAGGACCAGCTTATTCCCAATTTGTATCGGTACATTCAGCCTTGGGAAAGTGAGTTTATCGACTCACAACGTGTGTGGGCGGAATATGCATTGAAGCGTCAAGAGGCGAATGCCCAGAACCGCAGGCTAACTCTGGAGGATTTGGAGGACAGCTGGGATCGCGGTATTCCGCGTATCAACACACTCTTCCAGAAGGATCGTCACACGCTGGCTTACGACAAGGGTTGGCGTATTCGAACGGAGTTCAAGCAGTACCAGGTCCTCAAGCAAAATCCATTCTGGTGGACTCACCAGCGGCACGATGGCAAGCTGTGGAACTTAAACAACTACCGCACGGACATGATCCAGGCGTTGGGAGGAGTGGAGGGCATTCTGGAGCACACATTGTTCAAGGGAACTTACTTCCCCACGTGGGAAGGTCTTTTCTGGGAGAAGGCCTCAGGATTTGAAGAGTCGATGAAGTACAAGAAGCTGACCAATGCTCAGCGATCTGGTCTCAATCAGATTCCGAATCGACGATTCACACTTTGGTGGTCACCGACTATCAATCGTGCAAATGTGTACGTCGGTTTCCAAGTCCAGCTGGATCTGACGGGTATTTTTATGCACGGCAAGATTCCCACACTAAAGATCTCGCTGATTCAGATCTTCAGAGCTCATTTGTGGCAAAAGATTCACGAGTCTATTGTGATGGATCTGTGTCAGGTATTCGATCAAGAACTGGACGCTCTAGAGATCGAGACGGTGCAGAAGGAGACCATCCATCCGCGTAAGTCCTACAAGATGAACTCCTCGTGTGCGGACATTCTGCTTTTCCCCGCCTACAAGTGGAATGTGTCGCGGCCATCACTGCTGGCAGATACAAAGGACACCATGGACAACACCACCACCCAGAAGTATTGGTTGGATATCCAGTTGCGTTGGGGCGATTATGATTCGCACGATGTGGAGCGATACGCTAGGGCTAAGTTCCTCGATTACACTACGGACAACATGTCCATCTATCCATCGCCCACGGGCGTGTTGATAGCTATCGATCTGGCCTACAATCTGCATTCTGCTTACGGCAACTGGTTCCCTGGATGCAAGACCCTCATCCAACAAGCCATGGCCAAAATCATGAAGGCGAATCCAGCACTCTATGTGTTGCGTGAACGCATTCGCAAAGCTCTGCAGCTTTACTCCTCAGAACCAACGGAACCTTACCTTAGTTCACAGAACTACGGAGAGTTGTTCTCTAACCAGATTATCTGGTTTGTGGATGACACTAATGTATATCGCGTAACTATCCACAAGACATTTGAAGGAAATCTGACAACGAAACCAATTAACGGAGCCATCTTCATCTTTAATCCCCGAACGGGTCAGCTCTTCCTGAAGATCATTCACACATCTGTGTGGGCAGGTCAGAAACGTCTGGGCCAGTTGGCCAAGTGGAAAACTGCTGAAGAAGTAGCAGCTTTGATTCGATCGTTGCCGGTAGAGGAACAGCCCAAACAAATCATTGTGACGCGAAAGGGTATGTTGGATCCATTGGAGGTGCACTTGCTCGACTTTCCCAATATTGTAATTAAGGGGTCTGAGCTGCAGTTGCCCTTCCAGGCGTGTCTCAAAGTTGAGAAGTTTGGTGACTTGATCCTTAAGGCCACCGAGCCCCAAATGGTGCTCTTCAACCTGTACGACGATTGGTTAAAGACCATTTCATCGTACACGGCCTTCAGTCGTCTTATCCTGATTTTGCGCGCTCTCCACGTCAATACGGAGAGGACAAAGATCATACTGAAGCCGGACAAAACCACCATCACTGAGGCCCATCATATTTGGCCCACACTGACAGATGAGGAGTGGATCAAGGTGGAGGTGCAGCTGAAGGACCTCATTCTGGCCGATTACGGAAAGAAGAACAACGTCAATGTGGCTTCGCTGACTCAGTCCGAGATCCGTGACATCATTCTCGGTATGGAAATCAGCGCTCCATCGGCGCAGCGCCAACAGATTGCCGAGATCGAGAAGCAGACCAAGGAGCAGAATCAACTTACGGCCACCACCACTCGTACCACGAACAAGCACGGTGACGAGATCATTACCTCCACTACGTCCAATTACGAAACACAGACGTTCAGCTCAAAGACAGAATGGCGAGTGAGAGCAATCTCCGCCACCAATTTACACCTGCGAACGAACCATATCTACGTAAGCTCGGACGACATCAAGGAGACCGGCTACACCTACATTCTGCCCAAGAACATACTCAAAAAGTTTGTCACGATCTCGGATCTGCGAGCTCAGATTGCTGGCTACTTGTATGGCGTGAGTCCACCGGACAATCCGCAGGTGAAGGAGATTCGCTGTATCGTAATGCCGCCGCAGTGGGGCACCCACCAAACGATTAACCTGCCCAATACCCTGCCAACGCATCAGTATCTCAAAGACATGGAGCCACTGGGCTGGATTCATACTCAGCCTAACGAGTTGCCGCAATTGTCGCCGCAGGACATTACCACTCACGCAAAGATCATGCAGGAGAACTCTAACTGGGATGGTGAGAAGACGATCGTAATCACATGCTCCTTTACTCCCGGATCCTGCTCGCTCACAGCCTACAAGCTGACACCTTCAGGCTTCGAATGGGGCTCAAAGAACACTGACAAGGGCAACAATCCTAAGGGCTACCTGCCGTCGCACTACGAACGCGTTCAGATGTTGCTTTCGAACAAGTTCCTCGGATTCTTCATGGTGCCGGCGCAGAGCAGTTGGAACTATAATTTCATGGGCGTGCGCCATGATCCCAACATGAAGTACGAACTCCAGCTGGCCAACCCGAAGGAGTTCTACCACGAGCTTCACCGCACTTCTCACTTCCTGCTCTTCTCGAATCTCGAGGACGCTGGTGATGGCGCTGGTGCAGATCGTGAGGATGTGTACGCGTAGGAGGTGCAGATCTGGAGTCTTAGGTTTTTCGTTTTAGTGCATACAAACAATTTTATAAGCGTGTTTTCAAAATGCTAGCATCTAGGTACATTTTGTAATAAAAACCATTCTTTTCCCAACAAGTCACTTCGTTGCCATGGAATTCATTACTCCGACGTCGCTTCTAGACTTAGTATTCATAACATTTGTTAACGGTAAGAGTTCTGTGTATGTATGACTAAAGTTAATGCTAAAGTTATGTTTGGTTCGGGTTTGGTTTCTGTTCCGGTTTCTAGGTACGTTCGATTGATTGTTGACCCGCATTCAGGAGCACTTCCACAGCACAATGGCCAGGTTACCGGCGAAGAACAGGTATAGAATGTTTTCCGTCTCGTAAGAGACTTCAAAACCGAATCCTTCACCAACAACCACATGCCAATAGATGCCGAACTTCTTATCCATGTTCTCCTTGATGATTTTGGCAGCGTGCTGGTAACGGATATAAAGTTATTAATTAAGGTTATTATACAGTTGAGAGGAAATATAAATGAAGGATTAGAGCCACCATACATAGGAAATTGTTTATTTTGTTAAATAAATAATTTAATCCAGATTTCAGCAAAACTTTGGTTCAGCTACTCAAGTCTTGCTTTATTTACTAGTTAAAAATATATCATTTAAGATTTTAAAAAGCTTTTACATATTAAACTGTTGTAAAATGTAAGTTTAAAATTTTCTCATAAAGCAATACATGTAATATATATGAATATTTTTTAAATCTTACCTCATAATTAGATGCATATTTCTCGCAGGCGGTAATGGATAGTTCAATGGCCTCTATCCGCATCTCTTCATTCATGTCAGAGTGCTTAAATCAATGTTATCAGTCAAGATTGATTTCGGGATTTATATACTTTACCAACCTTAACCAGGGGATAAACGTGAACGATTTTCTTCTCGCCCTCCTTGTTGGCTTCCTCGTCCGCCATGTCTACGATTCACCAAAGACTGAAGGAAGGAACCCAAAAATATAACTATCACGAAGCCTAAGGCTAATGTAATAAAAATCGAGTTAAATTCCTATTTACATGTGACACACAAGTCAAGGTAAAGGCAGCACTGTAGCTATAGATGTGTATATACTATATGATGAATGGCAGGTGAATGTTTATGAATTCTCCGTTTTTGCGCTATTGTCACGACAGGATGGCTGCTATGGCAATTTGTTTTTGAGCACGGTTTCGGTTTCGATGGGCCTGCCAGCCTGTCAGGAGCGAGGTTGACTTGCAACTAACGATGGCACTGGGTCCGCCGGCTCCTTGCTGACGCCAACTCCATTAACTGGCAACCACAGGCGGAGTTTCTGCGCCGGGGGAAAGAACATGTATGAGCCGGGGAGTTAATAGCTACTACACTCGGTGTGCGCTGCGTTTGCGCCAAGTCTGAATGCTAAGGGACCTTCGCCTCATGCTCCTTGCTTCCTGCATCCCCGGTTTTTGTTGCAAACAAAAGCAATTTCCGTGCGGGTGCCACAGCGAGACAGACGACTCGGCGTCATAGTCATCATCTTGGCGGCAACCCCAATTTTTGCAACGATTTCTGCACCAAAAGTGGTCAACTGGGGGAGGAATGGTCATTGATGCTTGGAAAAACCCACCCCGCACCCGAGATAATGCACTCAAAATGTCAACAGATTGTCAGTTAACAAAACGAGGAGAATGGTTAGTTCAACAATTTAGAATGGAACTAATGACTCGAAGAAATTAAGTTGTTTGATAGAATTACATAAATTTATGTTTTTAAAGTAAAGATTTGGTAGTTCGAGATCTGATTGATATTGAAGTTTTATAGCTTAAAAATTATAAAAGATATAGTTAAAAACTATAAAAAAACATAATTAATAACTCTTATAAATTCTTTAACTTTTCAAGAAAAAATTTTGATTACAGAAAAATAGCAAAAAAAACTAAAAATAGCTATATGAATATGATAATTTGTCGGTGTATTTAGAAGGTCTTAGAAGGTGAATAACTTAAGTTACTACTTCGGAGTCAAGTCCCAACACTCCTCTGCTTGTTCCTGGTCCGCCAATACAATCTCCTGGAAAGGATATTCTGCCAAGTCATCGGGATTTGACCACTCTGATTCCTCATCGCTGTCTTCTATTATAACACATTCATTCTGTACATTTAACTTGTTCTCCTTTAGTATTTCTTCGAGGATATTTGCAGTTGCTCCGACGTGTTCTAGGCGATCCAATAGGAGAGCAATTGGCAATTTATAATTGCCCTGGTAGGAGTCCATCTCGTTCTCAGAAGAATTGGCTAGTCTTTTGAAACGCTGCAACTCAATCTGGACTTCGGTCCATATTTTTTCCTTCTCGGTGCGAGTGTCCACATTAAAAGGGTAGTCGACAGAGTGAATTAACTTATAGGGCGTGGATTCCTCATTTGGTTTCGGATTTGAATCCAAAGGATTCTCCAACTCCATATCCAGGAAATCCTTACGAACAAATACGGCTATTTGTGAAACATGTCCCACAGATTCTAGGTCTTTGGGCGGTTTCCCCACTCCCATTAGTGAGAACATGTAATTCGGATATTTCTCAACAATGCCCAAGCACCACGATTTGAATTCCTTTCGAGTCCATTCAAATTTGTGATCATCGTGGCGAAATCCATTAGGTAGTAATGGATTGAAACGCGTAAATATAACGTTAAAGTCAGAATTTGGTGTGCTAAAAACTACCAATTTTGGCTGCATAAAACCAAAAATATTTGAAGGAATTTTGGACAAAACATCGTCATATACATGCTCGATTCTGGAATAAAGTAGAAAATTATATATGACTATGATATGTAATTAGAAAACTCACAACTCTAGTGCAATTACAACATCTGTGTTTCTTAATTCTTCCGAAGAATCTGCAACGCTTCCCTGAAGAACCTGAACATTTAGCGGACACGCACGTCGCCTAACATAATCAGAGACTAATGGATTGATGCTACACAAATGTCTCCTAAGTAAGGGCTCGTCAATATCAACCTGAATAAAAATGGAGCATTCAAAAATAACGGCCACTTAATGGAACAAAATGGTAATGAAACATGGAAAATATTAAAACATTTACTTTTTTTATTTCATAACCATGCAATATTGTTACTTTACCTATTTTTTTTTTTTTGCATTTTCATGTTATAATAGTAATGTAAGTATCGCAGGAACTATTTAAATCTGAAAACATGTTTTTTAGGAAATTTAAAATTTTATAAATAAATGTTGCACATTCTAGACTGTGGTAACACTATGCGGGTTTTTGTTCACTTAAGAACGCGGTCACACCTCAAAATATGCGCGTGTGTGTGTGTGCAGCAGTGCACAGGAAGAATGTGTAATTGTTACGAAAAGTCAAATGGAAGCAAAATAATAGTTGCAAGTAGCTTGTAAAAGTGCAATTGTGCACCATTGCACCAAGTTAAAAGTGTAAGCATCACCAATCAAACTACGAAACAACCCAAACAGTGGAAAACCTCCAAACACTAGGAACGGGTCAAAAGAAAACGTAGAAAAACAAGAAGAAGAGAACGTGTAATACGTGAGAAAAATACATACTGAAAACTCAATTCGACTTTGGAGCCGTATAGCAAATGATTAGCACGTGGAAAACGGTTAAGTGAATAGGAAAAAACCTTTGCAACTTAGTAAATATGCCAGCATTTGGTTCTTTGTTTAATAATGCCGGCCAGAAAATCGATTTTTTTTCGAGCCAACGGTATGTTTGTATGGCGGTGTGTTTGTGTTTCCAGACATGGTGGTGCGTTCGCGTTTGTTTGTGTTTGTATTCGTGCCCCAGACGCGCAGCACATAATCTCGGTTTGCAACACTGTAGGACAAAACAACAAAATAAATAACCAAATAAAATAAGCTTGTCTAGAAAAAAATCGTCAAATCCCAATAGCACAATCAGCAATGCTTAACAGTTTGTTACCCGCATAAAAACAATGCTAATCATGGTCTGAACTCATGCCCTTAAAATAGCCAACTTTATCGTTTTGCAACACTACCAAACAAAAAACAGAAAATGATAAAAAATTGTCTTGGGGGCAAACAAAAACACACAAATGTCAATAACAAATTACTCAAAAACTTGATTTGAATAAAAACAATGTTACTTTACGCTTTAACTCATACTGCAAAAATAGATATTAACAATTCTATTATTCTTCTTTAATAAGCAGTTGAAAGAGAATCACCGTTGAAAACGGAATTGTGCAAAAACAAAACAACTTTTGCATGCAAATCAAACTTCACCGTCTGATCGTGAGACCGAGAATTTGAAGGAAGTTACGAAGTCTAGATTCCTAGAGATCTTAGATCCAACCGCCGAGATGGGCAAACGCCTCCAACTGGAGCGCCCGACCTCAGATCGCAGTGCTCGCAAGCGAAAGCGCTCGGCGATCAAGGCCGCCGAAAAGTGCCAGCGTTTGAGTGGCGGTTCTAACAGCGCGAATGGCTTCGAGTTTCACGAGAACGACGATGAGGAGTCCTGCTCATCGGCAGGATCCGCTGGCGGCATGGACGCGGAGCCCCCCACACTACTACACACTCCGCAGGCACGCAGTCTGCTTCTGACGGGTGCCAGCATCGCCAGCGATCACAACAACTCCAGTGTGATGGAATCACCGCGTCCGGTATATACGCTTCGCCCCTCGGTGGTCAATGGAACCATACTGAGGGACGTGCTCTCCAAGGCCTGGCGCTTGGGCCGACCCATAGGTAAGTATTTCGTAAAAAAAAAAACTTGATTATTAAGATTATTAGGACAATAAAACAATATTCCTCCCAGGCAAGGGTAACTTTGGGGAGATCTTCCTAGCCTCAGATGACACTGTATGTCCGGCCAGTTCAGAGACAGCCAAATATGTCGTCAAGATAGAGCCGCATTCGAATGGACCTCTTTTTGTAGAAATCCATTGTCTGATTAACACATCCCAAAACAAGGGTAAGCATTGGGTTAATCCTCCTTCATCACACCTATATTCACACACATACATTACAGATTTATCAGTTGTCGGAGACGATGCTGCCAGTCTACCAGCCCAACACACGCATGCCCTCAGCAAGGGACCGCCCTCTGGGATACCCAACTTTATTGCGTCGGGGACCCACTATTTTGGAGACGCTCGCTATCGCTTTCTAGTACTTCCGCGCTTTGATCGCGACCTTCATTCGCTGATCAAAAACTCCAGAGTGCAGCAAAAGTCCCTCCTTGTGCTTGCTGTACATATAATCAATGTCTTAGAAAATCTGCACGATAAGGGTTATTGTCATAATGATATCAAGGCCCAGAACCTGATGGTGTCCAAGTGCAAATACCTTAGAAAGCAACTAGTGTCCAAGGGAAATGGTTACGACGAGCATTACGAAGAGAAGCAACAGACCACTGACAGTGGAAACAGCTCGGAGCAAGAAACCAATGACGATGACTACTTCCTAAAGAATGAAAAGTTTGCCCTAAAGAAAATTGCAAATATAAAGCAGGACGAAGATGAAGATGACGAAGACTTTGATGATGGCGCCACATCGAATAGCAACAATAGTAACAGCCTGGATATCTACAACACACCTGTGAACAAAAAGCGATCCGTACGTAGTACAGTTCAGTTCAGCGGCTCTAATCCGGTGCGGTCTTGTCGTCGCGAGAAGCGCAACTCCATGTACGAGGAGATGGTCAAGTCACACTATCTGCGCCCCACTAAGCGTATTAGCTACCGCGAAGAGTTTAATGAGGAAGGGTATCCTAAGGCGACAACGGAAAACAGTGATGAGTCACCGGAATCGTCTGATAACGAGTCGGAAGAGTTTATTCCTCCATCATCCCGCCGGTCTACTATCAAAAGAGGAAGGAGAGCTCAGATAGCCAGTCCGAAAAAGGTTTCGACAAGGGCCACGCGCAACCAGGAGAAGCCAAAAAAGGAGTCAAACGCTGATCATAAAGTGCGTAGCAAGGGGGGCAAGCACTCGGACAGCATCCCAGCTGAATACAAGTTCCTACCCACCGAGGAGGAACATGTTTTCCTCATCGACTTTGGTCTTGCGTCCAAGTACCAGGATCGCGGAGTCCATCGTCCTTTCATCATGGATCAGCGAAGAGCGCACGACGGCACCCTAGAATTCACATCACGCGACGCTCACCTGGGCGCCCATTCGCGTAGAAGTGATCTTGAATGCCTCGGTTATAACCTTCTGTATTGGTCGGAAGGTTATCTGCCCTGGAAGGACGTCGCTCAGCAGCAGCAACAGGAGAAAGTGCACCGCGCCAAGGAACTGTTTATGACAGACGTGCCCGAGATGCTCCGACAGTTTTACGGCAAGCAAGTTCCTAAATATTTGGGAGAGTTCCTGCTGCAGATCAGTCAACTAGCCTACCAGGAGCGACCTGACTACGAACGTTATCGCAAAATCTTTAAGCGCGAATATCAACGGCTAGGTTACGACCCCAGCGAAATGCGTCTGAGCAGCGATGAGATCCACCGCACACGTATTTCAACCAAGGATTTGGTGGATGGCAGCAGGTGCGACATCTTCGAGCTGAATAACAAAATAGCCACTAATGTGATGCGCAACTCCACGCTTAGTACTCCGTTCCAGGAGCATTCGCTCACGAACCGCGTATCACCCAAAAATCTGCGTTCCAAGTCGAATAAGAAAACGACAAAAAAGAAATTCTCGTGGGCGGAAGTTCTTTCACAGGATCCCGATCAAATAGCCCGCGAACGGGCAGTCAAGGAGTTTGAGCGGGAGGAGTCTATTTGTCCGCTGGAATCCCGTCTTCCAAGGCGTTACGAGGGCAAGCCCACGTACGCGATACTAGCCATGGAGCAGAGTCGTCGCGAAAAGGGTTTGGTTGTCCAAGAGCATAATGATGAGGAGGAAGACAATGAAGAAGAGAACCAGGAAGCACAGGATGACCAAGAGGAGGACGATGAGGATGAAAATAGCAATGAAGGCGAGGTAGGTTGTAAATATTTAACTTGTTCGGTTGGATTTCATACATACAGTTTTAGAAGTTATAATATGTGCATTACTTTTATAAAGGATGAATCGGATGGCGTAACGGAGAGCAATTGCTCCGATCATTCCCAGAAACCTGCGCGGGGTCGACCCAAGGGATCCACCAAGAAGCGAATCACCAGCAAGCAGATCCAGGCGCATCATAATCAATCTCCACAGAAGGCCATTCGTGGAGTGGGCCGACCAAACAAGAACTCGGGAGTCGTCAGATTCGCCGCAGGAGCTGTCAGCAAGAGCCGCTCCACCCCTCTTTCGGCAGTGGCCAGTAACAAACGTGGCTGCGCCACACGCAAAGAGAATTCCACTCTGGCATCGGCCACCGGCGAAGGGGAACGAATATTGAAGTCGAGCCGTACGCGCAGAGCTCTTTATAAGACTGAACCCAAACACGGCGAGCATGATGCGTTGAACAACTCGAGCCTGGTCGAAGTGCAGAACCTGTTCGTCGAATACGATGACGAGAATAACTATTGCAAAGGTCGAAGTGTCCACTCGTCCAGGCACTGTCGTAAATGATTACCAGCTGACAATTAGGATTTGAAACTAAGGACGATTATTAGGAAGTCAGACAACATGAGGAGAAGAAAACAGAATAGAGAAGCAGAACAGATGAAACCTAGATTCGCTTTCAAGTATTTTTTAGTGATAGTTAAGATACGAACAGGACAGAACCTACTTATATACAAATTTCGGACCTAGCTAGTTAGACCGACATTTATGATGTGTAATTTTGGTTTTTAAACATTTAATCGATAAGTTGTAATGTTTTTCTGATTGGCACTCTCAGCTCCATAGGGAAGAAGTTGTTGAATTATCCTTTATACCATGTAGTACCCAGTTGTAAGAGATGTTTGTGTGTTAAATCGGTGCCCAGGAGCAGTGCACCATTGGCCTTTATAGCAAATCCTTGATTTTTAAATTTTTAGTTTTAAACCTATCGATGTTAGTTTTGTTAGTTTATATTACATATTACAGATTTACCAACCGTTTCACCCACATTTCATGCAACCAGGTACATACTCTCCTCAAAAAGTATTTAATATAACTAGATAATGGTTATTTCATAAACATGATAAAATTCTAAGTTAGGATATATGCGTGTATAAAAACAGCGGAAATAAATAAAATAGAATTGTATTTCCTTAACAATTAATACAATATGGTTTGCCTTTCTTTGGTCATGGAATTTCTATAAAAATTCTTACCAATAAAATATTTTCTATATTCTCTATGCGACGCATTAGATGGAAAAGTCTCATTTCGGCACAGCCAAACTCCACAACCTTCTTAATCTGATTTGCCCAGCGAGAGTCTTCCAGGATCTGGATCGCTGCACAGTAACGCTGTTCGTACACCGGCGGATCGAAAGTTATACCGGTTTCAGTCATTGTTGTTATGGTTTGGAAGTCCCCAAAAGGAAACTTATAGCGAAACATTGCGCGTTTTTTTAGAGTGGCCACTGATTAACTATGGTAAAAATCTTACTGTCATTGAACTGGTAATAATATCGAGTACTCGATATTACATATCGAATGGTTTTTCATTTGAAATTTGGCGGTCATTTTAAGAAGATAAAATCCATAGACTAATAGCTATTTTTAAGTATAATTGAATTTTTGGTGATAGCCTTTGAATTTACCCTTTTGAAAATTTGCATATTGACAGCTTTTAATATATAGTCTTAATAGTCACCCCATTTACTCTTTTTCAAATGGAGGGCAGTTTATTTTAAAATACCCAACTTTATGGAAATCAGTCTAGGTTTTGTGGTCGGGGGAAACACGCAACTTCCGGCATCCTTTCCGGACGACCTTCGTTGCAGGTGCTTGCCTCCCATTTGCACTGGAGCTGGGTGGGTGGTGAACCTCACCAACCACCAATCACTCCACTCGACCGTCAAATTAGCAGACAAGTCTGCAGGTCCGTGGGAGCTTTCCATATTCGTATAATGTACATATGTATAATGGGTGGATAATGTCAACGTCAGCGGCTCTGTCTCCCACATGGGTAAGCGTTTTAAGTTTTCAACCTGCTGCCATAATTTCCAGGCTAATTGCCCTGCGTTTGAAATGGAAATTTACAAATCAATAAATTTTAGTACCCCAGCGATAGTGGAGGTCCTTTCCCCATGGTTGCCATAATTATACACGTCGTCTGTTCTGTCGCCGTGGACTCGCTTCTGTTATTGTTTGCACTGAAAGACGTTGCCGAGGCTCTCATAGAGCCATCAAAACAGGACAAACACTGGAAAAACTTTAATACCTGTACAATATTTATAACAGTTTTCTTAATTAGATGGGCTGCAAAACATTTTTTTTTAATTGATTCCTGTAAATTTACCGTGTACACTATACTTTTTATTATTTTAAAAATGTAATTGGAAAAATAATATCAAGTAATTTTAAACGTAAAAATTTTGAACAAAACCAAATAAATAGCCACTGTCAGCACAGTAAGCTGTATAAAATTATAATTAATATTTTCCGTGTAAATGTGGGCCGATAGTCCGCACGGAAACCGAAAATCCAATAACGGTTTTGGCTTCTAAGCCTTGCGTGCTCCACGAAGTCTTCGGTTTACCAGCTCAGTTCGCAATCGCCACCCGTGCCTTCAAGTTGCCCGTCGAACGATGGCCAATTTCAGTGCTCACCAACTGTCGAATCCCCGGGCGAATGTCTTTATCCTGGTCAATTTGGGTTGCGAGATGCTCTACGTGATCGATCAGAGGCTGAAGGCACAGCAGATTGCACAGGACAAGTCGATTCAGGGTAAGCAATTTTACAGTCAGTTATAAACTCTGTTAAATATATTATATATATTTCAAAAATAAGTCGTCCATGAAATTTACAAAGTGCCATTTAAGTTTGGAAAAGAATAACTTATCCTTTATAACTTTTTTTGAGCATGTGATAATAATTATGAATTTTAAAAGCAAAAATCGCTGACTTTCTCAAAAACAGTATGTTTTTAAGGACATAAAATATTTAATTGATACTAGTTCTTAAAAATGGTAGAAAGGCAAGGTTACTGTTTAGGAACTCTGAAAATTAAAGAACATTTTTAATCTTAGTTATCCACGACGTGACCACCGTCCTGCTTGAGCCAAAGTTTATTAACTCTCTTCTTGAGGGATCGAAACACAATAATGCCCAGCTCCTGACCGCTGATCATTGTAAATTCATGCTCAATGACATAGCGACCTGTTCTTTAATGAGACTCGATGAGCAGTCTATGTCAAAGCTATGGAATCTCATGACCATGGTCTATAAATGGCAGTTGTTCGTATCCCGCCATCGTCACCATCTGCTCGAGATAACGTTTCGGCACTTGGATGCTGTCAACAGGTTGTATGCAGATGCCAAAATTAATATGCTGATTGACTTTACGAAAAATACGCTTCTGGACTTTTGGAATGCGAGCGGGGAGGAGGCTCAACTGTCTATCTATCAAACAAATCGGGCCTGGCTGCAGTGCTTTAACACGAAGATATCTTTGTTGATTCGATTGGGATTTCAGGCCATGGACGGGAGTTACTTTAAGGATGTAGATCAGGATTATTTCACGGAATACGTTGAAACAGCCGGCGACAATATATATGCAAAGAGTGCAGAGCAGCGGGAAAGACAGGAACGGGAGCCAAACAGAATGGATCAACTGGCTGCTCAACTAAATATTAATCCACCACAAGGCGAGGATTTGCAGCCCATCAATGCCCGTCAGTTTCAGCAGCAGTTTGAACAGACATTTGGAAATGTACTTTTTAATGACCCAGTAGCCAGCTCATCCGGTTGTGAATTCGTTCAGCTTCAGCCATTGAGTCCATCCTCAGAAAAAGAGGCAACGACGATGTCCAGGACCGGGGGAGCCTTGCTGAACCAGAACCTGCTCGACTTGTACAGCAAAATGCCTTAGAGCCTTAAGCAGTTTTGTTTAGAAAATATTGTATTTCTTGTTTAGTTGGTTTTTGTAAAATAATTATAAAAACGCCATATGTTGCATAGTTCTCGTTTGTTTTTTGTTTTTGTTTTCATCGAAGACATTGTTGTGATCAAAAAATAAATCAACGTTAGAATTTTGAGCTTGCGACTTATTGTAAACAACTGTGAAATGTGTGGTGGGGGTGGTATGGTGCAGGATAAAATAGAACCAAAGGTCGAAATGTACAATTACAAATATAAAAGTTAAGGGCGTGCTCCTCATCGCGCTGCTGCCTGCGCTACAGACTTATGGCAACAACATGTATATAATCAATTACTCTCCTCATTTTGTGTGTGTCTCGCTTGTAATACGCTGATTTCAGTGAAAGTCAGCAAAGGAAAAGTTCGTCCGTGTTGGTGGTGGTGGTGGTTGTAGTGTTGTTTGTCCAGCGGCAGGATCTGATTACATTTTTGCCTTAAGCGGCACTGCGTCCACCATGATATGCAGGGCCATCTTTAGGCACTCTTCCGCTGAGCTGATCTGCTCGCATGGATAGGCTGCGCCATATTGCGTGAGAAATTCGCAGTACTTCCGGTAATTGCTCACCGCAAAGTCATAGTTGTAGGCGCCCAGTGACTTCATGTCCGTGTCATCGGTCACCGACGGCACCGTCGCCTTGTGCGGCATCTGACCGAAGGTGGGATAGTCCAGCTCGCAGCCCTCGCATTTGCAGTCGAAGCGGTACTGCATGGACAGCGTGTCCAATCGCCTCTGCTTGTTGAAAATAGCGAAGTGGGCGCTGAAATTATGGAAATTTATTAATGTTTTTATGTCAAGAAGTATCTTAAAAAGAGAACTATAAAATGCTACTTTTCACTAATTATACTTCAATAATAAGTTATTATGTAATTTGTGTTTAGACCTTTATAATTTCTATGAACGTTTATGGTTTGATCTCATTCATTTGATTTGTAGCTTTAAAAAGAATATTATTTGGACATAAATTTAAACACTTTATGATGTTTTTTGGCACACACTCACCCATAGTTGTCATAGAGCACATTTCCCGCCTTAATAGGCCGCAGGACAAACAGGTATGCCTTGGTGCCCTCGAATATCCTTAAAGTATTAGGCGCGCACGAGTGATTTAGCAGTGAGAGGAAAGCGTAAGCTCCGGACGAATGCGACTGATCGTCCTTGGTCTCATTGACCTGTTCCACAAGATCTATGCCAAACATATTCGAGGGCGACGTTTGCAGATGCCGAAACAGTAGGTCCGTGAAAAAGTTAATGCCTTCTTCACCGCCCAAATGGTCCTTGAGCGGCGTAAATTCGATTATGAAGTGCTTAAGCACGGCACAGACCACGGAGCGCTGGAAGAGATCGGAGACGGAGCGCATGTGCTGGTTGGTAACAAGGCCGTGGATGGCCCGGTAGTGTTCTTGCGGCGACAGCTGACTATAGTCCAGATCAAAGGCGCACTTATGCTGATTCTGCGGCTGCTCACAAAAAGCCATCAGCTCCTCGATGCTGGGATACAGATCCAGGGCGCCCAGCGTTGTGCGCAGGGCGATGCCATGGATCTTGTTGAACATGCGGTGCAGAAAGTCAATGATGGGGCACTCAAAGCGGTGATAGCTGGACATGGCCCGCTGCTTGCACTCCTCAGAGCAAAACATTACGGAGCAGCAGCTGTCGCAGGGTATAAGGGTCAGGTAGTTCTCCCGCTTGCAGGTGGCACACCGAATGTACCGCATTGGCGTTAGTAGTGTGGAACAGAAGGGCTGCTCCACGGCCACCAAATCTCCAACTACCAGATCACGATTTGTGACCACAAAGCGACCCTCGTCAGCGGATTCGCGCAGCTCTAGACAGTCAGCGATATAGGGCACCTGGGGATGCGAATCAAAGCTGAGCTTAAACTCGTAGGGCACCACATCGGGCGGTTGCTGATCGAGTAGCTGCTGGCAGTCCCGCTCTCGCTTGTCCAATTTGTGGCTCAGTCTTGCCGGATAGTTAGCCTTTCTAGCCAGTTCAATATTAGCCAGGCACTCCCGGTAGCGCTTCCACTCGAACAAAACCGCCGACCGGTTGGCATAGCCTATGGACAGATGCTCTGAGTTGGGTTCGGCATAGCAGATACTTTTGTTGTACAGCTCCAGGGCCTGGAAAAGGATTTAAATTATATAAAATGTACAGAACGGAAAGTCATAAATCCATTTAAGAGGTTATCACCTGAAAGTACTTCCGGTTCTTCAGTGAGAACTGCTCGTTTCCCAACATTCGAAACTCGACGCTTCGCTTGTTGCACTTATCCTCCTGAAGCGTTACATTTAGAAAGATCTTCTCCATGTACTTGAAGTCAATAAGAGCTCGCTCGACGAAGTCCACCTTGCGGTGGTTCTCCTTTAGCTCATTGAACTTGCCGGATATGATTCCAATCAGCTTCCAGTCCTTCAGCTTCTTCACCAAATCATCACTAACGTCGTACACGTCCATCTCTTGTGCGGGTGTATAGTCCTGTGTTGTAGTCCTGGAGATTTCTCCGGATCGGATCGGATTGGTTCGGATCCTTCGGTTCGGTCCGCGTGTCGACGCCGCCGCCTGTTTTTTTCGACCGGAAAATCGGTTCGAAGAAAGAGTCCGCGAATTATTTAGCTGCCGCAAGTGCTGACCGCTAACTTGAGATTTCACAGACAATTTCGATTCGGCAATATTGCAATTATCCACAGGGCGATTTTAATGTTATTTTTTTGCCAATCCGCTGGAAGCAGTGTGGAGTGTAGCCTACAAATAATTAACCCTGCATCTTATAAAAATATACTAAAAAATACCAATAAATAATTACTTGTGTTATCCAAGACTCACACCTGAATGAATGCAATTAATGATAAAATATTTTTTAGTTTTTCATAACAAAATATGTACATAAAAAATAAACAATTGATTAAAGGAAAATTTAAGCTTACTTTAAAATTCATTGGATAACTTTATTATTTTAACATTACATTATACATTTACATGTCTCCTCCTTAAGTGGCTGCCTCGAGACGTCGCAATGTTTGCACACCACAAAGACTAATTGGCGCCATTTTTGAAATTTCCTAGGGAGTGCACACACTGGCAGAAATTTATTTCCAAGTTTATCTTCTTCTTTTTATGACAGAACAGAACTGAAGTTTTTTTAATTTGGGAAATTATTGGCAGTCAAATTGTTTGTTTTACAAACGCCCTGCTGTCAGACGGCCGCCGCACCAGTTCGGTTCAAGTTGAAGGCAAGGGAATATTATTTTTAGCCAGTAGGCCACAGCTAAGTAGCAACCGTGCTCAGTCTAAAAATTTTGTTTGGCTGTGACTGTGAATAAATCAAACACTTTCATATCAAATCTTGAGCACCAACGAAGAAAAGTACGTAAAAATAAAATACAAAAATAAAAGAGCGTGGGACGATTTATGGAATTTATGGTTTACCTGATTTTCTAGAAATGCCCATCATTCGACTGGAGTCTGCAGACAAGGAGATCTTCGACACGGACCAGGAGATCGCCAAGTGCTCGGAAACGATTCGCACGGCTCTCGAGGATCTGGGCGATGAGAGTGACGAAAGTGTGTTGCCCTTGCCGAATGTTAATTCGCTGATCCTGAAGAAGGTGCTTCACTGGGCTACCTATCACAAGGACGATCCCATGGTAACCGAAGAGGACGAAAACAAGGAGAAGCGAACGGATGATATATCATCATGGGACGCCGATTTTCTCAAAGTGGACCAGGGCACCCTGTTCGAGCTCATCCTGGCTGCAAACTATTTGAACATACAGGGTCTACTGGACGTCACTTGCAAAACGGTGGCCAATATGATTAAGGGCAAGTCGCCGCAGGACATCCGCGACACCTTTGCCATCAACAACGACTTTTCGCCCCAGGAGGAGGAGCAGGTGCGCAAGGAGAACGAGTGGTGCGAGGAGAAATAATTTCAAGAAGCTTAATTTCCTTTACGGGATGCTGCAGACAAAAATCCTAATTGACACTTAATTAAAATCCCAAATTAACACTTCATTATATTACAACAAAATTGCTTTTTTTTTTTTTTTTTGCAAAGTTACAACTTAAATTCATTCATTTATTATCAATATACACGAAATGGAAAATGTACTTTTTTTTTTATCCTTTTTACCTTTTAAGAGAGAAGCAGCAAATCAGGCTTAATTTGTAAAAATTAAATGTCTATAAATAAAAGAAGTCGACTAAAAATGTACTTATATTGTTAGTAGCAATTTTGAATGATGGGAGTATATTTGCGATACGTTTATGTTGATAATTGTAATATAAACATTTCAGAACTGTAACATTACCAAAGTTCTTATAAACTATTGTATTCAACAACAAAATTTTAATTTTTATCAAACAAATTTGCAATGTTATTTACATTGAACACATAAATGGAATGTAGAATATGCGTCCGTTTTTAACTTAAAATCCTTAAAATGAATTCCATGAACTTGGCCACGATAGAACTGACCAGATTGAAGACCAGGGACAAAATGCCAAGGACGAGATTTACGACGTCATCAATCTCAAAAGATCTTAGGAATCGGAAGAGGAATAGTGCAACCAACACTATTAGAACGGGTTTCACCAGCGAGAGCACGAACCGAAAGGCGAAGACGAGTGCGTACCATGTAATGATAAGTAGCAACACGTATGCGACCAGTTCACCCAGATCAGAGGGCATGGACACGTTCTTCGAGACGAAATCGTAGAGAACCGAGACCGAGTTTCCATCATCCTCCCAGCTCATTTCTTCTCGTCTGATATTCCTTCTACAGCTTTCGTGTTCCATGGCTTTAGTTTACTGTTTTGAACAACCAGTCAGGGCACACTGAACCAACAATTATAACTTTCAATTAATTCATGAAACTCAAATTGCAAAATCATAAACAAATTTTCAAATTGCGAAAATCAGCTGTTTTAGTGAGACCGTTCGTCGATCGTAGTGCTCTAGCCCTGCAAGGTGTGAAAATTTCAAGGTATTCTAAAAGCTGATTGAAATACTTTGTTAAGTTATTAAATTATAACTAATGTTAAGCTTATAGCAAAAATAATTTAAGATAAATACAAGAGATTTTCACAAATTTTAATTGATAGTGTAATGACCTTTAAAAATAATTATGTATTCATTATATCAATCAATTATTAACAATATTCGAAACGATTATGAACAATTTTCTGGTTTTCCAAATTAAAGTTTAATGCAAGAACTCTGTGTTAAAATAATTAGTTGAATGTGTGCCTTTTTAATTATAAAAAAAATTTTCAATGGCCAATAAATAATTAATTGGGTTTGGTTTGACCTGTTAACGTATCGAAAAATCTTTTAAATAATTTGATTGTCAGTTTTTAAATTTACCATATTGTAATTCATTAAAATTTTGTACACAAAAACTGGTTTGCTGCTTTAAAATTTTTGAATTTCACCTTATATTCCATTAAAATCTGTTTATTAAGACAAACGATTATTGCACATTGATGGCTCGTAATTACTTTCTCTTAGTTACCAACAAAAGAGAATCAAATACATTCTTTCAAAGTGCAGTGGGTTAAAGCTAACCTGGCCATAAATCTAAATGGCTGACCTTTTAACTTGGTCGCTGTGCATTGAACTGGCTGAAAATTCGTGAAAAATCCCAACGATTCCCCTAGGGAATAACTGACGGGCCAAAAGGTAAGAGGTTGCCTGAAACTGATGCCACAAGAAACCAAAAAAATAAGTAAAACATGGCAGGCGAACAATAAGCAATTTCCTTTTTCTTTAAACTCACTCGGTTCAACGTACTGCTCCCTCTACTTCCAGAGATATCACATTTTAAAAGCATTAAAATCGCCCATCACAGCTCACAAATTGGAATAAATGGCTCTGGAGCAGAAGTTTTTGGCTTTGAAAATTTACACGATCGCAGGGTGTGAAAATCATAAGAGCTAGACTTAATTTACTCAAGCTCAAGGCAATTTTACCAAAAAAAAAAATTATGTATAAAGTTTCATTGTTCTTTCTGTCAACTTGTTATTAGCTATGCCCTTTGCTATAGAGCTTATCCAGAGCAAACTACATGGGACAATGGACAATGGGCAACAAGTGCAAACAGATGTCCAACTTGGCTGCAGTTGCACTCTGTACTCTGGACTGGACTAGAAACGAAACTTCAGGGAACTGAACTCGACTTGATGCAACTGACAGACTGACTTTGACACAAAGCCCAGGAGGACAGACCGTTGGGTCTATAAATAAGGCACGACCCCACGACCATGTGCTGACAGAGATGCTGACGAACTATACAATTCATTACACAGGATGCATGGCAAACTCTGAATTATAGTAGTTATATGTAGTAGGTATTTTGGATATCAATCCTTAGCGATTTGAAATCTCTAAAGATTTCTTGGGTATTTTTAAAATCTATCATGTAAGTTATAAGATTTTAGTACTTAATTTAGGCTTTTGGAACTTAAAGACTTAAAAATTGATTAATTTTGGTTAAAAAAGAAAGTTTTTAAAAATGTCATATAATTTTAGACATAATTATTGAGTTTTTGAAATCTCTAGAGATTTTTAACATAATATTCAAATCTATAATCCAAGTTGTCATCTCTGCTAGCTGACCCAATGCGAGTTGGTCTGATTCTGTGTGTTTGAGGGTGTTGTAAGTGCAACAACTGTGTCACGCCTTGTTTCTGTAAACGACAAAGCGGAGAATAGAACAGAATATACAGCATATTTCATTCTGATGGCAAAGGGGGAGTGTGTGGAGACGGAGACAAGCTGCTAGAGCCAGCTTTATTATTTCTGGCTTTTGTTGCTGGCTTCATAAAAGTGTTGTGTTGTGTTGTTGTGTTCTGTTGTCCACGTGTGTTTGTTTGTCTGTTTGCCCGGCGCTTCCTGTTGCTCGTTCGACTTCTGCCTGAGCGTTTCCGCTTCCTTTCATTTGCCATTCCGTTCATGCCTCAAACACTCACGAACCACCCCACCGCCCACTTTGTATCTGGGGTTTCATTTTTGCTTGCTTTTTGGATTTGCTTTGCTTTGCGGCTATTTGCTACACAAATTCCTAGAGATCCCTAAATATTTAATTTACTCGCACCAGGCTACAAAATATTTAAAGCTCTTAAAAACGTACGAGAAATTTTCAAACCGATTTTCTCTATTGGCTCTAGAGAGTGTTACTCCTACGTGTGTCGTGGAAATGCCAGCTTTACCTGCCAACTTCATAGGGAACACAATCCGTCGCTGACACCTGTCGCTGTACTTCCATTAGAATGGACTCTGAAACAATGTAGTACACTTCACAAAATATGAAAAGGCTATGATCATTAGTTGAGATTTTAAAGCGTATTTTTTTTTTAAATAGTCTTTTAATATTCCTTTTAAATTTTTAGGCTAACATAATATTAAAAATTGGCAGTATGATTTTATGTGAAAATTGTTGATTATTTTTCCTTGTGCTCTTGCACTTTGGCACCTCCGATTTGGCCCACTTCACCTAGGCGAACGACACGTGTCAACTGCAAAGTGCATCGGATCCGGCAACCGCAACTTTTGCAACTCCAAGCTGACCTTTTCGCGTTCGAGACTCTTGAGTCGCGAGTCGCAATTCTCTGATGCTGTCGCTTGCCGGGGGCGAAGTCATTTGACATAGTCAACTGGTTTTAAATTAATGAGCATGCCGAAAAAAAAGAAGAAAAACGCGCTGAAAATTGCTTTGCGTCTTGGGCGAGCAACTTAAGGTAGAAGGGAGCAACAGGTGGAAAGGGTTCTCCCCCAGGAAGTGGCCGTAAAAAGCCACTCGAAAACATTCGAGGGCCTAAGCAAAGTTTCCGTCTGGTAGACTTCAGGGGAAATCCTCCTGCCTGACTAAGAAATACCAAAAAGAAAACGGCTGGCGGGCATAGGAAAATTACAAGAAGCAGAAGAACAAACAAAGGGCCGGGGCCCAAAGGATACGAGTATCCTTTTGGGCTTCGACGCGTCTTGTGTATGCTTAATGGATTCCCCAAATCATTTGACCAAAAGCGGCAAAAGTCCTTTATCCGCTCTTAAATGTCAGCGCGTTATGAAATTATAGACTAAATGAAATTATTCACAAATAAATGAAATTGCGCAGTCAACGGGAATCATTTATGTACATTATTTTTACACTTTCTCTTCCTTTTTCTTATTTTTTTTATGTTATATTTTCTTTTTTTTTTTTTTAATATTTTCATTCAATTTTGAGCTGCCAGTCTTTATCCCGCCTGAAATATCAAAGGTGAGTCGAAGGTGGGGGCGCATAAGGAGAGGAGTAGAGTAGTTTCAGCGTGAATTGGATCCGGGTGAGGGATTTCAGGTGGGCTCTGTCGTGTCAATTCAATCAAGCGACCTGCCTGCCTTGTCTCCTCTCCACATTTCTTTCTCCAACTTAATCTCGATGTTGTTGGTCCCGTTCTTGTTGTCGTTGTTTGGTTATACAAAATGAGAATTTATTGTACGGCACACATAAGCTGACTATAATAAAATTTCAATTTGCCCGACAAACGATGTCGTCGACACTCGTTTTTCCCGCATAAAGGCAAAGAACGGGCACAAAGCAATCGCAGTTCCCCCGGCCAAAGTGTACGCAAATATCGTTTATGTATAAAGAATATTATTCTACCGTGCGTTTTATTTACCCTTATTGCGATGTGAAAGTTGTCGAACCTTTTAGAACCTTTCACTGCCAAAAAGTTCCATCTTAATTAATTTCAAATTCTGGCAAACTTTTTTCTATTTATGATTTTTGGTAAATGCTATTCAGTAAATACAGCAAAACTCATCTAGCAAATGTCAAAAAATAAAAGTTGAAAATAATAGTTTTTGAATGTGAGAGTTCCAGGCAAAATTATCATATAAGCCGTGCACCTTTCGCTACTACCAAAAATGTTGATTTTAAATTTCTCTCTTCAATTTCGCCGTGTTATCCTGTGGAGCATGTGAATCTCCCGTTTCGCTAATTGCTGCCAGCGGGAAGTGACATTTTCAAAGAGAGTGGAAACACCGGTGGCAGTTTAAATGTAAATGGCGCTAGTTAAAAAAATTTACAAAACGTTTTTAATCCTGTACCGCTTTTCTGTTTTTATTATTTACCGCAAAATTTGTTTGTATGAACTAATATATATACTTAACATAGAATATAGAAACTGAAAGTAATATTTCAAATAATAATGATATTGCTTACCAAATTTTACGATTTTTTCCAAGAATTTGTTAACCGAAAGATGTAAGATGTAAATTAATATTAAAAGGGCCTGGTAAAAACATTTTTGTTGAAAAAGTTCCTATATTATCTTCAACCCAGGAAAAGGTACACGTGAGTTGGAAAAAATTATCTTTAAATAAATGACAAGAAAACATTTGTTTACTAAAATTTCCTATGTATACTTATATATTTCTCACATGCTGGAATCTTTTAAGTATTATAATCGCTTTATTGGTTTTGTATCAGAAAGCATCGAGTGATGGGCTGATGGCTTATGCATCATGGGGTCACGACCCGAGCGGAGTAAGCCATATGTTTTGAAATGGCTTTTGGATGTTGTAAAGGTTGGGCTTGGCGGCATAAAACCTCAGAGCACATCTATTGATATGACATTTGCCGGTCGGCGGCTTTAAATCCTCAATGACGTCACATTGGAAGGAAGGGAGTTGGGAGTAAGGGAGTAAGTGCGTCGGCGGATGGGCGATGGAGGTCACGTAAAACATGCTCGTTAAAAATTGACGATGTGCATCAGCGCGTGGCGATGTGGACTCTTAGACAAGGTGAGAGTAAAAGTGTTAGGACCCGGGAGATGTAAGATGGCAGATGAACCATGTTCAGTTCAGTTCGTTGTGGTAACACACGTGCCTCAAGCACTTAACCCATTGACCGAGGGACCACCTTGGCGTCAAGCATTTATCGGAAAATGTATTTCAGCTGGCGG